AAAAATTCAAATACAATTTTTCTGACTTCCCATCTACAGAGCTAATCCACCCAATGTGCTACTCTAGCCGCGCTTGCTTAGTTACAAGCCAAAAATTAAGTATACGCAATGTGTGCAAACAGTCGAAAACAGTGCTCAATGATGCAAATTTTTGCATGCGACTTTGCAGTTGACTTTAAATGGCATGATATTCCCTTGAATGCAATACTGAATTCTGCTATCGTTTGACCATTTTTTTGTGCTTTTTTCTATGTTCATGCTTATTTATGGCCTTGTTTGCTAAGCGAAAAACAAGCAGCAATAAATCAAATGTCATATTCCAACCACACAGAAAAGAAATAAAAAATTTAAAAATAACTACAATAGACACAATTTAGAGGGCAAGGATATGCGATTTAAGTGGTAGATAGAGGAAAATGCGAGTTCGAGCATTCAATTAAAATGATAAACTTCCATTTGAGGGCCAATTCATTGCGCCAGTGGCTTAGAGTTCACTCACATTACGCATACGCTCTGTATGGGCGCGCGCGTGTGCGTGGGAGTGTGTCTATAGCTTTTAATTACAGTCGCATCATTAAAGCCTTTTTATTGCACTTCTTTACCAAAGAAATTTTACTGCCAACAACAACAACGAGCCGCAGTTTTATGCCATTTTATGCACACAGCAACAGCAACAACAGCATCAGCAGGCGACAGACAGCAAACATACAGATGGCAGCTTCATTCTGTTCGCTGCGGCCCACACACACATATATGGGTATATGCATGTCTGTTACGCATCGACAGTTGCCTGACCAGCTAGTAAATTTTCCTCAGCAAATATTCGTATGTAAACGAACCATGCACGAAATCCATGAGGCGTCAATATCTATAAAACTCAAAAGTAAATACAATAAACACAGAAACAAAACATCACAGCAAATAGCATAAAATCAACTAAATAAATACAGAAATGGAAATAGTTTGTATTGGAATTCTTTTGCATTGCTTAAAATATGTAAAATGGTAAAAAAGGTTTTATATTCCCTAGAAATACTTCCAGTTTTATAAATATATATAAATCTATATTACATGAATCTTTAAATAAACTAAAATTTAATTTTTATATTTTTTAACTATATTTTTTATTTGTGTTTTATAATTTTTTAAAATATCTTAAATGAGAAGAGAAAATTGTTTACTTATATTTTATATTATATTATATTATTATTATTTTATTTTATTTAAATAAATGTAAGTTTTTTTATTTTCTTTATTTATCACACTTATTTTATTTGTTTCCTTTTTCTTGTAAAATTATGTTTTATATTTTAAATTGAAATAAAGAAACTGGTTTTAATCTAAATATTAGAAATCTTTATAAGTTATTTATTTTTATTTAAATTTAATAATATATTTCCACTGATTGTATGTTTACATTAATAAAAATATATTTTTAAGCTTAAACATAAATTTAAGCAAATAAGTTGTTTTGATTTTATTTATTAGTTTTGCGTGATTTACATATTTCAAATCAATTTAAAATGTATAAAACATATTTGCCACGCCCACTACGAGCATTCTAAATATAGCGTATCGCTATATTCGACTAGAAAAAGTTGTCTTAATAACTTATTCAAAAATCTTTTTGTTTATTGAAAAATGTATATTTATAAATATTTAATGCGCAAAAAAATTTACCTAAATAAAAACATAAAAAATATGAGTAAACTGAATAAATTTGTAAATAAAATGTAAATGAATGCTCTGCATATAAACAGAATTCTCATTCATTGATTTTATTTGTTTGAAAATAAAAACTCGTCTAATAAATACGGTCAACGCCAATAAACCAATCAGTAACGTTGCAAAAAAATATGATAAAACATAGAAAACATTCTGCTAAAAATTTAATTTCTGACTAAAATTTTGTTTTGTTTTCGTTGCGGAGTTAAAGTCGAGCTGAATCGATATTGGCCAATAAATGTGCTGAGAGTGCCGCGTGGCTGGTCTCAAGTGTTGCTAATTAGCGCTATTTCAGGCACTAGGCACCGGACAGGCGGTGGGGCCTCCCCCGCCGTCTAACCGCAGCTGACAATTTAATTTTTACGAGGCGCTTAATGTCTCTTTAATTACAACAAGCAGGCAAAGGCAGCGAAAGCAAAGGCGCATCGCTTGATTGAATATTTGCACCGAATTAAGATTAATGACAGAAAGCCGCAGGCAGTGCCAGGAGGTTGCTATTATTAACACAACATAAATAAGGACACCCGAATCCAGGCTTTCCGTTGCCGTTGCCGCTGCCGTAGCCAAAGCCGCCAAATTAATTTATCAGCAATTTCCGCCGCTTGGCAACCGTGGCGAGAGCATTCGACACCGCTTAAAGTTCTACTAGAAAAAAGGCAGAACAATATTAATCTCTTATTTGTTATCAACATATTTGAGGGCGAAAGCAATTCAATTAGTAGCCAAATTAAGTATTTTGAAGAGTTTGCGAATTACTGTATGACTATTACAATTAGGTTACACTTACAACGCGCTCCAACAGGCTTGACGTCATAAAAATGCCAATATAAAATCAAAGGTCAGTGTTATTGACACACGCACGAGCAATTAGGAACTCTATACGCTCGCAATTTCAGATGGAAGATAGCTGGCAAAGGCGCAAGTCAATGGCCGCACGTGAATAACAGGGCGTATGCGCGTTGCGCTGCCAAAGTTTGCCCGAAAGCAAGTTAAATGGCTAACAAAACGAGTTTTATGCCAGTCTTCCTTCGTTTGTTTGTGCAACTGGCATTATTATAATATTTTATTGATAAGCAGACAATAGAGCAGGCATGCAATCATCCGCTAAGATATATAAATAAATATATATATGCGCAAAAAGTCAGTTAATGTGATTCTATAAAATTCGCCAAAGTTTATGACTTTAATCTAGACACGTCTACAGATTTATGCAGTCTAGCGATTTGCATATACTCTTATATATGCATAAACATACTTTTGGCATATATTTTAGTCTATTCAGCTTTGCATGTTTATTGCCCATGGCATCTTGGACCGAAAACACCTAACAAACACCCAAGTACCATAAAAACACCATTAAAATCATATCAATCGGTTGCCAACGAATGTGTAATACCCGCCCGCAGCGAGCTAAGGCATTAAGCTGTGCTATAAAAATAATAGCACCACTAATAATATAATTTTTATTTGTTAAGCATTTTATTTCTTTTGTTTTTATTAAATTTCCTTGAAAAAAAATTGTAAATCAAATTGGTAATTTGATTAGTTAATTTTTAGCTTGTATAAAAAAAATTCTCTGAAACTGCAACAGGCTCTCATGAGGCTGGTGATATTTTATTTTTAATTTTATTAAAATATATTTGTAATATTTGTGAAAGTACAAATACTTTATCTAATTCTTATATATGTGTGTATACATATATATATTATAGATTTAAAGCCTTAAATTTATACAGTGACGAAAACGTCGCATTGAAATATTAACCATATTTGAGGGCTAACTAATATACTCATTATACTTTGAGAGCGCACTGCAATGCACTGATTATTACGAGTATAATAACCCTGCTATTTCAGATGCACAACCAATCATAAAACATAAAATTTTATTTAATATATTATATATATAAACATATTTAAAGGAACATAAATTGTAGCTCTTTAGTAAAGCGTTCTTTCTGGGGCAAGGCAAATGAAAGTAAATTTTGTATATTTGAAATTCAATTTAAATGCAGTCATTTGTAGTCAGAAATGCTAATGCTCGAATAGTGTTTATAAATTGGGCTGCTTGGGCCTAAAATGAGTCTGGAGACAGAGCGAAGTTAGTTTGCCTGCGGACGTGTAGGTGGGCTGACAAAGTTCTGTGCGTTGTTAATGGTTCACTGGGGCATAGAGAAGACAAGGGACAAATGAGTCAAGGCAAAATGCAAGTGGGAATCATGATTGGACTGTTGTTTGCTTGGCCAATTTGAACGCCTGCAGCCTGTTGCGAGTACATTTGGTACAATTGAAGAAGTTTTCTCCAACTGCCTTGATAGTCGTACACACATTATCGTGTCTCAATTGTGCGATTTCATTAATAGTTGTTGGAGCACCGTCTGCTCGCCGGGTCGATACGAATGACCTTCGGAGTGGACCTGAACGTTTAAAGCCGAAGCCAAAAAGCAAGCACTTTAATCTGCCCACAGAACACAATGCAACTAAATGTCAGGCAATCAGGAATTTACGAGCTGCCAAGCTGCCAAGCTGCCATCAAATTCATATAAAATCGAAATCAAATAAATGGCCAGCATTTTGAGCGACAGATTATTAAGGACAATTCTGTGAGTTATGCGTGCCGCTGCAAAATATGGCCATTTGTATATATTTTACTGGTGGCAAAATTTATGCAACTGGCTCGGCGGTGTTGTCATTGAAGTGTTGCCATCATTTGTTGTGTATGAGAACAGCATTTGAGTAATTGGCTTTCAACTGCAGATGATGTCCATGTGGTACAAAATGTATATTATTTGTCACATAATCAGTTGGCAGATTCAATTGCGCTCAATTCAAGTCGTAAACAATTTTATTTAATGGCCATAAGTAAACAACGGCAACAACAACAGCACTGACATCCTGTTACCATAAATAGCTTGGCCAACATCAAATCATAATAAAAAACAAAAAGCAACACAACTTCGTTCAAATTAAACAGCCACGCGCGTCACATTTAGGCTCGTTTCCGTTTCCGCTTCCGCTATTTTATTGAAAATAACGTCACAGCGAAAGTTAGCCCAAAAAATTTGTAGGCCATGTAGGAGATAATAAAGCCATAAATTGGTCCAAGCAGTTACAATTTTCATATCCTTATCTAATGGTAGAGAATCAAAAGAAGATTATTTCGTTTGATTTCAAGGTTTCGCTTGCCTTTAGCTCGTGGTTTGTGCACATGATTAGCCAATTCACGAACCCAGAATGTAATTTCAGTCGTCCATGTTCAGTACATGCGCTTAAAGTTCATATTTCATTAGTATTTTATTCAAAAAATAGTATTCACAATTCCTTTCATTCACATTTGCAATGCAGGCAGGCTAAGACTATTCAAAAATAAGTTTGTAATTTACAATTTGCCCTTTGAGCATTTTAGTTTAGTTGATGCGATTTGACACAGCCGCCTGTTGCACGTAGTTGGCCAGCCATTTGCCCACTTGGGCCTGATTGAGCTCCAGCCACTTAATGTTAGCTTTAACCGTTTCCAGTGCCTGCTGACGCGCCGAGGTGCCAGCACCAGCATCTGGATATTTGGCAAAGAACTGTTGCATCTCCTCCAGTTTGGTTTGCGTTGCAAAGCGCGCGGTAATTGTAGGAATTAGACGACCCAAGTTGCGCTCGTTAATACCATAGCGTTCCACTAGTTCCTGCCAGTTTTCGCGCACATAGTCCCAGACGAGACTCTGGCCCACAGGATTGGCGGAAATGTATCCCATTAGTGTGAAGTAGTCCTGACGTCGCACATTTTTCTCATCCCAGGCCAAATTGATGTAGCGTTGCAGAAGCCAGGGCACCTTTATAGCTGCCAGTGCATTCATCAGCTTAAGCTTTTCCTGTGCATCGGGTTCAGTCAGATACAGCTGCCAGACCTGATCCCAGGCGGCCTCAGTATTCACTTCTTGCAGACCAAAATAATAAACCACATCGCGCACATCAGGATTAGGGCGAGTGTCGGGAGTGGCCAGCCATTGCTTGAACAAAGTAGCTGCCTGTTCCAGTGAGCTCTCGTGTCCAACTCCGCAAGCAGCGCTCAGAACTTTGATGCGCAGTTTACTGTAAAATGTAAGTTTTTAAATATATATCAATGTTAGAGCAGTGTTATATTTACTTTTCCAAATGATCTTTGCCCACGGTAAAGGTAAGCTTCTCTACAATAGGAGACAGCAACTTGCGGGCGTATTTTGTAAAGTCCTTGTAAATGCCCGTATAGTACACACGGTTTCTGAGCGATGTCAGTGATGCGGTGCCCACGCTCCAAGGTACATAGTCCTTCTCTTCTTCCAGATATGTGCTCAGCTCAAGAGCAATGGTATAATCCAGCTGTGATGCATCTGCCAAGGCATTGGCGTCGTTTAACAAATGTGCACGATCCGCAGTGCTAAAGTCTTCACGTGATTTCTTGAGAGCATCCACCAATGTTGTCCACTGCTCCTCGGCATAGTTGACACGATAGTAGCCCACCTGATCCTTGTTGAACTTTACCCAACTAACAGTGCTTGGCACAGAGATGACAAGCTGATTATCATTATAGTTGAATATCGTGGTCTTTGGGGTGCTGTCCGCGCTTGTTATGTAGGTTATTGGTATGGACCAGCGATAGCTGCAAAACGAATGGAAAGAGTTGAGTGCATTGTGAACACGAATAAACTACTTTCACCTACTTGAAGGAAGATGGCTCAACCTCAACATTATAGTCATCCTGATTGGCTAGAAAACGTTTCTGTTTCAGTCTATAATTGTTGCCTTCCTTTACCACTTCAACCACCGGCAGACCCATCTGTTCGGTCCACGTTTGCATGATTTGCCTGCAAGCAGAAAAGTAATTAAATAGATTGTAGTTCTGCAGTACAATAGCTGCTTGACATACTTGACATCAAAGTCGAGACCATCTTCCTCCTCAATTGCCGTCAGATAGTCTTCAGTAGTGGCCGTGCTATAGATGTGGCGGTTCAAATAGCGCGTGGTGGCATTTTTCAGTTTCTCTTCGGTCACAAGATTCTCCAACATACGCACCAAAGAGCCGCCCTTGGAGTAGGTGATGGTATCAAAGTATTCGGTGATCTCAGCAGGACTCTCAATCGTTTTTAAAATGGGATGTGATGCAAGTGTCGCATCGACCTTCAACACGGGGTGCAGCTCGTCAATCACGAATTGATTCACCTACGGAGTTGAAATTTATTTATAAAATAAACTATAAATTGAAAGCAGAGTACTCTTACCATATCCCAATCAGCGTGCATGTAATGCACGCCCTTGTACTCAATGAATGTGGCAAAGCCTTCGTTAAGCCACAGATCGTTCCACCACTTCATGGTGACCAGATTGCCAAACCATTGATGAGCCAATTCGTGGGCAACGACAGTAGCAACGCGCTGCTTGTTAACGCTTGAGCTGGTCTTTTCATCGTAGAGCAGTGCAGTCTCCCTGTATGTGACCAAACCCCAGTTCTCCATGGCACCGGAGACAAAGTCGGGTATGGCAACCATATCCAATTTGGGCAGAGGATACGAAATGCCAAAGAGATCTATATAATATTCTATAACGCCGGCGCCAATATCCAAAGCGTATTCGGCCTTCTCAATCTGTGCTTTCGGCGCAAACACGCGTATGTCAATAGTGGTGTCACCAATTTTTTTCGTGATATGCGCAAAGTCCGAAATGACAAAGGCCGCCAAATAGGTGCTCATGGGCACTGTTTCCTCGAATGTAACCTCCGTCAGATCGCCCTCAATTTGTTCGCTCTGCAAAGGAAGTATTCATATATAGATTATATTTTATTTGTGGCTATATGGATATATTTTGGCGTTCTCTTACGGCAACTGGCATATTGGAGAGCACGTGGTACTCATCACCGCTGGGGCGGGCAATTGTTATGGCAAACTGCGCCTTAAGATGCGGCTCATCGAAACAGGGGAAAGCCAAGCGCGCGTAGGTGGGTTCGAATTTGGTGCTTGCAATCCATCTATCAACAAATTAAGCATATTACTTTAGTGCTGATATATATAAACCAATTGAATTAGTTAAAGGTTAGTCATTGGTTAAATTAAAGTGCATGCATTCGTGGTTAGCTTATGAAAGACACAAAAACTGCGTCTACCTGGTGCGTTTGCTCTGCATATCGTAGTATGAACTCTGGTACAGCCCGGTTAAACGGTCGACTAATGAACCATTAAATTTCAGATGCAACGTATAGTTGCCCACCTCCAATGGCTGCTCGAATTCGCTCACCCAGTATTCGAGATTGGGATGTTCAAAGCTGAGCGTTGGCTTGATTTCCGCCAATGGAGCACCCGATTCATCCAAGCGCTGCAATCGCCCATGGGTTACATTCAACTGTTTGATATGCACGGGTATAAAGGCGATGGGATCCACCACTTGTAGATTGATGCTAATGTTGCCCGTATAGCTCTTGGCATTGAAGTCGGGACGCAAATCCAACATATATTTTTGCGGCTGCAGCGCCTCGGGCAAACGGAAGCTTAGTTTCTGCAGTACACGGCTGGCAGCTCGGATTTCTTGCGATATGGCGGCCATGGCGTCTACTTTTCTTGTTGTTGGCACTTGTGTGGTATACGCTCGAATATCTGTGTTGTTTGTTATTATTATAATTTGTTTATCAGTAATTTATAATTGTGTTCAAATCTTTTTTTGCAACTCATACAAAATCAGCGCGTCTAACAGCTGTTGCGTTTCCGATAACGATAACGCAGCATAGTATGCTGTGCACGGCACAAGCAAGCAATACAAAGCTGATTGCTATGAGAGTCACTGTTGCTTAGCGCGCTCAACTTAACATTTGAAATGGTGAATTTTGAAAATTTGAAACAAACCTGTAAGCACACTCAATATGGGCTTCGTGGACAATAACTGATCACGATCCACATATATGGTGCGTACTGTATCGTTAAATACAGTTAGACTGCCAGCATTGTTCGCCTGCTGCTTCTGATGCTCATCGGCAATATTTTTGCCCACAAAAACCAAAGCGCCCAGTAGAAAACTACACAGCACCAAAAGGAACACACAAAACGCGACCAGCGTGAGGACCGTGTTGCTTGGCGATTTCTTATGGACGCGATTCGTATCCTTGATGCGATGATTGTCGTCTGTGGAGAGGCTGCTGCGTGGACGCACGTTTTTTGTCGCATACATGCCGACTTGACTTTTTAGCTTTTTCTTTATTTATAATTTATACTATTTGGTTGATTTTTAATATATATATATATTAAGCTGTTGGCTAATTAAGCGCTATTTACACTGGTATTCAAACATTTATGATGACTGGGCGTGCTATAAAAATTTGAAAGCGATTAATTGCATGAAATATGTCCAGCAGGGAACTACACAGATTTATTTAGAAATATTTATTTTTGTCGTACAAGTTTTGCTCTGTAGATATGATGGCTAAGAGAAATTGTAGACCTAGGTTTAAATTCCAGGTAATTGTTGGTAGAGTCAAGGCATAAATTGGTCAAAAAGGTACCCGTCAACGACAACTGTCATTTAGTAATTTTCAGTAAGTTGTTTAAAAAATGTAGGCGGGCTTAAATTCCACTCCAAGCTTCAGCTTGTCTCTACAAACAAGCAAAACCAATATGTTTTTTCTACGCCGAAATCTTTCTCTCAACCATATGCCTCAGCTTTATTACTGTTTGCAACTTTATCCTATGATTTGACTGCAATAAGTATATATCAACTATTCGCAGAAATCGATATATATATATATTTCTTCTGCAATCTGTAAATAAGGCATCTCTATCGACACCTGTTAGGAATTACCTGAAGCCACAACAATAATAAACACAGTATTCGAATAAGATAAAAATAATTTCGTTGAAGTCACACAATTTGTTTATATCTTTCATGTTATTTTAGGCCTGATCAGCATTGAGTCATCGTCACAGGTAATTTGAGCTCTTCGTAAACAGGCCAAATTACAGACGTGACTATTATCACATTTTCGACAGTTATATCCTATAAGCACAGAGAGACATATATACATAACATTGCTTGTCGCATTTGATACGATTTTCATTCAAAGTTGATGCGATTTTGTGTCCATTGCAGATCAATCAAATGTAATCTTTAAGCTGTCACGTAATTGAGTCTCTCATTTCGCCTTCTCTGTGTAATTGTAGCCAAGTTTAACTCTTTTTGTTTGTTTGTTTTGTTGTTGTTGGCGAACCGCAATGTTGTATTACAAATTTCCAGGTTTATTGCAATTGCAATGATTCGACGACCGCAGGCCACTTTCTATAAAGGCGTTGGCTGCGCTGTCAGCGTCGCTGTCGCCTGCCTGTGTGTGTGTTTGTGATTGACTGATGGATGGATGGTTGGATGAATGGAAAAGGTTGTTGGCTTTTTGTCAGTTGATTTGCACTGCAGCCTCCATCTTTCTCTCTCTATCTCGTTCTCTCACTTAGCTTAAGTCATGGGAACAATTTCCCGGACAAAAAATAAGCTTTGCAAATGAATTGAATTAGCCATAAAATTCAGATGCGGTAGTCAAAGCAGTTGTAATTTATGTTATCACACATATGTGTATATTTGGGCTATTAAGCAATAAACAAATTAGCATTAGGTTAATGGCCAAAACTAAACTTGTTTAAGCAATCAAGCGAGCAATATATAAAAAAATACATTATATTGTTTTCAAAATAAATTGATTAATTACAGATATGTACTCAAGCTTCCGGGTTTAATGAATAAACAATACAAACTTTAGAGCTCTTGTGTAATTTAAAAGTTTTTGTACAAAAGCTGTACGGATTAAATAAAGGAGCTCAGATTAAGCAAGCTTTCTGTCAAGTTTTCATTTACTTCGAAAGTTAGTTTACAGAAGATTCCCATATAAAGTAAAGGACACCAAACTAGGCTCAAAGTTGCATGTGCTTTGAAAGCTACTTGATATAAACTTTGAAGCAAGCGTAATGTTTTAACAAAGCACGCCTAAAGCCTGAAGTAGGCATTGAATCTAATTTGCATAGAAAGCAAGCTTAAAGCTTTGAGATTCTTTAAAAGCTGCATTAAAATATTTTCAGTAAAGTACAGAATTTAACTTTTAATACAATTCAAAAACTTTTCAATAACAAAACTATTTTTATTATGGAAATTGTTGTAATCGAAACAAAAAATTTGAAAATATATCATGATTTACTTCTAACTTTTCAGCATAATGTTTCCATGTTACACAACACTGTTGTGTAGCTATTTTTGTTAGTTTTATGCAAGCTAATATAGCTGTGTCTTCATTTCGAATTCTCGTAATCTATGCTATGCTCTTACAATTGTGATTTTTAAGTAGTATTGTGTACACATGCCCATACTTAAGTAGCTCAACTTCCACAATGAAATGATTAAGATACAAAATTCAAGCGAGCTGCGAGATGAGAAACATATGCGTTAATTTCGGCCGCTTGTGCGAATCCAAATGCGAATGCGAGTGCGAGTGCGAATCTATAGTGTTGAATATGATAAAATATGATAATTGTCTGGGGCAGGGGGACAGAGATGCAGGGCGTCTGTCTGGTTGCCACACAGCTCTCAACCAACTCATCATCATCGTCTCTATGTCTCTGTCGCTGACGCCTACGATGATGCAATGCATTGGCGTTGACTCAATTAGGCTGCAGACAAAAGCCAACAACAACTACTATAACAACAACAAAAAAGAGCAACTGCAACAATAATAAACAACAGAATTCATGACTACCTTATAAGCCAAACACTTGATGATGATGGCAGCTGCAAAATATCTGCGGCTGCATAACTTTATGCATCCTATTGTATCTCTAGCGGATGCACTGAGAGCAACAACTAAACATAAGCTTTTAGAAATTCCTAAAATGTATATATAGAGCTCCCTTAAAAATAAAGTTAAAGTTTAAAAATTCTTTGACGAACAATCAAAATATTATATTGCAAAATTTGATACTTTCTAAAGTCCTCTATATCAATTTTCAATAATCTGTTTTCTTTCAGTGCATGCGGCGCTGCTAATGAACGCGACATTAAAAGTCAAATACATTCAAAATTGAAATGAATTTAATGCACGATCCCAAGTTGAATGCACTTGCAGAATGCTATTATAATTATTCAAAATTAAATTTGATTCTCACTCTTGTAATACTCGCTCACTTTGTGCTACGCAGAGTATATTGGCTTTTATATCCCATAATGTATAGCACATTATTTGACTGTAGCCATATGCCTAAAGTTTACACTCGTTTTTATCCTCATTTGTTGAATTATTACGATTATCTAGACAATTCTACTTTTATAGCTAGAGGCAAGAGTTCAACTGCCAACTGATAAACATACGGACAAAAGTTTTTTGAACGCGTATTATGCCGTCGGTTGCATCCTACAGCAATGTTCTGACTCGTTCCAAATAAACTTTCACAAAGCCAATGTAAATAAAGAAATGCCGAGTGCGACCCACAAATGCCCAAAAAGTGAACCACAGCAGTATAACACTCGCCTAGCTACCTAGCTGTCTGATTGGGTCACTGTGACTAAGAAATACGTGACTCAAGTTGCTAATACGCACAGACTTAAGTATTTCAAAAGCACGCCCAAAAACCTTTTGAAGTTAAGAAATTGAAGCAGAAAACAGAAATCAGAAAACAAAGGTAAACTTTCAACAGTTTGTCTGTTATGCACAATAAATAAATGGTATTGCTAACGGTTTTGTTTTTAAACAAATTACATAAGGATCAAATACAATAGGAAACAAAAAATAAAAAAATAATTATAATAATCGCGCTGCAAGCTTGAAAAAGTATTTGCATAAATAATTAATACAAATTCATAAGAGAATTGTGAATAGAAAAACTAAAAATCTTTATCGATTATTGTAAACTATTCCCACTACAATTACTAGAAATTTAAATATAAGCTGAGGCTTAGAAGTCATTATTTCAAATATGGGTCATTTGGTCCAAAAATTATTCAAAAACTATTCAAAAGTAACTTTTCATTTTTACTACCAATCTCTCCTCCCATATTTCTAGACTTAAGAAAAACATTTTTGTATTATAAGTCTTCACTATATCAATAACAATTTCCTATAAATAAATAAATAATTACTATACAAAGTTCCATTTTATTAAATTGATTAATAAAAGATAAGATCTCCGTTTGAAAAACACTGAAAATCAAATTAATATGAAATTTTGCTTTTAGCCATATTTTTGTTAATTACAAAACTAATGATGACCTTCATTTTCTGGCCAAACACCAAAGAAGCATGAAAGAAAGAAAGAAAGAAATTTAAATAGATCGAGCGACAGTTGCCCCAAAGGCTTCAAAGAGAAATGAAGTAAAAAGAAAAGAAATCAGTGCCAATGAAAATGAAAAAAGGTTTGAACAAAGCGCGTTGCATGAACTTGTCAGAACAAAAAAAGAGCTAAACATGAAACCCAAAAATAACAAAAACAAGTTCTAGACATGTCTGGGAAACGCAACTGCCTGATGCCCTAGGAATTAAATATCTGTTTCATTTACTAAACAAAATAAATAGCTCTTCAACTCTGTGAGATATATGCTTGGCAAAAGTGAACTAAAGATCAATAACTATCGTTTATGTAGATGATTGCATCTGCAGGGTGACCTATAAAATGAGCTCACAGCTAATTATACATATTTGCTGTTCACGAATTAACATAAGCTAAAAGCTATAAATAATGCATAAAGAAAACTATCGAATATTTTTGTTGCCTAATATAATTTAAAATGGGAGTCGCAGGAGTACAGGGTTTACAGTGTATTAATTAATTACAAAGCACTTTCATAAGAAAAAGAAGTTTGTACAAAAGAAACAAGAACCAACTAGCGGAAATAACGCCAAAGTCGAAGTCGAAGTCGACCCATTTCATTTGAGCTTTTAAAGAAAGTAATATTTTTTTTCTAAGATTAACGAGCAACAGCAGCTTGCGCTTGGCCACAACAACTTGTAAATGTAAACACAACTCAGAAGCGAAGTGAAGTCGACGGCGCTGTTGCCGTCGTCGTCATCGTCGTCGTCGTCGTTGCCTTCGTGTATTGGCCGATTTTAAGGCCAAGAACTTGCGCGGCAAGTGAACTATGAGAGAGGCTGAGCCGAAGCCTGTTTGCCGGCTCAGCGGATGTGGAGCAGTAGGAGATGAGATGGGGCGGGGGCTAGCCCGACTGGTGTTTGCGGTCTTGGTGTGGCAAGCGCAGTTGCAACCTGTTTTGCGTGCGTGAAAATTCTGCTGCTTCTTGCGTTTTTTTTTTATTTACGATGTTTATTGTTGAAAGTCAAAGTTGGCATCGAATTCAATGGCCGCATTTGTGTTTTTATATTATTTTTTTTTTATTATTATTATTATTATGGCAATGTATTAGAAGTTCGCGCCTCAATGCGCTCAATTAGTTGTATAGCTATATATAGTTATATAGTTATTTAGCGCCACACCGCCCTCCCCTCTACAATGACAACACAAAAATTTGTTCAGTACTTAGAAAACAAGATCGAAAAAAAAGTGATAAAAATAAACGGTATTCTGTCGTATTATTTGCAGTCGTGCGCGAGCATGTGTCCGTCCATGTGTATATATGTTACACAGTAGCTAGTAAATCGTAGTTTACAGTTTGTTGGCAAAAATTGTGTGGTGACAGTTACATATGAGTTACAGTTAAATAGAGTCACAGCAGCCTAATTCTCTTTTTGTGCTCTAAATTATAAGCCCAGCCCAATAACTGCTCTATTTGATAACGGCACTCGACTTAATCTTTTGCTTTACTTAATTCAAATCGATGCCGCGCACGTTTCTTTCACATTCGTAAGAGCGCGCGAGAGAGCGAGAGACGAGATCAGTGTTCGTTGAAGCGATGCGCATTGACAAACGACGACGACCGTCGCGCTCAGCTTTGAACTTACAACTGAAAGGCGATTGTCAAAGCTGCCATTGCGTGCCAAGCTTTACCGAAAGCTTCGCACAACAGCTGAGACCGGCTTATTAAACGAACAGTCGTGCTCAGCTTACCATTGACACTTCATTGAGCATTAAGCACATAGAGATGGAACTATGCTCACGAGCTTTGACTTGATATTATAGAGCTTCGCTTAAAGCGCGCTATCTATTATTAGCAATTGTACTCACGAGCTTTGGCTGTTTGTAGGTCAATTTTAAACTCGCTTATTAAACGGTTTTTCTTCTTTTATGCGCGTTGTCTTTCATAAGCTACCACAATAGCTGTACTCACTATTTGAAATGCTAAAAACTAAACTCACCTCTGATTGCCTTCCTCATCCGTATAGCTGCTTCTGTAGGAGCCAACGAGACTATTCAAATTGCAGTCAAAGCTAGCGGATAGCGTATACGCCTTGTTCACGCTGAGGACCTCTCGCAACTCGATTATTAGCAGCTCTCGCGTTTCATCCAGATAATATGTTTTGATCGCTATGCGCATGCGGGCCATCATATTCAGAATGCTAATGCCGTGCACATTCAGATCCTTGGCATGCAACACTATCAAATTGGTAACAGCGTCCAGTTGGAACTGAATGGAGACAGTGCCTTCACAGGCGCCCGTCTTCAGATCGGGGTGTATATAGAGGCGATAACGTATGGGTCGTATCTCGCTTGGCAGTCGATATACAATCTAGTTGCAGTTATAAATATTTGGTCAATATCCATGATTGATAACAAGAAACTCGTTAATTATGATAAGGCAGGCGATAAAGAACTTAATCGTTGGTCACCTATCGTTAATATTAGCTGCACTGAATCAACTGAAGTATCTTAAATATATATGCCGAATGTTTTTTTATTTTATTACTTTTAAGCCATATTTGAGCAACGTTTTTTAATAACTAGAATTCGCTGCGTAAATGCGCTTGAAACAGATTTCTTAGATTAGACAGGTCTTTGCTCTGTATATAATCCTCCAGTACATCAAGTTTCTCTCTAGCATCGTTGAGCTGCAGCCACAGATTGTCCCTGTGGACCACAACAACGACCAGAGCGACGATCAGACATGTGGACAGCAGACCAAAGAATATGGCCACATGTTCCGCTGTGATTTTACCTAACGGAATTTAATTTGCAAGTTTTTAGGGCTAACAACATACAGGGTGTTACCTATGACTCACCCTTTAGGCCTTCTATAAATTTGACCATTTCGAACGACCAATTCGCACACTGACTACAGCTAAACTAAACGCTGACCAATGCGTAATGGGTTTTTAGTCAAGATAAAAGAGAATAAAACCCAAACCGATAATCGGAAAAAGCGGACTATATAATATGATAATATATGAATTGGTGCTAATGCCGACTTTACGGCAGTCTACACAGTGTTATAAAAAATGCCTCTACTTACCTCTTCTGGGTTAGGCAGTCCGGTGGGCAGTGTGGGATAGATGGGAATTTCATTGTTCGGAGTGGTGCCTTCACTGGGTATCGTTCCGCCACCTGGTGTAGTTCCACCTCCTGGTGTAGTTCCACCTCCTGGTGTAGTTCCACCTCCTGGTGTAGTTCCACCTCCTGGTGTAGTTCCACCTCCTGGTGTAGTTCCGCCACCTGGTGTAGTTCCACCTCCTGGTGTAGTTCCACCACCAGGTGAAGTGCCACTACTAGGCGTTGTTGCAGATGAGGTGGGTCCTGCTGTTGTGGTGTCCGCTAAGAGATTGTCCAGCTTATTAAGTGCATCCTGTAGATCATCCTCTAGACTGGCATTCTCCACGGCCAACACGATGGTGGCTACACAAAAGGCGACGGTGGTCAAGCCCAAGCAAATGGCGACCGTCTTGACCGTTAGCCCTAAGGGAGAAGCGAACAATTGTCATATGTATCTGCACACATATCAGGCTTATAGACATTTCTATTGCTATGCACTTACAAGCAACCATTTTTTAGTTGGAAGGATCCTTTTTTTTTAGCCCAATTTTCACTTCCACTTCGCAAAGTGTCTGAAAGTAAACTAATTTTAAAGTCGAACATCTGCGTTACTATTTGGACAGTTTATTGATATCTGGGCTCATGATAGACGCCTATCATTATGATGGGGCTTTTAGCGTTATATAGGCGCCATATAAATGCGTGCATATATCCAGCGTGGGCAGTCCAAATCGGAGTATGACAAGCAGACTTTTATCGAAGTTATTGGCGCTATTAAAATCGCCACTCGGGATATCTTCAATAAATGCAAGCAATGGTTTATTGGCTATAGTAGAGTTTATTGTTTTATGGGCTCTAAATTATGCAATTGCTGGAGTAATTGAGGAAATATTTAGTGAATCGAAATTTATTGGATATGGGAAATTTTTGGTCTATTTTACAATGGGTTTTTAGAGGTCAAGGGGGCAGCCGAACCGTCCAGCCAGCTGGCAATATCATTTTGGTTCTCCTTGAGCCAATTGATATTAATTTTGATGGTCTCGATCGCCTGCTGTCTGGAAGCAGCGCCGGCTCCCGCTTCAGGATATTTAGCATAGAACGCCTGAACTTCCTGGAGCTTAAGCTCAGTGGCAAATCTGTTCGTGATGCTGGCAATCACTTTGCCAAAATTGCGATCATTGAGGCCAAAGCGGGCAACTAGTTTTTGCCAATTCTCGCGATAGTAATCCCAAACAATGGGCAGACCCACAGGATTATCGGCGACATTTTGCAAAACTGTGAAATAGTCCTGAGAGCGCACAATAGTCTCATCACTGGCCAGGTCAAGCAAGCGATAGAGTAGCTGAGCATCCTGCACAGCGGACAGACCATACATTAACTTCAACTTTTCGCTGGCATCGGACTCCGCCTTGAACAGCTCCAGCAGCGCCTCCCAATTGGCCTCGCTGCTCGTCTGCCTCATGCCATAGTAGTAGACCACCTGGCGCAGATCGGGTGCAGGACGATTTTCTTCAGTCGGCTCGCTAAGCCACTTGGTAAAGCGTTGCTCTGCCTGGTCCAAGCAATCTGGTAACCCCAACTCACAGGCTGCGTCTAGCACAACACTACGCAGCCGACTTGAAAGTGAAAGAGAGAGAGAGAGAGAGAGTAAAAGTCAGAACTGTACGCATTGTGCTTTCTTAGCTGCTACTCACTTGCCCAAATGGTTGTCCGACTCAACAGTCCAGCCAACCTGCTTATAGACATTCGTCAGCAATGAGCGCGCATAGCTCACATAGTTGGCATAGCTGTCGCTGAACATAAGTTTTGCCTCCAACGATAGCAGGTTAGAGCTAGCCACATACCAAGGCACATAGTCACGTTCTCCGGCCAGGTAGGCGGTCATCTCCAGTGGCACTCTGTAGGAGAGCTGGCTGGCATCGGCCAGGGCGAAAGCATCGTTCAGCAGATGAGCCCGATCCGCAATATCGAAACGCGTCGGCTCATCCAAGAGTTGCTGAATGAGCGCTGACCAAATGCTGGACTCGTAGTTGACGCGATAGTAGCCGATCTGATGGACATTCAGCTTGATCCATTCAACATTTGATGGCACCGCGATATCTAACGTATCTTGATCGTACCCAAAGACAACGCTGTTGACCTCCGCCGAGCTTGGCAGGATGTAGGTAACAGGCACGCTCCATTTGTAGCCGAATTCAACGGGATCTACCACTTCGTCGTAGCTGTCCTTGTTGGAGAGGAAGCGCTGTTGCGTGATGATAAAAGTAGTTTCACTCGTCCGCACTACATTCAGTACGGGATATCCCATCTGCTCTGTCCAGGTGCGCATCAATTGCTTCACATCCAAATCGCTGACCTGAGCAGCCACCTCGGTGAGGAAATCATCCGTGACGGTGTTCCCGTACTTGAATTTGGTCAAATAGCTGGTTACCGCAGCCTGGAACTTCTCGGAGCCCACCAAAGACTCCAGCATGCGCAGCACCGAGCCCGCCTTCTCATAGCTGATCGTATCAAATATGGCCGTAATTTCATCCGGCGATTCCACCTTCTGCACAATGGGATGCGAGGAGAGTTTGGCATCGAACAAGAGCACGGGCTGAAGAGCTAGTATTTGAAATTGCTCCAGCTAAAGCAGATATGAATTAGGGAAAGAAATTCAGAGATTATGGTATGTCAGCTACAGCTTACCATGCCCCAATCCGGATGCACTGCGTCCACGCCCTTGTACTGCATAAAGCGAGCGAAGCCCTCGTTTAGCCACAAGTCGTTCCACCACTGCATGGTGACCAGATTGCCAAACCACTGATGGGTTATCTCATGGGCCAGCACAGCAGCTATGGACTGCTTGTTCCCTGTGGAACTGTAGTTCCCGTCGTAGAGCAACGCGGTCTCTCTGTAGGTGATTAGACCCCAGTTCTCCATGGCACCGGAGGCAAAGTCCGGTATGGCAGCCATGTCCAGCTTGGGCAGCGGGTATTCCACATTGAAGTACTTGATATAGTATTCGGTGACAGCCACGCCAAACTGCAAGGCGTATGTCACCTTATTCAGCTGATGGGGCGTAGCAAAGACGCGCATGGTAAAGTCGCTGCCAATGCCATTGGCCCGAACCGTGCTCGACTCTGAGTCAAAGTCTGAGACAATGATGCAGGCGAGATAGGTGCTCATTGGAACACTGGTGGCAAACGTGACCATTGTCTCCTCGCCTAGATTCATCGAATCCTGTCAAGAAAATTTGGTATGAATCGAAATCTACAAATCTAGACGCACTCCTAACTACCTCCTCGTTCATGTTGGAGAGCGCCGCATAGGAGCCGGAATTGGGATGTACCACACTGATAGCATAGGTGGCCTTCAAGGCGGGCTCATCGAAGCAGGGGAACGCTTGACGAGCATAGGTCGGCTCGAATTTAGTCGTTGCAATGTTACTGCAAAGTTGTGGCATGCTTTTAGGCTGTGGCACAATCGAATGGAATTCACTCTACTCACCGATTTTGGCCCGCGGGTGTCGAATAGCTGCTGCTGTAAAGTCCGGTCAGCTTGCCCAGCATCTTTCCTTCGAAGACAAGGCCCAGCGTGATGACGGCATTCACTGCTATGGTTTCCTTCACATTGACAATCAGCAGCTGACGCCCTTCATCCAGCTCATAGTTCTCCACCTCACGATCCAAGACATAGACGCTGGTGAACGTCAATTGCTGTGAGTGCAAAACGATTTGGTTGGTCGCCTCCAGCACATTGATGCGGATTTTCTCTTGGCCCATAAAAGTGCCCGCTTCCAAATTTGGATGCAGATAGAGCTCATAGTGCGCGGGCTTAACTGTCGTGGGCAGGCGATAGTCAATCTGATTGAAAAAAATTTATTATTTGATAAGCTAAGCGAAACACTTCTTAATGCTAGTAAGACCCACATCGCCATCAGTCTCGCGCCTTGCCCTGTGGAGTCCAATGTTCGAGTTATTTAGCGCCTCGTACATATCAATCTTTTCCCTCATATCTCGCAGATCTGCCTCCAGCTGTGTGCGCTGCACAGCAACCACAAAGGTGGCCGCTGCGAAGGCTGTGACGGCCCAGAACAGAAAAACGCGTAACCCATAGCCGTTCGGAGACATCTTGATGCCTTGGCCGACGATCGCTAACTAATGAAATTGGCCACAGCTCGACTATGAATATACTAATCGACTGTGGCCCTGTTCATTTTTGCCCGCCAATAACTCAATTTGATTATGGGCACTTGAAGCATTTTATAGCCAGCATTGGCGATAGTGAGAGTACAACTGTAACTAAAAGCCCAAAGAGTTGGATAATGAAGCGAAGCCGATATAGAATACATAGCAATATTAAATTTATTCGGACACTTATCGACCATGTTTGTAAGCCCTGTTAACACTTGCGATAAGCGGGCTATATTGACAAGGAAAACCAATTTGATTTGCATGTTTAAGCTAATATGACAGTTTACCTGTCACGCCCGATGCAAATATTGATTGAAGATAAATTTAATATACGTATGACCCATACTAAAATTGTATAAGTTAACAAATACAATAATCTGAAAGCCCAACTTAAGCTATTCAAATTGGAAATCTATATATATATAAATAATCTATATATATATATATATATATATATATATATATATATATATATATATAGATTTCCAATTTGAATAGCTTAAGTTGGGCTTTCAGAAAACCTATCGATTGGCAATAATTATTAAAGACTTACAAATTTTTCCCATATATCTATATATCTTCTCAAATATCTATATACGTAACAAATCTGTTTGATGACTCTCAAGTATTCAACACATCGATAAATATCGATTAACAACAAACCCGTTTAAGTCACATATTACACAGTTTACTTATTTCAAAAACATTAGCTTTTCTAGTATGCTAAAAAACGTTATTTTTTATACTTTACGTTGCAATATCGATATATATCGATTTTTAATCACGCTGTTTTTTAAGCATATTTTGTATATTAATGAAGTATACCATATAAATAAGAAATAAATTCTTGTCAAAATTTTTAACAAGCCAACATATCGATAAATATCGATTGACAACTTAATTGTTTAACTTACTGATGGCAGTTTATCAGAATTAAAATGGATTAAAATTATATCAAATACATAACAAAACTTTATTTTTGATATTTAATGTGGTAATTGCATGTGGCGATATCGATAAATATCGATTATGCTTTTTGGCATATTTTAGAGCTTGTTAAGACTCAATTTGCTGGTTTGTTTTGTTGTTGCTTTCGAGAAGCATATCTCAAGGAAGACTATCAAATTGAAGCTAACTGTTCTTAAGCAGTAAATTTGTTTTTGTTTTTTTTTTCAATTTGAATCGAAAATCTTATCACCGTCACATTTCCCACTTTGATCGGTATTTCTGTTTTATAGAGCTATAACTATTCCGATATTAGTTTTATTAATTTCTTTATTTGTATTTGTGGGTTTCGCCACAGTTGTCTAATCTTTACAATGCCAATTCAGTGAGTCAAAAAATCGATGTGACTTTGACCACTTCGATTGTCCTAGTTTGCCCGGTGCTCGTATCTAGTTCAGTCGCTGCTGCTTTTCCAGCCAGGCGTCGACGCTTTCGAGATTTTCGGCCAGCCACACAATGTTGTTCTTGACCGTCTCCAGTGCACGCACACGCGCTGCTGTGCCCGCGCCGGCCTCTGGATACTTGGCAAAGAACTGTTCCATTTCTTCCAGCTTGGTTTGGGTGTGGAACCGCGCCGTTATCGATGGTATCAGATTGCCCAAGTAGCGTTCGTTCAGACCAAAGCGGGTCACCAGCTGCGGCCAGTACTCGCGCACATAGTCCCACACCAGCGACTCGCCCATGGGATTGGCCGAGATGTAGGTCAAGCAGGTGAAGTAATCCTGTCCGCGCACATACTCCTCATTCCAGGCCAGATCAATGTAGCGTCTCAGCAGCCAGGGCTCCTGCACGGCGGCCAGGCCATACATAAGCTTCGATTTCTCGCTGGCATCGGCCTCATTGATGAACAGCTCCCAGACTGCATCCCAAATCTCCTGATTACCCACCGACTGCATGCCATAGTAGTAGACCGTCTCGCGCACATCGGGACTGGGTCGCTTATCGGGCGTGGCAAGCCAGGACTTGAACTGCTGACCGCCCTCTGTCAAACAGGACTCCAGACCCAAGGAACAGGCAGCACTCAAAGCGGTCACGCGTAGGCGGCTGAGGGAGGGAAGTTAAGAAAGAGAAATCAAAGAGAGGTTGGCTTAAATGGAGAGAGAGTGAGACTTATCAGCCCTGATAGAGTCAAATATATCCAAGAGACAAGAATATATTTGTTTGAAATATTTAGCAAATCAAACAAGGCAAATTTCGATCGATATTAATCGATAAATCGTCAAACATTATAAGTAATCAATTTTCTCTATTCTTATTTCTATACCTGAATGAAAGTAACCTATCGTATTCCCCCCCTAGCTCAAGCTGTTTGAAAGCCCTCACTTACTTATCCAAATGATCCTCTCCCACCGTCCAGGTGAGCGACGTGTAAATGGGCTCAATCAGAGCTGTGGCATATTTCTTGAACTTGGCATAGCTGCTGGTGTAGAAGAGAGTGCGCTTCAGCGAGGTCAGCTTGGAGGCAGCCACGCTCCAGGGCACATACTCCAGTTCCTTATCTAAATATTTGGTCATATCGAAGGCGATCTCGTAGGGCAGCTGGGTGGCATCGGCCAGGGCGAAGGCGTCGTTAAGCAGAGAGGCACGATCGCCGGCGCTGAATGCCTCTGGCTTAGCCACCATCTGATTAGCCAGCGACGCCCACAGAGACTGATCATAGTTGACGCGATAATAGCCGACCTGATCGTAATTAAACTTGATCCAATCCACAGCACTTGGCAAAGTTATAGTGACTGTAAGGCAAGTGATCTCAAAGATAAGATCAAGCAATATAATGGAAATTTATCACTTACTTTCGCTCTGATCGTGGTAAAACCATTCGCGTTTCACCGTGGGATCTTTGCTGGTTGTATATGTGATGGGTATGGACCAGCGATAACTGCAATCGTATATATAATATATGTGTGAGCATCAAGAAACAAATCAACTAAAGATAAAGTTAAATATTTACTTGAATTCCGAGTGCTCGTGCACCGCGTCATAGTCGTTGGGATTGGACAAGAAACGTTTCTGTGTCAATTTGTATTCAGTATCGGACACCTTGGCGATCGTGACCACCGGCAGACCCATCTAAAACACGGCAGCCATAAAAATTAGGTTAGATGTCTATGTAAATCTGGAAGCAAGCTGCACAACTGAACATCAAGCCACACGCTCACCTGCACCGTCCATGTGAGCATGATGTCCGTCACATTAAAGTCCAGCCCCAATTTGTCAATCTCCGCAAAGAAGTTGCCCGTTACGGCGTTCTGGTATTTGTATTCATTGAGATAATTGGTAACCGCCCGGCGAAAGATTGTCTCGCCCAGAAAATCTTCCAACATGCGCACCAGCGAGGAGCCTTTGGAATACGTAATGGTGTCAAAGATCTCGGTTATCTGATCGGGATTCTCCACCTTCTGAATGATGGGATGTGAGCCCAGAGTGCTGTCCAAGCTGAATACTGCATGCAAAGTGCTCACAATAAATTGGTCCCGCTATGAAAAGATTAGCCACACATAAAAATAGAAAGTTATTTATATATTTATTTATAAAACTTGCCATATTCCATTTGGGAAAGACGGAATTCACGCCCAGATACTCAATAAAGCTGGCGAAGCCCTCGTTCAGCCATAAATCATTCCACCAATGCATAGTAACTGATATCAGAGCGCATATAAAAAATGAAATGAAATATTAGTGGAGCTAATCCCCCGTCTTATCTGGAGTGGACATACCTAAATTTCCGAACCACATGTGCGCAAATTCGTGGGCTATGACGCTGGCAATGCGCTGCTTATTCACCGTGGAGCTGGTGGCCTCCTCGTAGAGCAGCGATGTCTCCCGATAGGTGACCAGACCCCAGTGCTCCATGGCGCCCGATACGAAATCGGGTATGGCAGCCATATCCAGCTTGGGCAACGGATACTCAATTTGGAAATAATCTATGTAGTACTCAATGACGCCCTTGCCCACGGTCGTGGCAAAGTCGACCTTATCGATCTGTTCGGGTGTCGCATAGACGGCCATATCGAAGGACTCGCCAATGCCCTTGGTATCGATCTTCACCGACTTCGACTCAAAATCGGAGACAATGAAGCAAGCGAGGTAAGTGCTCATGGGCACGCTCTTGGCAAATCGCACCTCAGTGTAGCTATCCTTCTCCTGCTGCGACTCCACATTCATGTTGGAGAGCGAGTGGTAGTTGTCGCCCTTCGGATGTACCAATGTTATCTCAAAGGTGGCCTTCAAGGCGGGCTCATCGAAGCAGGGGAACGCCTGGCGAGCATAGGTTGGCTCAAACTTGGAGGTGGCAATCTTCTTGCGACTCTCATCGGCCTTCACATAGGACGAGCTGTAGAGACCCACAATTTTGTTTTCCATACTACCCGAGAACTGAAGAGTGAGCAATGCAGTTGAGCCTTTGCTCAGTTCTTCTGACAAATTGATGATGAGAAACTCGCGAAGCGCATCGAACTCGTAATCCTTGACCGAAGTGGTGGGCTCAGTCGCCAGATAGATGTGCGCACTTGAGATAGTCAAGTTAAGCGAGTGCAATATTATCTTGTCCGTGGGCGCGTTCACGGTTAGGTTGATTGTCTCCTCGCCCGTAAACTCGCCCGTCTCAATATTCGGATACAAATAGAGATCGTAGTTTGTGGGTATCACGGCGGTCGGCAGACGATAGTCAATTTTCTCCGGCGCTGCTGTGGTCTCCGGCGCGATCGTGGAGCTCTCACTCGTGGGACTGGGTACGGCCGTCGTGGACGTAAAGCCAGCTTCGAGCAGATCTATTTTTTCCTGTGCATCGCGCAAATCGGACTTCAAATTCGACTTCTGCACGGCCAGCACAATTGTGGAGACGGTGAAGGCGGTGAGGGCCACGCCCAGGCAAATGCTAACCAACTTAGCAGTTATTATCATATTCGTTGACGGTACGGGCTAATCCAAAACGAGCGACACTCAAATCGCAACTAAGCGCTGACTACGGACAACTAGCGAGAGGTAACCATCAGGCCGTGAACTGATAACTATTTGTTAATCTAATCGCAATCACAAGTCGCTCTCTATCTCTGTCGCTCTTACAACAACTGCTGTATCTCTATGCAAGCATATTTTTAACGATCTGGCTTATTTACGGGCCACTCCATTTGGCTTCAATTTTTACGCATTGATTCGAATTGAGAAATGCCAAAAATCTGCGCGAATTTCCAATATTTCAGGAACAATTTTGAGAAACTCCCGGCGCCAGCATCGTAACTTTCCCTAGCGCCGGCGCCCATATGTGTATACATCTATAAATATATCTCTCTTGTAAGACCAATTGACCAAAGTGGCTGACTACCTGATCGATCGATCAGATCGGATCGGATCGGCTTTCGTTTTGTGTACTTACCCCGGCGCCTTAGGTACTTAAAAAACCCTTTTCCGGTGCGGGAATCTCGGCCTAATTAGAGAGAGAGCGAGAGGTTTTGGTATTTTCATTGTGTTAAAACCCACAACAAGAAATTTCCGCGCATGTTTTTAAACCGACTGGGGAAACATAATACAATGACTTTCTCATTTGGAAAAAGTGTGCCACAAATTGAAAGGAAACTCGCCCGCTCTCAGCCAATTTATGGATGTTTCGCAATAATATTATTGCCAGGCAGTCCTCAACGCGAGCGTCAAGTAGTACTATAAATTGGGATTAGATAGACGATATGATTAGGCTACATGCCTATCAATATTACATGAATATAAACAGCTCAAATACATATCGCTCGAGAAGTAGTCTGTACTTTGCGCTTATCAATTCGTAGACAATAGCTAGAAGACACCGTAGGCTCTGCCCGCATGCATGGCAACCTCACTACACCCACTTTCAATGCCTACAGGGTATTCATACATTACCTTCCCTCATTAACTCCAGTACATCCGATTAAAAACGTGTTAATTGGCGATAATTGATTGACTCAGGGTACTTTAATCGCAACGCGATATTCGGTAATACCAGCGCAGCGTATGCTGTCCGGCGGACTATTTACTGTTGGCGGAATTCACAAACAGCTTACCACAAAGCGCAATTAATTTTCCAAATTGTATTATTTGTCATATGTTTTGTTATATAATTGGCTTTGCCAGTCGAGTTGGCAAAACACAGGACACAGGGCACAGGGCACAGAACACAGTACGAAGGACGTTGGGTAAATCCGTAAAACTGAATGGAATCGATTGAGTTTCATTCATGAGCACGTTCAGGCGCCGCAGGACAGCTACCTGCCTAAGCGTGGGAAAGTTGATGCTGGCAGCAGGGATCGCTGTGGTCCTGCTCAGTCACAGGTAGACGGCAAGGAAATTGGGCTGCTCCGCAATTGCGTCGGTTCGCCGGATCGGAATCTGTTGGGTTATTTGTCCGACGCGCCGGGAGTTTCTTCTGTTCATGAAAAAGTCCCAAGTGGAAAAAAGGCAAATTTCCGGTTTTTTGATCTCGTCTCGTATTTCCCACGGCCCACAGTTCCTACGCTCGGTATAAAACCGGGCAATTGGCTCCTGCCGGCACACAGTCGAGCCAACGACAGCAAAGAGAACACACGCACCCACACACACACAGCATTATGTTTTATATTATACAAATATTCTTGAGCTTGGCGAGCAGTGCAACGGCTGCCAGCCTGACGGCGCCGTTAAGCTACTATCAATACACACAGTTCCAGGCGCCACTGTCCTGGGAGGCCATCAGCAGCAGCAGCTTGGACCAGGCAATCAGCAGCTGCCAGCGGAGCTTCAAGTGGCAGCGCTGGAATTGCCCCAACCAGGACTTTGTCAAACGACGCACAGCACCAACTCCGGCCCAGGCGCTGGATCGCGAAGACGTCTATGTGGCTGCCATTGCGTTGGCCTCCATATTGCATACACTCACCAAGGACTGCGCCAATGGCCTCATAGCCGGCTGCGGCTGCAGCGATAATGCCCTCAACATGCCCTGCGCCCATGAGCCGTCCAAGGCGCTGCAGCTGTACGAGCAGCGCTACGGCATGGGCGTCGATGCTTTGGGTCACAATCAGCGCGTGGTTGGCGCCCTTTTGGAGAAGTCATTGGAGCAGGAATGCCACTGCATCCAGCATGGTCCACAGGGCAGCTGCCTGGAGAAGAAGTGCGTGCAGGTGCTCAAGCCATTCGAAGCCATTGCCCAGGATCTGCTCAATATGTACGACGATGCCATACAGCTGGATACGACCGCCAGCAATCTGAAGATCATGTGGCAGAATATACCACTCGACTCGCTTGTCTATATGCTGGACTCGCCCAACTACTGCCAGCCGGAGGCCAGCGGACGCTGGGCGGGCACACGTGGACGCCAGTGCGCCAAGCACACGGGCAGCACAGCCGACGAGCGGCTCTCCTGCCAGCAGCTCTGTCGCGTCTGTGGATTCCGCGTGCGATCGCAGCATCTGCGCAGCGAACGGCGTTGCAATTGCAAGCTGGTTTGGGGCTTTCGTTTGCAATGCGATGTTTGCATTCAGCTGGAACGCCACTACAGCTGCTACTAAAGACGAAAGAGAGAGAGAGAGAGAGACAGACAGAGTGGGAGAGAGTGCGAGACTAAGCCAATTCAGGGCGCTGGTTGAGCCCAGTTACAGCTGCAATTATTTTCTTAATTATAAGCTAACTTATTTATATATAACTCTAATTTATTGACAACAATAAAAACAAACAATAAAAAGCGTAAATGGAAAATCAATATTTATTATTGTGCATAAATCAACAGTTGAGTATGCCCGACTTGACTTTAATATGCAGATAAATATATAGAAACTGAACGTGTAGGTGATGTAGTTAATTACATTAGTTAGTCCAATATCTAATCAGTCAAAGGCCATCAATTGCTGATGTCATACATAGCCCAATATCTAATCAGATTTGAGGCATCTAAAAATTGATCGTAAACCCATTAAATATAAACTAATTGCTCTCAGATTCGCAATAGTACAAAAGTGTACATAAATCCTTAGATATAGTAAATGTGTATAAATATATATATAGATATAGATATCTGTTGTCTAAAAGGCTATATTAGACAAGCGAGAGTGGTTCGAGAAATATGAACTCAAAGTTGAATTCAACTCATGAAATTTACTATTTTAATTAATTTTATTTTTTGTTAAAGAAAAACATAATAAAAATATGAACTTATAATACATTTAATATTATTAATAATATTTAATATATTTAATAACTTTTACTACAGCACAATTTCATCATTTCACAGCTAACCTTTAGCTTACCTAGTCATATAAAGGCCACAAACTGAATATATATCAGTGTCTGGTGCTGCATTAAATTGACTTAAATACATCTAGGGATCATATGCCTGTATAATATATATAACTTCATGTCTTTAAATTTATAAAATGAGCCAGCAAAGAGTTTTATTTTATTATTAATTTGTAACAATGCATGTAGTGGGCAGAAGAAGGCGTGAGAGCGCTCATAAAGTATATATATACTTGATCAGGTTAATGAGGTGAGTCGACATGTCTGTGTAATTTGATTAAGAAAGAAAACCCAAGCCAGTCCGAGTCCAGCCCAAGCCAGTCCAAGCACAGCCCAAGCGCAGCCCTGTGTAAACAGCATCGTAAGAAGCTTGCTTAGCTATATGTGTGTGTGTGTGTGTGTATGTGTGTCTGCTAATATGTATAATTAAATAAATTCATTAAATAAAAAATACAATATTCAATTAAAATATCAACTCTGCGCAGTGTTCAGGGTATATTCCAGTCAAGCACTCCCGACTAGAGCATTATCACTTGTTACTGTCTTATATTAATTATTTATGTCTTATATTTTTCTGAATCAATAAATAAAACACAGCAACGCACCAGATTTGTTTTTATTTATTTTCATATTTTGTAACTTAATGCGAAACTTATTGCAATTTGTGTCCTTTGTTTGTTTGATCAACTAGCTGTCTAAACTCTCTCTCACTCCTCTCTCCCGCTTGCTCGCAGTACCGCTCTAGTTGACCCAGGTAGTGGGCTTGCCCTCCACCCGATAGCCATTGTAGGCGGCTGCTGCGGATGAGGCAGCTGCCGCCAGCTCAGATCTGCGGCTCGGCTCGCTGGCCCAATAGGAGGGCGCCACCTCGTACGACTGCATCATTTTGTTGCTGTTCTTGATGGCCGATATGATGAGCAGGAATATAGCCAGCTTGCCAACCAATATGGACTTGACCAGCAACAGCTTCAGCTTGGTAACCAGAAACGGCACAATCGCCGATTGGATGAGAAATGGTAGAATGAACAGCGGCAGCACCTTGGTGATCATGTCATACTTCTTGCCGCGACCTAAGCCAAATTCCAGATTGTTATATGAAGCCGTTACTGTAAGCTCCAATCGCTGTCCGACTCACCTTCTTCGCTGTTGTCCGTGGTCAGCCAGCGTGCGCCGAGTATCTCCTTTAGGTTCTCGCCATCCAGCTTAACGCGCACGATGTCGTTGCTCATGTCCAGGCTGACGTTTAGGCCGGGTCCCACATGGTAGCGCTCCATATTGTCAGCTGCGGACTCCAGCCCCTCGTTCAAGCTGGCTTCAGTTTCTGCTTCGGGCAGCTGTTCATCCAATTTCTTGTTATTGTTGCGATTCTTGCGTTTGCGCTTGCGCCGCTTCTTGCCCGCCGCCGTCTCGCTGTCATCATAGATGGGCGCATCGGTCTGTGCCTCCAGCAGCGCCTCGGCATTGGCCTCATTGCGCAGCTCCTGCGCCAGTGCATCATCGATGGCCATCTGCTGCTGCAACTGGTACTCAGTCGCCTCGGTGACAGGCTCCTCCATTGCCTCATTGTTGGCCAACTGAGCGGCACTCACCCGTTCACGCAATCGCTTCCGATACTCGCTGGTCGTCTTGTTGCCCAGATAGGTGCTCTTGTAGTTCTTGTAGATGCCCATATAGATGTGGGAGTGCTTCTTCAAGGTCTGCTTATCCTCCGGCTCATAGCTGCTGGCCAAGCCACGCGCAACCTCCTCCGAGGCAGCAGTTGTTGCCTCACTCGTATCCTGGCTGCGAGCCAAAGTTGCGCACAGCGCGAAAAACGTTAACAGACTCAGAAAGCGGCTCATATTTGGTGCATGTCAGAGAAAAACTTTGTGCTGAATACTATGTGTGTGCGCACCAAGCGCTGGCCAGTCGCAAAATGTGGCACGCTGAACGTGCAACATGCATTTTATCAACTCAGCAGCAGCAGCAATTGTTGTCGCAGTCGCAGAACAAGCTGCGAGGAAAGCCAAGACCAGATCTGGAATTGGGCACAGCCAGCTTTAGACTGTGTCACTGCCAACGCGCTTGCAGCATCTAGTGGCAACTGGATAGCCACGTAGAAGCAGCAGAAGAACAACTCAGAATCTTCCCCAATTGAATTGTGGTCAAAACATTGTTGGACTGGTGTGCAAACACGATAGATATCTGGAGTAGGCCTGCAGTTTCTCATTGATCTCCATTATTGAATTTCTTTTAGCTGTAATTGATGCGCCTCCCCAACGCCCCTAACGCCTTGGCCATAAATAACATGAAAACGCTAAGTAGTCTGGGTAGCTGGTCTCCTGGTCCGCTGCGCTGGTCGCTTGCTAACGGTCGCTCGTGTAATTCTTTGGCCATAGCCAGAGACAATTAGCTCTGACGGCCATAGCATGAGAAAGTTGTTGACAGAATTGGCTGGCAAATGCACTGCTTCTTCTTCTGCTACTTCTTCTTTCTGCTGAATCTTCTACTGCTGCTCTGATTGACTTAGGAGCGGGTGTCTCGTTAAGTCTACAACTGTACCTGAAATCCAGGCTAGAAAGTAAATTCTGCCATTGCAATTGAATCCGCTTAACGTATTTAGTCTCTGCACTAACGACTTTCACATAACTTAATGCCGTTTATTTAAACCCGTTGTTAATCGATTCTAAGTAATTTACAAATCTGAGCTGTGCTTAATGGATTAACAATGCTGATTAATGCAAACATTTGTCATCAATATATTGAAAATATGGAAAAGCATTTAAATGGAAAATGAAGCAGAATGAAATGAAGTAAAACTGGAAAGTATTGGTGAGTATTATGAGTATAAATATAAGTAAATAAAATGAAATATAGTAAAATTTTAGCTTTTTTTTTATAGTTACACAAGTTTAACTTATAATAAATTAACTAAATATAATTTTAATATTAATAAAATTAACGTTATTAGATTAGATATTATATGACATAAATATAAATAAATATATAATTTTTGCCTCGTACAAAGTACAATTTGTTACACTAATTTTTACGACTATCATCATAGTTTCTGAAGACATGTGAACCTGATGGTCATTGGCCAAAGTCCATAAAGTGCATTAAAAAGTAATTTGCAGTGTATATAATTATGTTTTGATAAAATCTTATGGATAATGCTCACTCTGAATTCCATGAATTTGCCTAATATTACTATTACTTACCCAGTCATCAACAAAATGGACGAAATGCATGAAAAGTATGCTGATCAGATCCTATACTTTAATAAAAATTTCAACAATTTTCATTGTAGATTTAATGTTAGTCTATTCATAATAAAAAGTCAAGTCAAGCTTAGCGAAAACCAAGTATTATCTGTAAAATGAGCTGTCAAGTAAAATAGTTCTGGCAGCTCAAAGCTGTGTAACTCTAAAATAAACACTCGTTATACAGCATAGTAGTAAAAGTGATTTAGCAACTATTCTAACTTTAGTTAGTTTAAGTTAAATAAATAAATTTATACGTTTACTAAATCAAATTTCCAGACATCTCTCGTATATAGTATATGTATATATTGTGAATTAATATTAAAATAAAATGCGGTTCTTTGTCATTGAAATTATTTATAAGCCCATTCAATCATTATCTTATATACAAATATGAATCATTGAGGCTTTTCTAGAATATCAGATGACTACAAGAGCCTAGCGACAGCTAATCTTATCTTGTATTGTAGAGAAATACTTATGTATCGCATGAATTCAATTTAGAATATGGTTTTTAGGTAATTCACTAGATCACTATCTCGTATTATGGAGCAGTCGACAGTCGCTTCTTATAAGGCTAGACACGTTTTGAGGGCTTTGCAGTTCGTAATGAAAGTGAATTGCGGACTTGAACAATGCCTACAATAAGTATGTCTACGCACACACGCACACATATGTGTATTTATCAATGAGTGACCGTTAATAATTAAAATGCATTGGCTCATTGTCAATTAGCTGATAAATCAATATTGTTCATATAGATACAAAAACAAAAGAAGAAATGAAAGCGAATGGTTCCGTCTATTTGACGGTGGCTGCCCTCAATATATAGACACGCGTCGTGAAAGAATGCCCATGTGCCATGTCCCATGTCCCCAGCTTTTCAATCTGAACACCAAGTGCAACACGACCAAAGCCAAAGGCAAAGCCAACGGCAAATCCAAATCCAAAAGTAAGTTCCAACGCTTGCACCTTAAAGGGCACGCAGTTGCCACCGCCGAGTTGCAGAGTGAAAATCATCGATAGCTTTATGCATATTCAAAAAAAAAAAATGATTTAAAACCAAAGTGCGTTGGTGGGCAGTGAGCGACTAGCTGATGCCCTGCACTGTCAGGAACTGCAGCTCTGCCTGGGCGGTCGAATTGAGAAGTTCCCTAAAAAGGAGAGTCTAATAATATGTAAATCGATACTTATCGTTTTCACATGTACTAAACAAGTTATCGATCTGCGTTCCCAATCAAGCTATTCATGAATACCAAACTCCGTCTTTCCTCTACCTCACGCCTAACCAATATACCGCTTTACAGCTATTTGTCCATAGGGTATACTGACCCGTTGTCAGATTGGTCATCGAGCGGCGAGGCATTCCACATGGCAGCGGCACGAATTGCTTGTTTTGGCGCACGTTCGTGCGACGTCCGGCTGTCGAATTTCAAGTAGGCAATGGCCCAGACCTAAGCCCTGATAAAAGCCAATGTCAATGTGGACAGCACATTCAATTGTCAGCCAGCACTGGAACTGTCTACATTGGCCACACAGACGCTACGGATTATACACTCAGGATTAAAGAGCATCAACGAAATGGCCGCCGCTCAGAAATTTGCAATCACGCTGCTCGGTCTGTGTCTGCTGTGCGATTTGGCGCTCTGCCAGCAGCAGGCCAGCAATGACTCGGACATCACTGGTTAGTAGCTAGAACTGAACTTTAATCCAGATCATCTTCATGCATATATATGATCCGTATTCTTTGACAACAGAGAGCCGCACGTTCGGCCATCATTTCCTGCGTCGCATTAGCTTTGCCCTGGTGCCTGGCGCGTTTGTTGTGGGCGTGATCACCACTTTGCTGGCCGCCTTGACCGTGGTCTCGATGAAGGGTCTGGGCGTGGGCGTCATCTTGCTGGTGCTGGCCATTGGCCAGATGCTCTCGCGTGCTCTGCCCGTCCAGGCAGCCGCTGCCTATGCCGCCGCTCCAGCACCCGTGCCCGTCATCTACTCGCATTCGCACAGTCAGCAGCCCGTGTGGCTGGAGAAGGAGTGGTAAATTGGATTGGATAGAGTGTATTTAGCGAGCTGGTCGCAGGCCACATAATACCTCAGCGAGCATGCAACCAAATAATAATTTAAGTCTAGTTTAAATTATCTATTTACCAAACACACACAATTATTTATTTAATACACAACGCAATTATTTAACGAAATCAAATATTTTGTTGTCTTTGATGGAAAGTGAAATTTCTTTAATTAGTATGCAGCTCAGGTGGGCCATGATTTACGGTTCTTTCGTCGGCTCCAGTTTTTTAAACGTGCGCATAGAAAGTCCCGCCCCCGCAATCGCCGCCATCGAATTGGGTCGCCAATCGAAGCAGAGAAAAATGATCGAAGATAGTTATTGAATTTCTCTAGCACTTAGATCTCATTATGGACAGGCGGCTAATTAATAAACTCTCACTTGATTGGCTGTGCGGCTAATTAAGGCGCTGCCAATTCAATTGTCGACCAGTTTAAGTCCGGCTACAATTGTTCCACTTTGTGACAATTTCAAAATTTCTAAACGATTGCCGATAGCAGCAGCAGCCACCTCTCTACCTGTCGCCGTACTGCGCTAACTAAGTGCTGATAAGGCTGGCCGTGATAAGAGCAACAATCATTAAATTGTGCGATAATCCAGTTAATGCTGCTGCTCTCTTTGTTTTCTGTGACTCTTGACATTGAAAATTGGTACGTCCAACAACTGTGCCGCCCATAACTCAGACAAATGGGCCAACATGCGCCGACGACTGCCAAAGACAAGAGCAGCTGCAGCCGCTGTGACCTGCTAAACTAAATCTCGACTGCGATCGGCATTGGCGGCGCTTGGCGAAACCAGTTGGCTGCGAGTTTGGCGACCAGGATCGGCAGCCACTGCGATCTGGCTGATGCATTCAGTTCCAAGCTGTAGCTGCTCTCGTGCAGTTGTGCCCACATTTCAAACTTAAGACTTCAAAATGCGTGTTTTGATTCTCACTGTGCATATCCTGCTGGCCGTGGGCCTCGCGCAGGCATTCGATTGGGTAAAGAGTCTAAGCTACAAAATATTGAATCCAAAAATTAACTTTGTGCTAAGTGAAGTCTAAGCCATAGCAGCTCCAAAGACAGTCGAGTTTCTGAATAGAAAGGGTCAAGTGTCTAGAGTTTGGTTCATTGATCTATATTTGTCGACTTGTTAATACTAAAAGTGTGCGCATATGACAGAATCATCATGAGTTTTGGTAATCCTTGGCTTCATTTTAAATATTGTTGCCTGAGAACTGTCTTCGAGAACTAATACTTGATAATCTAGCACTTAAATTTCATAAAGTTTTTGTTTTTGACTTAGTGAAGTCCTTCAATTTCATGCAGGATAACATTTTATGCAAGGCAAATAAGTTTATATATATTTTCTAAAAATACCAAAGGATACTAATTAGACTAGATAAAGATCATTGCTTACATAGAAAAGACTTTAACCTACTCTCGTATATTAGACTTTAGTAAAATGACTCTGATTGCAGCCAGATACAGGAAAAGAAGAAAGGAAAAGTGTCGCAGTAGTCGAAGTTTGCCTACGAAAAACTTTAAATTTTCAATTGATTTTCAATAATAATGTCAGAAGAAAGCAACTCATACTAACATACAGAATCCCAGCGTATGAACAACGTGCAACCTCAAATGCTTTTATAAGAAACAATCCTAGTAAATCTATGTTCCAAAATACAAACAGACCTGAAACCAATATTAACTTGTTCGCTGAGCGAATCATTAACTATGCAACATAAAGCAAGTGCTAGAGCAAATGACGCAATATGTAATGATAATAAATAATATCATAAATGGTAAGCAGCGCTTGAGCCCAATGCAAGTGAGCCACAGAAGGACTGCATAGAATCCTTATTACATATTACAAAAATTTTATCATTTAAAAAACTGTCTAAAAAATGCAAAATTTATAAATTTTGTATTAGAAAAATATTGAGCTATAAAATTATTTATAGTAAACTAACTAACTCTATTTGGTATGATCTAACTGAAGATCAAGTTCTGTGGCTTGTTAGTATATCATTTAAATTATAATCAATGCTGCAAACTAACAAAGGAATCAATGCATATCTGAAATTCAAATGCTTTTATAGCCTAAATCAATTATTACACAGCAACACAACTGAGCTAAAACTAACAAAAAAGTATTTTCATTGACTTGGAAAATCATTCAATACACCTACTAAGTCGAGACGTACATCTAAGCTCAATTTCTCAAGCTTGCAGCCCTGCCGAAAATCTGTGAATAGTTCCTGAATTCCTCTGAATAGTCTAACCATAAAATACAACTTCTTACTTCTTAAGCTTAAAAATTCTTAAGTCAGTTGTAAGTCACAAAATTCCAATCAGATTATTTGGCATTCCAATCAGATCAATGCACACGCCCTCTACGTTGAGTTGACTTGAAAACTTTGTGTTGCATACTTTGCAGCGCGCGTTTAAAACTTGCGCTGGCTCAAGTCCGAGCTGCGTGACACGCACTTTTGGCTCGACCATACCGATGCGACTGTACGAGTGTCTGCGCGAATTCAGCATGTTGCGCTGCACGAAGCTGTTCGTGCTGCAGAAGCTGGAGGAGCGCAAGCAGGTGCCGCTGACGGGCAACATGACGCGCGACTTTCTCGATCAGTTCTTTGGGCAGGAAACGCAGCTGGGCAGCCTCATTACGGAGAAGTATCAGCAGATGTCGGAGAAGGAGCTGAATCAGCGGCTGGTGCAGAACTTTCAGCGCTTCTTCAAGCATCGCGATATTAAGCTGCACTTTCTGCCCGGCATGCTGGTCAAGATTGTGCCCAGCAAGGAGAACAAGCTCAAGTTTAGCCTGAAGAAGGGTGAGTATGTGTGCCCGGCGCGAATATTTGCCGCTGACTATGTCTATGCACTTCAGCTATCAAGTCGCGTCTGGGTCGTGCACGCCGACGCGACGCGGACGAGGAGCTTCATCTCATTAATATTCCCTCACTGACGGGCTCGGGGATGAGCAGCGCAGGCGCCAGCGGCGGCATTGCTAGCGCCGAGAGCTACGTGTCGGAGGCCGAGGGCGATTCCAAGCAGCAAGGCGCCGGTGGACATGGCGGCGATGGCGGCGGCGGCGGCGGTGGGCTGCTCAACAAACGAAAAAAGAAGCAATCCTATAAGACGACCATGCTCCAGGTGGCTGTGCCCATACTCGTTCTGCCCGCCATACTGCTGGGCAGCCTGCTGCCCTTCGTTCTGCCCACCCTTAAAATGGCCACCATTCTGTCGCTCTTCATGAACAACGGCGCCTTCCTGGCCGCCATGCTCTATGCGTACTCCTCGGCCACCGCCTCCAGTGCAGCCAATCAGCCGCAGCATATCAGCTATGGCTATACCGAAGGCTTTCATTGATCGTTTAGTAATTTAGTTAATTTAAATCCAGCTTGCTATCAATGCTCTTCCAATAAAGACTGTCTCCCGTGCTACGGCTTTCGTTTCTTAAGAATTTGATTTTCATTTCAATTGGTTTTAGTTTAGGAACTTACTTGATGCTTTATATATATAGCTAAATATAAACCCAAGATAATTTTATAATACTTCATTGCCTGCGCATGTTGAAGCTGGAAACTTGGCATTTGAATAGTCATAGAAATATCGGAAAACCTTATACTCAACAGAACGAACACAAAAACAAAGAGCGTCAAAGGGTGACCTAGCAATAGACCTATGAATCGCCTGTTCATTGAAATTCTTATTTCTAAATTTCACAACTTAGAAATAATTAAGCCCCGAAAGCATAGAAAATGCAGTTTCAGGAAATATTATTTTTTTAAATATATTTGTAACAGGCACAATGAGGCGTGGCAGATACCATAAAATATATCTGTCTAGCAGTGTCCGTCCGTCCCATCTCATAAGTCCCAAAACTAAAGACTTACAACATTAAATATATATTCCTTTAACCATGCAAATTACAAGACAATATATTTTTCCCAATAACTTCTCCAATTACCTTATAATCCATAAAAATCGATTAGTTGATTTTCACTTTTAAGCGTAGCCTGTATAACTCAAATAATGATCCACTTTACTGTGGGATTTTCTGCATATAATACGCAGATATTCTGAATTTCGTTCCAAAAAAGGTTCAGGCCAAGTTCAAGTCGAGCACCCCCGACTAGAACACACTAAATTGTTTTTATTTTTAAATTCCTTCTTAATCAATTCCCTTGCCTTGATAAACAACACAAGTACTGCTTGTATAATAGATTTTAACATAGATCAAATAGCTCTAAAGCTAAGTCACTAACCTTAGACACTGTATTTGAGCTATATACTTAGTTTTATTTAAGACAAATTTCAAATTCAAGGTTGAGGTAGTTGAATATTTCAAAGTGCTAAAAACATTCGAAAAAAACGAAATTATAATAAATTATATAAATTATATATATAGTTTAATTAAATATATATAAAATGTAATCATTTATATATATTATTATTTAATAATTTATAAATATATATAATAATTTATATTAAATATATGTGTGTGTGCCAGACATTCTAAACAGTTCAAGAATTTTACGTCAATTCCAAAAATAGTTTTACCCGAGAGTTCAATAAGACTTTTGGATGATAAATATGCGATTCTTCTTTTTTTGTGCCTCAGCTCATTAAAAATGTATAGGCGCACGCGCGACTACAGCAACAACAGGCCGCCAACTAGTTTGTTATACAGCAACAACAACAATAACAACAACAACAATAGCAGCAATGACACTTAAGCTGTTGGTGCTTCCCAGTCAAACGAAGAACCGAAGAAACGACGCCGACGAGACTTTTGAAGCAAGCAGAACCAGAAAATAAATATTAATTAGAATAATAATGGCTTCCAATTTGATATTAACTGTAATAAACCAGTAGTTATGTCAAAGGCGGAAGTGCATGACTGCCTGATACTCTGCTTATCAACAAAGCTTTAGTCTTGTAAAATTATTTTTAATGCTTGTTCAAGAGATGAGCAGAAATTAGAAATTTTGTATTAAGATTTTCTCAATGCATCTACCAGAATCTTGGCGATTCGGAAAATACTATATATACTTTAGACTTGAGCATATAGAGTAGAAAAATCTACGCTAATATGACAAATAGGCTAAGACTGCATCTCTCACAATTTCAGATCTAGAAACTCCAAACTTAACGACTGTTTATCGTCTCTATTGGGAACGAATCTGTTAAAGTTTTGGAGCTAGAGTTTAAAAATTTGATAGCTAACTTAGTTTAAGGCTAACCAACCACAAATTGACTATTTTGGGTCTCCGATAGGGCATTATGCAGCCGTTAATGCTCGACTGCAATTTTCCTTTTCAGATAGTAATATATAAATATATATTCAAAACAAAAATCATATATCAAAAAACTATATAAATTATCTATATTTTATTTAAAGGAAACACTTTAAAGAAAATTATATTCCTTATAGATAAGCTCTAAATATAGAATAATTCTACATGCATTTGAGATATGCTTAAACATGTTGTCTGAAATTTATTGTTGTTGTTGTTGTCGAATTTTGCCTCTGTTGTTGTTGCTCTTTATATGTATATACATATATATCGTTTAATCTTCACCATTTTATAGTATTTTACAAAATATTTGTTCTCAATATATCAATATATCAGTTATACCATTTCCCATCGTTTGCTGAGTAAACGCTTTAGTAATGTATATAAATATGCTCGTTAGGCATAATCTTTATTCCATTTCCAGACAAATGTCCAAATACCACGACTATTTTCTTTTCTTTAGCACGAAAGACAGCATAAGTATATAGTTTTTTGTTTTTGTGTTTTTTTTTTTTGGAATTTTAGCGATTTTTTTTTTGTTTTCTACAATTTTTCTGATTAAATATACAATTGGAGTCTTAAAGCTTAGTATCCTACACACCTAATAACTAAAAACAATTTACACACTCTCCATTTGAGAATCGAGACTTAAGCTTAAGCCTTATCAAGTACATTTAAGTCTAGAACCACTTGCGTCGTTAGCACTCAGGCGTTACATATTATTCATATATAGGGGTCAAGTGTGTTCAACAGTGAACGATTAAGTAGATATATCAAAAAAAATTATATGCTTTCTATAGAGCTGCTGCTGCTGTTAGTTTTGATACACTTTACAAAATTTTGGGACTTATCTCGAATATGTTCTTGTTGGTAGATTTCTCTTTTGATTTGTTTTCTTTCTTTTCTTTTTGGAATTGAAGCCATTTCTAAAATGTATTTGCGTCCCGCTCGACCTAGATAACAGATATGTGTGTATATATATATATGTGCATATACTGCCTAAACAACTGTACTACCATCTATCGAAATCGGCGAGAGTTATATAACCCAGACGAGACGCAATTAGCAAACGTTCTCTAATCCTGTTTGCTCTCCAGGACACTGTTCGCAATTGTAGCACTCTTGCGATCCTCCTCGCTGATGTCCTTGTCGTCCCAGCCCCAGACGGCATTCTCCTCCTGCTCGTGGTCCAAATGCATCACCAGCTCATTTGTGGGCGCGGCACTATTGTTGTTGTTGGCATCCAGCAGGGCGGCAATGTGGCTGCCATCGCCAGTGCGCAGCACGCGCTTGTAGACCATCTCCTTGGAGACGTACTTCAGATCGTAGGCTTGGCCTGGCCGAAGATGAGCAATAGTTTAACACTGAACAGAAACTGAAGCTGGGTTGGTCGCATGCTTACCTATCTTGGCCATTAGATCGATGAAGGCCGTGGTCCAGTTGCCATTGTAGGTGCCCAGCTCAGCTGCCTTGTAGTCCCAGGGGAAGACATGGTGATAGTTATGCCAGCCCTCGCCGAAGGTAATGTTCGATACCAGTTTCGAGTTGACCGAGCTGATGTTCACATCGTAGGGTTTCATGCCGTAAAAGTGAGCGGCGCTGTTCACCAGCCAAGTGCCGTGCAGAGAGAGGCAATAGCGCAGCATCGAGCAGCTGAAGAAGCAGACCTTCAACGAGGTGCCCATCAGATAGTAGGGCAGCAGCATGGGCACAACGAAGCAGCAAATCGGCATCACAACAAAGTAGTATCTAAAGGAACGACACGGAGAGAAAATGCGAGTTAGAATCGCCACAGTGGAATCAGTGCCAGCTTAGACTCACTTCTTCTGGAACATGACAACGGGATCGGCCTCAATGTCGCTCATATCAATCTGCTTGCCCTTGCCGCGCACATCGGGATGCTTCTTGCAGAGCAGCCAGCCCATGTGAGCAAAGAAGAAGCCGCGTCGCGAGTTATGGGGATCGGCGTGTGTATCGGTGAACTTGTGATGGACACGATGGTCGCGTGTCCATTCCCAGATGCTGTTCTGGAATGCCAGCGACTGGCAGAGCATGAGGAAGATGCGCAACGGCAGCTTCGCCTTGTAGGCCTTGTGCGACCACAAGCGATGCACGCCCGCCGTAATGCCCAAGCCGCCCAGGAACGAGAACAGATAAACTATTCGAGAAGAAGAAGAACAGAATTAGTGAACGCTGCATATGCTGCCTGGCACTGTCGCTACTCACTGGGCAGAATTTCGAGGTAGGCACTCTCGGCCGGTATCAAATAGAGGCCATATAGCGCCGTCGAGTGCAGGATTATGAACAGCACAATATTATGCCAGACGATTTGCGCCTTGAATGGCTTGGCAGCTGCTGCCGCCTTCTGGGCGTCAGTTTGGGGCGCGGCCGGCTTGGCTGCCGGCATGGGTGCTGCCTTGACGGGCGCAGCCGCTGGTGCCGCTGGTGCCGCTGTCGTTGCTGTTGTCGTTGACATCTTATTGTTATTGGCATCAGCAATGGCCGTCTCAGCCAATATAAAGGTGCTGCCTATTATGTTCGGTGCCATCTGCAAACAAAAGAGCAGCTTAGTAAATATCTATGTTGACGGAATAGAAATGAAACATGCCCATATCGCTTAGCTTCCTTATTAATGGCCTGTCACAGCGGCAAATTGCTGACAATTGTGCAGCTCTCGGATGCAAAGCAGACTCATTTGCTATGCAGAGCATGTTAACTGACTTTCCACATAAATGGCATAGCCCCAACCCCCTCGGTCAGCTCAGCTCATAGCTAATTATGGACCAGCTTTAGGCAGCTGCCTCATTACCAACGACCTTCGATAGCTGAGCTACTTCAGATTCAAATAAAGCCGATACAAAGAATAAGCCGGAAGCAAAAAGCCAGCCAAAACGAAGACAAAAAAAAAACAAGAAAATAATTTATAATATGGATATATATATGTATATATATATATATCGACACACTTATGCACAATTCTTGAAGAGACCATCAATAATTAATTTTGTTTCTAATATTTTAACTAGTTTAGCATATTTATAAGCCACGTCTGAGTACAAATTGTAGACACACGGCGTCACCTGCTATGAATTTGATCTGTTCAATTTATTGAGGTAGGCGCCAGATACTAATTGCCAATTATATTAGAATGCCATTTTCCATGCAATTGCTTACTTAATTTGCGCACAATAATGAGGCGCAAAAGCGAAGCAGAAAGAAAGAAACTGGGAATCAGACCTTTGATTAAGTGGGTATTGCGCATACGCCACGTGTTACGCGATTTATTATTTGATGCCACAGTTCATGACGCCAAGATGCTGCATTTGAATGCAACTCACCGGCCTTGGCCATGTGTGAGAGATTTTCATGTGGTAATTGCAGCAATGCAGCCAGCTGCAACCAGCTCGTTTCAGCTATTATTTTTTTTAGTTCGTTTTTGTTTTTGGCTTAAATACTTGACTGGCTGTCAGGTGGGCAGGTGAGGCAGACAGGTTGGCTGCGGCCGCTTCTTTAGAATCGACAACCGGTTGACCTCATACCACATGCATGCTGTCTACAGGCACAATTAATGTTCTTATTGGTTGCTTAGCCCCTGAATTTCGTATTTATAACTCGATTCCAACTCGTGCCTAGTTGCTGAAGTCAATAACTCGAAAACGTTGCCAATGTCAAGTTGAAGCCACAGCCACAACCACAACCACAGTCAATTGAATTACAGGTGCGCATAGTTCAACATTTGAATTTGTTTTCGTGCCGAAATAGAAATAATCAAAGAACTTGACATTGAGCATTGGCAAAGTAAAACAAATTTACGAAACTAAAGCTAGATATAATTAAATATATATATATATGTATATATATATATATATATATATAAAATGTAGACTTTAGTCTAGCAATTCACATCACATTGTAAATAATTTTAATGAAATGTTTCGCAATGCATTTAATACCAAAGTGAGTCAAGCTCAACTTTGCCCTGCATTAAATGCATTGCAAAAGACTTAATTAAGATACTTGACAAAAAAATGTAAATTCTCAGCGAGTGCATTGGACAGAATGAAACTGAAATTATATATATATATATATATAATATATATGTGCACAATGAAGCATAAAGCCAGCCCTACTCTTTGCCTCTTTCAAAACAAGTTTCTGGTCCAATACGCTGAGAAGTTGGCTAACCTTGTTTTGTGGCCATCCTTACCGGAATTATTAGCATAGTTAAATAACCAAGAACAAAAATTATACAAAAAACTGCTTTATTTAGAATATATATGTCTGTCTACATAGAGACATACATATATATATATATAAATCTATATATCTGCTGTGGGATCAAGGTTCTGGCAACAAGTTTTTGCTAGAGATTAAAAGGCTTGCGCGTCTCTTGTATCTTTGTGGTTCGTGTGATTTTTTTGTTTTTTTTTTCATTTATTTTTTTAATTCTTTTTTATTTGCATTGAGGTATCAATCGGTGTTTAACTGCTTTGCCAGCGCACACAGCAACCGAAAAGCGCGTCAGCGCAACAATAGCAATAATAATAATAAATCTCAGATACATTCGCTCAATGTAGCTCTAGCTGTATCTCTATCTACCTATCTATATCTCTATGCATATCCATTGATCAATTCGCAGCGCTGCGACGCATCTGGCATAACAATAGCCGTCGCCGAGTCTGACTGTGTAGCTGGAACGTGACCGCTGTTCTATATGCATCATGGTCTCTAATGTCTTTATTACTATGGCCAGTTCGCAATTATGCGTGGCATCCATATTCATTAAACACTATGCTAGCACATATAGAAATTCAATTTAAGAATCGACAAAATAAATACAACAAGCCCGAGCCTAGAACAATCGCGCTCATCACGCATACGCCCCATTGTGCGTTGTCTGCTGGCTTAGTAGGTGCCTCGGTCTATCCACCTATTTTATGGACTTTGACTCACTGCCTTTTAAGGCTAGCATAATTCTTTTTTATTTATGCTACGTGATCCCTAAACTTGTTTCTTTATTTTCATCAATTAAATTTGATTTTTATTTTTGGTGCCATTCTGTGATTTCCTATTTTATGGATGATTCACGAAGTTTTGGTTTTTTCTTTGCTTTATTGATCTTTATATTGACTGCTTTACGTTGCGTATAATGGTGAAACAGTTTATTGAAGTATTTTAAAAATATTTGTTTTTATTTGTACTTCCGTACAGTGGAATCCCAGAGCCATAACAGCTGAAGCGAGAATCTGATGAGACCCTCTCTTGGCTAACATTTAACTTGATTTGAAGTTCTATTCCCTTGCACTTACCTTTATTTCTTTGAACTCTAGATATATATGAAATATATATCCTATCTACTGGATGGTCAGGTAAAATCCTTATGTGCAGAGCTCGCTTTGTTTATAAATTTGCTTTTTGCTTTATTAACAAACACACACCAAATCTGAGTTACGAGTTACGCACTCAATAGTTCGTTTAGCATCCCTATAAGGATGTTCGATATTATTATTATTATTATATATTTTCTTTAGCTTTATTGATCAACACACGCGGCACATCCACGATTCGCGAAGAATGCACGGCGTATGATAGCACGGAACGTCAGGCAGATCGTTTTTAAGCTAGGCTAGTTCAAAATTTAAACATATATATGTACGTATGTATGTAGATTCGCGGACAACCGATCGACAGCGAGTGAGGTTCGGCTTTGGTGCTCCGATGCTGACGAACGACAGTGCCTCAAATAGTTAGCAACGCCGAAATTTAAAGCCGATCTTTATTTGATATGCAGTCGGCTCTCCGACCGATTCTTGAGCTGTGACGATCGTTGATCGCGGTTCGCTTGTGGCTGTGTTTTTTTTGTTGTTTTTTCGTCTGTTTGCTTAATGTACGTCGCGTGGCTTGGCTGATTTTTGGTATTAAGTAAACTGATTTAGATAAAAGCGACAACGTAAATTGAATGTAACAAGACTTCAGTTAAGCTGTGCATGGACAGAGAGATGGCGTCGAAGACGGAGGGAGGCGGAGGGGATTACCCGAGATTCGTCATAAAATTTACATTTAGCCATGCACTCAACGACAACGTCTAGTTGGCCAAACTCACGTAGGCCTCTTCAGCTCTCTCACACGACTCAAGTTGCCCAACAACATTTGATTTTCTGTTTTTCTTTTTTATTTTCTCGGACTCTTCTTATCGTCGGCGACTTTGGCTTACTCAACAGGGTCGGGCATGGCTTTAATTTTAGCTGCAGGTCATGCACTATCCAACTAGCGGTCAAGTTGACCACGTTGTCTACTTAACATGCTTTTTTTGTTGATTTTTATCTGCCATTATGTTGGCCTATGCTTTGCATATGCATGCCAACTGGCTAATGGCCACATTTAGCTCTAAATATTCTCAATTCAATCCAATGCTATGCGGCACACAAAGATCCGCTGCGCATTAGTGGGCCTCATCTAGTGGCCTAAAAAAGGGCGCGTGTTCGATTTATGTTAACTTGTTTCTATTTTTAATACCTTGTGCGATGCCAAAGTCAATTGAATCAATTTATTGAGCCACATCTGATTAGAGAACTTAACTCTTTGTCATTTCATTCATAATTGATATTATTTATGGTATTATGAGTTCTATTGTAATTATTATTATTTTATCAGTATTAATCGTTTTAGGTTTATGTTTAAATTTTTAATTAAATTGTTAGTATTATTATTGTTGGAAGAATGGAATGAATGAAGTCAAAGTAGAAACATTACTGAAGCAAATGTGCAAAGAGAAAGATGATTGGACTTTATTCTTGTGCCTATATCTCTGGACTCTACATCGCATGTGTGGAATCTGGACGCAGAAGCCCTGAGCACAGAGCTCAATTAGAACACATGAAAGTGCTTAAACTTCAAGGTTAATGTGTGCAGAGGAGAGAGAGGCAAGCGAGAGGAGGCTTTTTAGCCGGTGCGAAACGCCTGTCAGAATGTCAGACGATCTGGCTGAGTGCATAAAGTATTTTTACCAAAATCAATCACAAAAACAAAATATTATTATTAATTTAGTAATTTTTTAAATTTAGTAATTATTCTAATTCTTATTTATTTTGTTTAAATTTATTTATTATATTTTTATTATTTATTTATTATTAGTATATATTATTAATTATTTAATAACTTTTTCAATTTATTTAAATAATTAATTATTTATTTATTTAAATTTTTAAATATTTATTATTTTCTTTCTTTTATTTATTTTTGTATTTTTTAATTATTTAATTATTTATTCGAATTATTTATTAAGTTTTTTTATTTCTTATTTAGTTAGAATGTATTTAGTATTATTTATTTATTTATTTTTTTAGTCATTGACTTCTTATTTATTTATTTTAATATTATATATTTTTATTTATTTATTATATATATTATTTAATTGATTTATTTAACCATCTATTTTTTATTTTTTCTTTTATTAATTTCTTTATTTTATAATTTATTCATTTTTTTAATATTTGATATTTTAATAATTTTTAATAATATCATATTGTTATTAATTTTATAAATTTGTTTACACATTTCAATATTATTATTGTCGTCATACTGTTATCATATGAAATATTCGCCAAGGCCGCTTTACAAATATCCCTGACTTATTTTAACGCTATGTTTGAGCCCATATTTCAATTAAATGTATGCATGTATTATTGTATTTTTCAAAAATAGTTCGTTATTAAAAATATCAGATAGTATTAATTATAGTCTAATAACCCAAATGAATACCTATAGAAGTAGTAGATCGTTATGATCACATAGATATGAATTAAGATATGTATAGAGTCATTTCTCTTAGATGTATATCTTATTTCACTTATCGATCACTGCTTCTTAGCTTGCCAAGATAATCGTATTTGCTCTTAGCGAACTTCTTCCTGATACAAAAATCAAACATTTCGTCTCTTTGATGGGATTTTCACATATTTCTGACAATGACAACTTTAGCTTTAGTTGTTAGGCAGCCGCTTTGTTTTTTCCTTAAGTTCGCAGTTTGCTGCTGATTTGTGGTCTCGTTACAGTTCTACAGTAATCGTTTTCATGACCAAACTTAATTGCTTGTTGAATCCGCGTCAATATTTGAGCTCGCAAAGTGACGACGTTCGGTTCTCAAGACAAATAGCTAGTTGGGCCCAAGCCCCGGTTTGGGCCAATCATTATTTGTACTTATTTCGAAAAAGAAACAAAATGAAAATGAAAATGAAAATGAAAAAAATAACTGTTTACAGTTTTCGGTCAGATGTTTATTGTTAAAATGAGTTGTGTCTAATTTTGTTTAGTGACGGCCACTAAAATTGTTTGCAATGCGAACAGACTTACCGACAGACAGGCAGACACTCAAGCGAGAGGGTCGAGGTGTCAAAAGTCATCGTTTTGCAACCTGCAGCAACGTCCGAAGGTCAACAAGTGGCAACAAAATGTTGCACAGAGTCAAAAGTCTAAGTACTTTAACATACTCCACTGACTGCCTTCAGGCACAAGCCAGAACTGTGACAAACAACTTGAAATTGGATATAGTCAGACTTTAGTATAGCTCTAAGAGTTATCAAAAAGTATTAATTTTTTGGTCACGTGCACAATTATCGACTAAATGCCCAGTAAATAACTCATTCAACTGGTTTTATGCCTTCGCTGAATGAAATTGATATGAATGAATGTAAAACTGGAGTACTCCGCCTCAAGGTGGCTGTGTCCATAAATGTGCTTTAGCTCGTACATCACAATTAGAGGACGTGCCTTAGAAGCAAATTAGATGGAACATGGCGTATAGCAAAACTAAATTTAATTCAATCTAGCTTGCGGCAGTTGTGCGCCACTGTGCAGTCGCTGTGTAACCCCTCGCATAGGTCTTAGCCTTTTGGAGAGTAATTGAAAGGCTGCCAGCAGTTAGCAGCTAATGGCCGTGTCGCTGCCAAAACACTTAATGACTTGCAGCATTATAACACGAAAAACATGAAGACTATTAAAAAACAAATAAACACATATGCATAAAATTAAAAAAAAAAAAACAAAAACCAAATAATGATAATAACAAGATATAAACCTTAGCCAGAAGATGCACAAAGAAAATTCTTGCTGAGCCAAGGTGAAGCCAAGAACATTGCAAGTTCTTGAGCTAAGTCAATTACCCAAAACAATTATTAATATCTGTTATTTAGTTAACTCATAGGCAACGACCGTGCCTGTTTGACCTTAAGCATGACTTCATTTCATGCACCATTAATAACCTGTAAATAATAGTGGCAATAAAAAAAAACAATTTCGTTTGTGGCGAAAAATTTGTTCTACACAAAAATTGACTGAAATGTTGAAATGAAAATTAAATAAAGAAAAAGCAAGACATTTGCCTTTACACTAAGTATGCCAATTGAATTTTAAATATATATAGATATACTACTAAATATGCAGTGCCAATGAAATAAAAAACTACAATTTTAATGAAGGAAATATTTTTATATTTAAAAATAAATTAATAATTATGCATAAATGTTTCTGGTCTGTAGAATTTAATTTTCGATTAATTCAATATTTTTTTAAGAATATATAAAAAATGTGTTATTTTTTTGGCTTACACTATCTCATATTTTCTTTTTCTTATTAAGATTAAGTATACGCCTGTGTGAATAGCTGAAATGTCATACTCCCCTAATTTGATATTGATATATTGAATGATGACTCCTTAATCTTAAGTGGACCATCCTCAACGCACAAATTGATGCAGTAGAGGAACATGAGTAAAGCAGTTCTGCTCTATGCTCCAATCACACGCGTTTATAACACACGATTCCAGTCATACGACATAGTGAACTGATTCGACAGGTGGTCGTAGACAGCAAAAAGGAAATAAAAACTTTGCCAAATTTATGCTAAGTTTGAAGAACAAAACACAAACTGAACTTGATTATGTTCAGGAATGTTGCATAAAACTATCTATTCAAGAAATTCTGAAAAGCAAAAACAAATTTATTTACATATCTTTAAGGGGTACTCTCAGCTCAGTCACTGTCTGTGTCTCTCTCTTGCTTTGGCTATCTTGAATCTGTTGGCTTGGGTAATATAATTTGTTGATGCACAAAAGGTTAGGTTAGTGCTTGAACTATTGGTAAGTCAAGTTAATTGAAATGCGGCGCGTGACAATTGCAAAATTCGAAGCTGAAATTGCGTAGAAAAACAAAGCAGAGATCAATGAGAGGCGACAAGGCAAAGGCTGCGTTGCCAAGTGCAAAGTGCGTGAAAACCTAATTAGGCCTGGATACAAATGCTTTGGGCCAAACGCTTATGCAAATAATCCGAATGACAGCTGCGAAATGAGGCGCAGCCACAGGAAGAACGCAATGTCACACGTCTGAGTCAACACAACACGCATGTAACGCCCCATGAACATCACTAGAGAGACGCAAACAAAAGTCTCGCAAAAGTGTTGCAGCCACACGATAATACAATAAAAATTAAACAAAAACTAAACCTTTTTGCCTCACAACACACTAGACAATGCACAATACTTTTTCACAGATTTATCTGGCTAACATAATTGAGTGAGATCGGAGCTCAGCCTGAGGCTAGGCTAAGAACAGCTGAAATCAATTAAAGCGCAATCAAAGACACGATCTGTACACACGAAAATTACTTGGAAATGTATATAGAAGGCATGACTTCTGTAGCTTGAGTATCGTCAGAAAATTGAAATAAAAATTGGATACAATTTTGTATTGAAGTGCCAAGTTATCTGCGCCCCGAAGCTACCCAAGACTCACTTCATTTCTCTCAACTTTTACACTTTGTTCTTGGTAGCTACAATCGTCAAGTTATATTTCATATATTAATTACTTAATTATCAAGCATGTTTCATACTTCATTAAAGAAGATTTCCATAAAATAATATAGCTAAAATTTAAATACAAATTACGGTATTATATTCCACTTCAATCTAACGACAATTGACAACACGCTGATTCCACATTTGATTTGAATCTAATTTTCTCGAAAATTTTAACGACTTCATTGAAAAAAAAACAAATAGAAATTATTCAAAATAAAGAGTCGAGTGAATGAATTGTTATGCTATGGGCAGAAAATGGAGTAGCTGACCGTTGATATTAGCAAATGGATCACGTGCCCCGAGTCCGCGGCATATCAAAACTTTACGTCTGATATTATTCTTGACCAGCATTTGCATTTTTGTTTTTATTTTATTGGCACTGTTTCCGTATAAATTTTGCCAAAAGAAACACAGCTTTTACTGGCCAGTTGCTGGGTGCTGGCTAAGCAGAACTTCTGCCAGCAGCGAGAACTTCACTATTTTCATTAACAACTCGATCATGCTCGGCATGGTTAAGGCCCAAAAAACCGCGTGCTGTTTAGAATTCAGCAGGCAGTCTGCAGAACCTGATTCGTGTTTTAAATATGTATATATACGATAGATATATATAGACATATATATACATAGATATATAAATTCTCAGCCTTCAACTGTACCTGTGCCTGAGCCAGCTATGTTACATAGAATATCTTTTCGTATTTCTATTATTACATTTTATTCTTTTTTTCATTTCGAGTTATGCTAAATAAATATAAGTTTGTGTGTTTGACTACACAAATACTTCTACAGCTGGTCTAAGAGATAAAGTTGTATATATAGAGAGAAAAAAATAGTCAAACAAATAATTGGATATTGATGGATGGGCAGCGACCCTTAAGATGTTTGGATGAAACCTGTTGGACAGGTAGCAAAAGCCATTCATGTATGAAAAATACTCGTAACTGGAGTATGTCGATAGAATATCCTAATATTTATAACCAGCTTAATATTATTCAAAATTTTTCGTGTTTGATTTATTGTTCAGCATTGCGGATTGAGGAATTCTTTTGACTAGAACAGGTAATCTACCTCTTCTCTGACCGTTTGCACTTGCAATGCCTTGTATTAATATGATTGGGAATTTTACATAACTATCAGCTTTGTTTACATATCTTTGAATATATATATTTAAAAGAAGCAATGCCACTGGCATGGCCATTCATAAGATTCTTGTCTTTTAGTCGATTATTACAGGCCGCAGACATTGACAATGGACTTCCGGCCTGTGTCTTCCGCGTACGACTTGCATATGTAACTGTAAAGAAGCATACCATAGTTTTTTCTACATATGAAACAAAAAACAAGAGTAAAACACAGCATAAGAAAATAATTAAAATATGTAAATGGATACAAAGTCACACACAAAAAAAAAGGCCAAAGTCGCGCGAAAACGAACTTCACCTCGGCTGCGTCATGCGCTCGCTGCAAAGAAGAAGCAGAAAAAGTAGCTGAAATTGAAAAGAAACACTCAAATCGAAGCACATTTATACTCAGCTGTTGCTTGATTAAACATCAGGAAATACAAAATGCAAAGCAGCCCAAAAGCAAACTGTAACAGGGCCCAAAAAAAAAAAAAAAATGAAATCAAAAACGAGTTCTCTTCACCGAACAAACGTGTTAGCATTAGACCGTTGCACGATCAGCCAAGACATAACATAAACAATAAAATATTAAATAGAAATAACCCAACAGATTAGTTAATTAATGCGTTGCCATGGCAGCGGTTGCGTCTTCCACAATTCGCATTTGCATTGACATTGACTTTGACCGACAAAACGAAATCGAAGCCAATGCGGCGTATGCTTGTTGTCCGCTTGCGCATGTGTGCGTGAGCTAGTGATGTGTGTGCCTCTGTGTGCGTGTACTTGTGTGTGTGTGTGAGACAATGCACTGTGTGACAGCAACTGCACTCATAATTTATTTGAGAAGACAAAACAGACAGGAAAAAACCTTAAAGCTTTGCATGTGATATGAATTTAAGGTAGCTAAATTGCATTTCATGGCCCAATGCAGTTGGCATATGGCAAATGATATATCAGATCAGTGAAATGTTTATTACTTTTAAATGTTTTTCGACAACACTTAAGATTCATTCATGCGCTCCATTGGACAGCGGTCAGCTAGCGTAAATTTGTTATTTTGGCGGATTCATTGGGTCAAGTTTAAAATGTTAGAAATATTGCTCAAGACTAGATCAAAAAACGGCATTGACCGTCTTACTTGGTTCAAAAGCGCCAGCCATTGACCATAGCATAATAATACATTAAAAATAGAAGAGTTTCGATGCCATAAACTAAAGACGGCGATATTTGCAATTTGTTTTTATTTTTCTGTGCTTTTGCAGGGGGTCGCACTTCTGCCGAAACTGTTGCTTATGCTAATGCCACTAATATTGTTGTTGTTGCTACTGCTGCGCCGGTGCGACATTGTTTATTGTTTATTGTTTTTTTTTTCCTTCTTTATTTCCTGGTTTGTCAGTTTCGTTAAGCATTATAATCGATAATTTGCTGCGTATCAAGCGCGCTGATACAAGCATTGACCTCAATATGTGAAAGTATATATGTGTGTGTAGATATTAAACATTAAAATGAGCTTTGGTTTCAAAATGTATTTGCTTGCATAAATGAACTTATATTGTAACGGCCAAATTAAAACTAAAGCTGAAACTATCGATTGACGCAAGTTTTTTTGTTGGCAGTGTCTAGCGATGGTATTCATGAATTCTAAGTATGCTGTATATCAGCTTAGCATTAATATTTATTTAGTTGCTTTGCATTTTTATTTTTTGAAAACCTGTTTACAAATTCACTTGGATATCAAGAACACTAACATTTTTGTTTTTCCTACAGCTATTCTCGATATAACAAAGTACTTAGCTTTAAAAATATGTTACTGTGCTTAAATGAACATATGTTGTAATGCCCATATACAATCTAAAGCTTTAACTACCGATTACTTCAAGTGTTTATGTTACCAGCCTCTAGCGAGGGTCTACATGCAATTTTAGGGAAACTGTATGCTGTACAGCAGCTTAGCATTAATATTTATTTGGGGGTTTAAAAATTTAATGCTTTGAAAACCTGTTTATAAATTTACTTTGAGCTCAAAAGACTGTCATATTTGGTTTTGTTGCAGATATTCTAGACGTACTAATTACCGAGCATTCAAAATGTAGTCGTTTTCATAAATTAAGTTATGTTGTAACGGCTAAATATAATTTAAGGCTGGAACTATCGATTGTCTCAAGTATGTATGTTAGCAGTCTTTTGCAATGGTATACATGAAATCCCAAATACTCTGTATGCTATACATAAGCTTAACATTAATATATACTTTGCTTGTAATTTGTACACCCAAAAACCGGTTCTTAAATTGGATTTCAACAATATTAACATACAACAAAATATTCTAATACGATTCTATCGCTAACATCGATAAATTATGAGCAATCGACCCTAATGCTGTGCTTGCCAGACCTGTGTAAAATGTAATAATCTTTATACGCAATCCGGTCACACTTGCACCCTTATCTCACAAATGTTGCCAAATATAATCAGCTTTGTTTTGTAAACCACCCAATTTTATATAGTATTTGAAAATTCAATTCATTACTTGTGCGATTATGCTTTCACTTACAATTCGTGCTCAGCAGCCAGCAACAAAGCAATGACCGTGCGGGGCATAGAAGCTATCAAATTATATATGCCGACGTCAAAGGCAGATGCTATAGCAGCCATAAAAACAAACATACGTGAGGAAACGGGCAGGGCCGTAATAGAACCTACACCTGTTGATAAAGGCCACGCCATGACCTCTGTGGAGCGGTACAGACAGGAATGGATACAATTGCTGTCCAATTTGGATGGGGACCCCGAGTCTTTGCGTTTGGCTGCCTTCAACGGGCAGCTGAAAATGTCGAAGTTTCGCAGCATCCATTGGGCCCTGCTGCTGCGGGTGCTGAGCGCAGATTATCGCAGCTGGCTTAGCCAGCGTACACAGCAGCGCAGCAGGTAAATCGTGATTACAAACGAAAACAACTTTTGGCCAATAACAAAATTCATTCGCAGATACGACAAGTTTCGTGTGGATTATGTGCGTAATCCTCATGAGCTAGCAGGCCCTGTAGACGATGATCCATTATCGCAATCCACGAAAAGTGTTTGGAATCAATATTTTAGCGATCAGGAGTTATTCGCTGTCATACGTCAGGATGTGGTGCGCACGTTTCCGGGCGTGGATTTCTTTCGCAAGTCCCTAATACAGAATGCCATGACGAACATACTCTTCTACTATGCGAGAGAACATCCGTACATGTGCTATAGACAGGGCATGCATGAGATATTGGCGCCCATTATCTTTGTGGTCTACAGCGATCATCAGTCGCTGCTGCACTACAAAGAGATAGCCAAGACGGACATCAATGAAGCACTATTAAATGTGCTGGATGCGGCGTATTTAGAGGCGGATACCTAGTAAGTCTTATAGATATATAGTGTAGTATATCTAGTCGGCTATCATTATTTCTCTTTCTAGTTCTATTTTCTCGCGCCTCATGTCTTCTGTAGAATCGTATTATCGAGTTACGAGCATAGCATCCTCGCCCGTTGAGTTGCAAACGGCGAGCGAAGTAAGCCATTGCCCTGGACTTATTGCTTTTAATAAATATACTATGACAAACATTTAATTACAGACCCCTGGCGTTGACGCAGAGCCCCAATCAGAGGTTGAGGTTATCAGCCAGCTGAATTTGATACGCGATAAAATACTGGCCAAGCAGGACCAACATTTGCATCACTATCTGCTCAAAATGGAAATCCCATTGCATATATTCGGCATGTGAGTGAAGTTCTTTTAGCATTGACTCTGTAATGCTGTAAATCAATTAATTTACAGTCGCTGGCTGCGTCTGTTGTTTGGCCGCGAATTTATGCTGCTGGATTTGCTGCTGTTGTGGGATGCCATCTTTGCGGACAGCGATCGCTTTGATCTACCCAACTATATATTGGTGGCCATGCTGGTGCACATACGAGATAAGCGTGCGTACTGTTTTATATGCGTATAAAGAGATGATTATTTGAATTGTCATTCGATTTGTACTTACAGTGCTTTTGAGTGATTATACTACATCCATGACTTATCTCATGCGCTATCCCACCCATGTCGATGTCAACCTGGTACTGCGACACGCCTTGCATATGCTCAATCCCAAGCAATTTGACTATCCAGCGAATGCCTTCTCTTGTGTGTCATTCACGAACAATTTGCCCCCATCTGAGTCACAAGCATCACAGCAGCGTGCGCGCACTAACTCCGAGTCTTCAAATACTGGCAGTCACATTGATCGGCAGATCAGCTATATGCAGGCTCGCAATGCAGAGAGCTCCTCTGCATTGGCGAAGCTACAAGATGTTAACCGCATTGCCATGGATGGTTACGTCGAAGATGTAAGCTTAAATCAAATCTCCAAGGAATTGTATTTTCAATTTGTTACCTTGTTTGGTCTTCTAGAGTCCTGAGCTGTTGCGCCTGGAGCTGAAGAACGCGCAGACTGTCATCAAAATAGCTCGCACCAAACTGCTGAACTATTTAAACACTGTGCGTCAGCACATGGGCAAGCAGAGCAGCGAGGATCTCAACCGTAGTCTGGATGGCATGGAGGAACTTTGCAGCTTTCTAGATGTCAAGTTTATATTTCCGCTGCATGTGTGCGCTGCGCCCATTGACGAGGCATTGGAAGCCAACGAGCGTAAGCAATTGAATACCAAGAGGAGCAGCGAGCCTGTCATCCCGCCGTCAATCGGTCAAATGCCGCAGGTGCCTGCTGCTAGTGGTTATGAAATGCCGGAGAATGCCTTCATGCACAGTTCGACGCGCCGACTGCTGGGCGATCGACGGGAGATCGAGCTGTCGACCATCACCAGCGACGAGAGACCGGAACAAATGGTGCTGCAAAATGGTTTGCCCGCGGCTGAGCCGCAACAGCCGCAACGGCCGCAATGAAACAATGTTTCAGCCATCGACTGAATAAAATTATAAAAATTAAGCTAACATATTGTGAATCCTCGATATAAACCTTCATAATTCATTTTTTATTTGTATGAACTGCATCAAAATCATAATACGAAATAAATGGATGCAAAGTGCTGAATAACTTATACATATATACATACATACATACAGTTAAATAATTTCAGTGTTTTTTATAATTATAACTTAGGTTCTTGTTTATTTTCAACATGATACAACGCAAAACTGAAAGTTACTTGTATGACATTGGGGATTCCGTTTCTAAACAAAATAAATTATTTTTTTTGTATTTCTAGTTTTCCATCTTAATATATCTTCAGGTTAAGGCTCGAAATTAATTAGACTATCTTCGAATATAGAGAATAGTCGAAAACAAATCGAGAAACATTTAGTACTTCATTTATGATATAAATAAATTAGCATTAATAATATAATGTGTCTTAGAAAAACTTGAGGCTTTAGCAAACGAATGTTCTATGGAATAGAACAGATATATATATATAGATAATCTGGCTATGGTAATGACATAATAGGCATGATTCCTTTCAATATAAAAAATCATTTCGCACAACAGTCCAAACATTTACAATTCACTAAAAGCGCCTGGACATTTTCATTCTAGCAGCGACTGAAAAAGGCGTAACTTATGCTATTTGTATATATCAACGATAGGTGCAACTGGATTTTATGTATTGTCTGTATGAGGTGATCTGTTGTGTTGCACCACTGAGCGGTTTACTGGCAATGTACGTTGTGCCTGGTCTTGGCTCTTTAGCGGCGTGCTGGCAGCTGAGTTCGGGTTTCGAGGTTTATTCTGTAAATTCTGCTGTTGCATGGACTTCTGCAGTCTCAGTTGGTGCTCCTGTCCAATTTTCTGAAACTCTAGTACCTTGGTGTTGGCACCATTATTGATACGAATTCTCCGATACATGGGCGTGGAAGTAGCACTGCCATTGCTCAATTCGGAGTTAGAACTCGGCGGCGTATTCATAACAGCTGCATTCGCTGTAACATGATTCGATTTCTGAGTTAGCGGATTAAACTGGTTTGAACCATTTCTGTTCGAACTGTTGTAATTGGCATTCGCTGTGGTCAGTTTATTGATGGGCACAACGCGCAACGAATCATCCGCTTTCGAAGAGCTCAGATAGCAACGTACATTGACCACTCCAGTGTCCTGACCACGTCCATTACTAGATGCTGATGTTGGAACATTAATATTTGTAGCAGTGGCTTTCGTATGCCCACCTATAGTTGAGTTTTGATTGGGCTCTGCTTGATTGCTCGCTGAATGATTGCTGTTGGACAAGGGCTGTTTGGACCGCGCCGACTGTTCGTCCAACAGGTCATCAATTGCAACGAATTGAGACAGCGATTCTGACGAATCGGGAGGTCGATCCAATGGCCCATCCTCTAAACTAAAACGCACCGAGTCGCGTCGAGATTCACTCTGCGTAGGCATACACTCCGCTCTTGTTTCCTTCGCCGGACCTGCCTCAGCCAGCACAGAGGCGTTGCGTTGAATGCCGCGCAACTCCAGATCACATACAATCTGCATGATTTTAGCCTTGCCTTCAGCAGCTAGATCGCCAGGCAGACCTTTCATGGTCTGTGTGATGCTCTCGAAGAACAGCTCCATGGTGTCGCGTGGCTGTGTAACGGAAACGTTGGAAAGTGAGCAATTATGTGAGGATGTATTGGCTTCTTTTGCTGATTCATTTTCACGCTCTAAGGTACGTAGACGCGATACAATGTCAAAAGAGGAGCATATCATATCCTTGGCCATATCCAACTGGCTGCGCTCATCATTTCGCTTGCCCACAGAGTCGCGCAACGCACGCAATATGCGACGAACCTCCAGCGATCGCCGCATCCGTTTTGATGGCGGCTGCTCCCCGTTGCTGCATTCAGATCTAGAAAGAAGCGGACTACAATTGAATCAATAACGTCGTATTTACTATAACTGTGCTCTTTACGTACTTAATACTCAGATCATCGCTCTCCGGGTCTACATCCATGATAGATGCAGTTCGACCCGCATCGTTAGCTGTCACCGTGGTGATCTCACCAGAATTTCTAAGCCGCTCCAAATGTTCCAGATGCTTCCGTGATCCATCGTGCTGCCGCAAAAAGAATATCTTAATGGGCAGCCGAGTCTCACACAGTTTGCAATAACAATAATTCTCATCGTTGGCATCCGGCTCTAGCCAGTCATATTTTGCCTGCAGCTCAGCCATGGCTGCTTTATGTTTTGCTTCACCCGTTGCCAGCGGTGAAGACGATGTTGAGGCCGATACCATAGCATCTGTTGGCAGCATACGCGCAACTCGTTTACGCTCGAAACGCAAGCGAATGTGTCGCGAGCTGCGCTGGTGCTTGGAAGCGTACTTAAAACTGGGCAGGAAGACGGACACTTCGCACAGTTTACACCAACCGTAATTGTGTCGAGATTCGTTGCGCTTGTATGAGAGCCAAGGAAAGCGATCCTTCCATAACATTACCTTGCCTTGCATGGTAGCCGGGACAGGCTTGAACGCTGGCTTCGGTGATGTTTTGCAGCTGCCTTTGGACAGGCTGATTGATTTCGAGTCCTCAGCAGTTGCTGGTAACGAATCAGCATTGCTCTGATCTTCGTTATCGTTCTCCTCTTCGATCTTACGCAGCTCTCGAGCTTCTTTACGGCGTTGTGCTTGTCGCGCCTTAAACTGATTCGCAAGCTTCTTGTGGCGTACGCTTTGCTCATGCCGCACCTTGCTCGAATCGTTGTGGAACCGAACGCGACAAAATTTGCAAATCTGTATTTTACGATCCTTTGAGTAGCGCAGCCACGAAAAATGTCGCACAACATCCTGGGCTTTCTGTGATTCGGTCTCTTCCGTAGGCCTATGGCAAAAATTTCAAAGGTACAAAAATGTATGTTAACAAGCAAAGAGAAAAGGCAGTGGATCTTTCATACTCAGCGGAACTTTTTGGCGAGGTGGACAGTTTGTCATCTTGTTGAATATAATCATCATCGCTACCCTCTGTCTGCGCATCTGTTTGTTCTGCCTCACTGTGTTCGCCCACGTCGCCTTTGACGGCTTCTGAGGCCGCAGCCACAGTTGCCGCCATTGCAGCCATTGCAGCCTGATGTTTCTCCGAATTTTCATGGTTTTTACGTTTGATTTCGGAATGTCCATAAATAAATCGTCTGCTGCACACATGACAGTAAGCCATTGTGGGGTCATTAGGATCAGCAACTATCCATGGATGCTGTTCCGCATACTGTGACCAAATCCCGCGATTCATCTTCGATCTGTGATAAATGTAATAGTATATATTTAGTAAGCACGATGTTGAGTATAGGTGAGATTACTAGTACGCACAACTGTGTCTGCTTAAATGCCATCAGATTATTGCAGTGCACTTTGGTCTTCAGGTGGCGCATGAAGCTGGTTATGGCCATGCGACATTCGCAGAGCGTACAACGACACTGCTGTGGATTGGTTTCTGGCAGAAGTTCACACCAGTCACTGGGATCCGTGGACTCTCCGCCACCGCCAACGATAGTCATCACAATTGTCTCTTCACCAGAAGCTTTGTCAATTTCTTTTACCTCATGTGATGTGTCCATTGGATTCTCCGATTGGCTAACGCTGCGTTTGCGTTTGCGCTTCTCCTGCGTACGCTGTGCCTCGCAATGTCCTTTGCTGGTTTCGTGCCGCTTGCGCAAGTAAAGAAACTCCACGTTCATGCGCACATTGCAGTACTTGCACAGACCAATTGTGCCCTCATTCTGAATACGCTCCAGCCACTGATGCCAATCTAACCAGCGCTGCCAATTGAAATTGTTCAGCTTCTCGACTTCGTTGGCACGCTTCTGCTTCACGGCGGCTACATAGCTATCCGTACCGAACTCATGCTTAATCTCCTGGTCATCAAGGCTGGTAAACATAAATATGGAATTATAGAGGAGTAATAATGAAAAAAAGCTACTTACCCGCTCCGCTTATACTCATCGCTATTCTTAAAAGCCAAATAATTATTCTCACGCTCCTGATGATAAAGCGATAGATTGTGTTGCTGTATGTAATTTTGATTTCTGTTTATATTAATGACCACATTGCAGTACAGACAAAAGGCATATTCGCCGTCCCTCTCCTCGTGCAGAAGCCAAGGGTATCGTTTCATCCAGATTTGCCAGCGCTCACTGAGGCTCCTGCGCCGTGAACCACTGCTGCTTGCCTCATCGACGCTTTCCTCGTCATCGTCATACTCATCGTCAATCTCTTTGCCGGAATCAATGCGTTCCAGCAAACCCATCGGATCAGGCCCATTGTATGAACCGTTACTTTCGCCATCACTGCTGGGCTCCGTTTTAGTGGAAGCTTTCTCATCTAACAACGGATCCTCTGATTTCTCATCCTGAGCGTTGTCAATATTTGCAGTCTGTAATTCGCACACTGGGACGGTTATATCGTCAACATCGTCATCATCCAGCTCAATTATTAATGTAGCTTCTGTTGACATTGCTCCTTCGACTTCCATTATTTTTAACTCATGCTTCTCCGAGTTTGATTTATTTATCGACGACGAGGACGCCATTTTGTTGGCATTGCCGGCATCGCCTGCCGTTGTTAGGCAATTTTCAGGAATTTGGCCGGTTTCCGAATCCATTGCAGCCTGGACAGGCCCTACTCTGTTTTACAGAAAATAATTTAACTGTTTTTTATAGCATTTGTTAAAATAACAAAAGATTGATTTCAAATTAAATATATCTCCTAGAATAAGTGAGGCAGTCAAGGAGTTCGCGTTCGACTGCAGATATCGACAACCCAAGATTTGACTATTGCGAAAACTATTCATTGCCTCACGCGAATATATCGATAATAATAAAATGTTACTAAGTTTTTAATAATTTACCCACAAAAATATATATATTATACATCTTAAATTAACTAATACATGCCACAAATAAATGGTTTTCCTTACCACAGACTATTATTTCTCACTTATATACAATTATATTCTTCAATGGACTACCCTTTATATTTACGCATATATCGAAACTTCTATCGATATATTTTAAAGCATATTTCGTATAGTGTCACACTGTTGCAGCATTTGTTATTGTTAATTTTATTGCTATATTTCGTATTACATTTAGCTGTGACAACATGACGATATTTAATTTGTATATATTCGACAAAATGGGCACTCTGATGCACTATGCTGAGTGGAACCGCACCAAGAAATCAGGCATAACACGAGAAGAGGTGCGTGTCCATGCACATCGTATTTACAAAAACAAAAACAAAGCCATCTTCATCTCTAAATTGTTTATAATAAAATGTAATTTCAGGAAGCGAAACTGACGTATGGGATGCTATTCTCGATTAAGTCTTTTGTCAGCAAAATATCACCACACGATCCACGTGAAGGATTTCTTTACTACAAAACGAATCGCTATGCCTTACACTATTTGGAAACGCCCTCTGGATTAAAGTAAGCAAAGCAATAGCTGATCTAAAGATCCGAATATAATTTAAGCTTTATATCTGTTCAGATTTGTGCTAAACACGGACACTGCAGCCATCAATGTGAAGGAGCTGCTGCAGCAGCTGTACGCCAAAGTCTGGGTGGAGTATGTGGTGCGTGACCCACTGTGGACGCCCGGCACAGTGGTCACATCGGAGCTATTTCAGAGCAAACTCGACGAATTTGTCAAGCAGTCACCCATTTTCGGCATTAGAAATATTTAGTAATATAAGCCTACTGTATAGTTAATAGATATGTACATAAAACACCAAATAATGTGTCACAGACGCAATGCGTCCCCAAATTGTAGTTGTTAACAGCTACAATGGCCTCCAATTATGCTCGCACAGCAGGAAGCTGCGAATTGTCGCAGCAACATTTGAAAAGAAGCCGCCCAACACTTGCGCAAGGGACAAACAACTGACCCGTTACTCGCAAGCATCCAAATTTATGATTTGCAATTGCATATTATCTTTTGTTTTCGCGCAAATTCGTTAGCGTTTCGCATGTGAAGACAGTTATTGTTGCAGCTATTAAATCTGTGAGCGACTCGCCCCCATCGCCAGTTACTCTGACTCGCATCCAAGGGTTTTGCGCAATGGAAAATGATTTGCAAAATGTCAGCTGCGCATATACATATTTACATGTATGGAGATCTCCATAGTTAAAAGAAGAGAAGAGTATAGCAAATGCCAGCTGTATGGATGACAGAGCGAGATACAATCGTTTAACGCCGAATTTGTTTTACGGTTGCCTTTGCACAAAAACCAGTCGCTGCAGTACCGTTAGCAACCTTTTGGGCATGCTAATACATGCATACTCGTACATACATATTTATACACTCCCATATATACTTGCACTCTTTGCTCTGAGTACTTTGACTATGCCACCCTTTTTGCGAAACTAAGTTTATAGAATATTTAAATTATATGCATTCATTTATTTACATATATGAAATTTTTTATGTCTATATTTAGACATTTTTTATCTATCTTTTTTGTTATCTAATTTATATATAAAATGGCATATATTTTTGGATTAATTAGGCAGTTATATATATGATACAGCTTTCTATAGAGTATTTTAACTTAGTCGGACCAGAAAAAAAAAACATTCAAATATACATATTGTTTGTATTTTTTATTTTTGCTAGTTTTTACGATGTCTCACTTATTCAAAAATTCATGCAAGTCATCTGCAGTTTTTGGTCTAAATTTATTTTTATCTGTTTTCTTTTTGTCACACTGTCGTTTGGGTTAAAACTCGAAACTGGGTTTCAACAGGGCATTGCAAAAGCAAAGGCAAACTCAAAAGCAAAAGCAAAGTTGCGAACACAATGGAAATCGAAATGTAAAGCGAGTTTTTAGGCCTCAGCCTATGATTCAGTTATCGAGTGGGCTCGTGGTATATAGTAATAGAAAATCATGTATGTATATATATATATATGCACATATGTATATAGAAAAACCAAAATTTAATAAATCAAACGAACTGTCACATTACGCGCCAGCATCTTACAAAATGCCCTTTCCAAATCCAATTATTGCATGCATACATATGTATGTGTGCATGTGTATATCTGTATGTCTGCTTGTATATTTATGTAAGTATTCAGATTTGTGTTTATCAATAGCAGATACCGGTTGGCGTCTGCTTGGCTTTGGCTTTCTTTCAATTTGCTAGTTGGTTTTGTTTTCATTTATCGATGACACGATCACGATTACCATCGATTTAGTCGGCCCAATTAACTGCGAGTCGTATCCCTACAACTTTGTGTGAGTGTGTGTATGTGTGTGTGTTACGCTCTCGTATGTTTCTTTTGCTCATAACTTTCTGCATTTCAGTTTTTCCAAATTTGTTTTTTTCTGTTTTTTTTTTTTTGGGCCTGCAAATGTTACGTAAATTACGAAAGCAAATTCAGTGATTTTGATAGATGTCAACCACAAGGTTATTAACGGTTTGGTGAGCCGCATTCAATTGGAAAATGAAAACCAGAAAATTTGATACGAAGCGTCGCATGAGGCGTTGGCTTGCTTCAGTTGGAAGATTAAACCTTGAGTGGGATGAACTGGCCGCCCTCCATGGCCAGTTCATCCCACTCAAGGTTTAATCTTGTGGAATCTGAAATGTATATTATTAGTTATATATTTTAATTTATAATGTTTCCTATGATTATATAATTTTGATTATATCATATCATAATAATATATAGGGGTATAGGGGTATCTATTTTAAGTTTGATTCACTGACTTATGGTTGATATTATCTGATATACTATAATTCTATTAATTTTGCAAATTTAAAGAGAAGATTTGCAAAGTATATAGAAAAACTCTATTTAGTATATATATTGTATATCTATAGTATCTATTTCTTATTATTATTATAGTAGAACACTTTAAACCGATATAGTTCAATGAACTAATCTAGCTATTATTTGCTTGATATAGTTATATGAACTACTCTAACTAGTCCATAGTTCATAGAACTATATCGGTTCTAGATTTCATTTTTCATTTCATTTAAAGCCTTGCAAATGCATTCACCCTATAAAAATTGTATATATATCCCAAAATATTCATTGTAAGCATTTTAATAACAGTTTCCACAGTTTTCATAGCTTAACGGCTGGGCTATAATATGGGCTTCCCATTGTTTCGTGTGGGAACTGGGAACTATCTGATGAGGGAAGCAATTGTGAAGTCTTTGATAAGCAATTGTTGTACAGCTTTTCACTTTATCGCAATTAAATGTGAAAGAGGAAGCTTTGAATTCAGTTGCTAACTAAGCTTAACTAAGCAATCAACATTTTTGCCCACGCTCAATTGTGAAAGGGCCTTGGGCTGATCATATTTGTTGACCAGAAATCTTCGAAACTGCGAAGATGTTGACCATCTGGCAAAAGTTCGATGCTAATGAAGTTAACTAAAATAGTATGCAAATTAGTTTAGAGTCTAAATCAAGAACGGGGAGAGACCAAGACCACGTGTGAGATGAAATTTTAGGTACTGTGTAGTTAAAGCTTGATCTTACTGAGAAGATCAGATTGAGCTGGAAAAGAATTTTAAGGCACTTTCTTTGTATTGTTAATATACAAGATATATTTCCAAAGTTCTAGCATACCCACTTTAATGATGAAGACTTACAGGGTATAAATTTAATTCTTTTACAAATTTACATCAAGTTTAGTTTGTTTAAAAAAATTTATATTTATAACTCATTTTTATGTATTACTATTTGGTTACATTCTAAGGCTTTCTATAATGATCTATAAATAGTTTCGTGAACTTCAGCTTAGCAACAATATTATTTAATCTAGAACGCTGCGTGTGTGTCCATATACAGAAATTGCGTCTCAGATAAAATAGGGAAAACATTTTTTTGGAGCAGAAATTTTTCATTAAGTGAAAAGAGTATGTCAGCTTCGTGAAATTATTGCAATGGCAACTCTTTGGTCTTATAAAGTATATATCATATATCATATATAACTTATCATATATCATATATCATATATAATATATCATATATCATATATCATATATCATATATCATATATCATATATCATATATCATATATCATATATCATATATCATATATCATATATCATATATCATATATTATATCATATATCATATATCATATATCATATATCATATATCATATATCATATATCATATATCATATATCATATATCATATATCATATATCATATATCATATATCATATATCATATATCATATATCATATATCATATATCATATATCATATATCATATATCATATATCATATATCATATATCATATGTCATATATCATATAACATCTAGTTTTATCTGATCTTAACTGTGTTTGCTGATTTGTCACTAATTATGAGCTCTACGAAACATAAAGTTCAGTGAATTGCGTCTAACTAGACTCGCGATTGCAGAGACAATATTGATAGAGCTGCAAATAGTTGACCTTCTTTTTTATTATCTTACGCACAATGGCGTATGGGCCTGGCTGATAAATAGTTCATAAAAATTAATGAGACATGCGTTCGGCTGATGAATAACTCAGCTCAGCTCAGCTGCACCGCCCAGGTGGCAGCCAGTGTCTGTGGTGCAGCAGAAATTCCTTAGTGCGCGCTTATGCTATGTGAACCTTTTCAAGGTTCTAGAGCTCGTCAACGAGGCAGTCGTGCCAATTGGCACGTAGACCAACAGGCAAGCCTCATTGTTGGCGCAATTACCTAGCGACTCCTGGCGTTCTGATGGTCAGATGGATTCTTGTGCAGACTGCACAGTGAAGACGACGCGATGCGCAGGCAGCCTTGACTTCAGTTGACTTGACATGATGTGGACCAGATGCCGCCTTAGTCACGTAGGCCAAAAGTTATAGATTCAAACCAAACCAGTTGACCAGTTGACCACTTGGCAATTGCTCCAGCTCCAAAGGCCGGCTCGCTGCATGGAATATATATTTAAACAAAATAATAAAAATACATAAATAAATAGTTTTATTTCGCTCAAATCTGACGCATCGCACATTTGCATTTGCATTTAGACAATTTAGTTTTGGGTCAACAGATGTTCAGCTTGAAGATAATAAGCTTAACGTGGGTTGCCGCTCCAGCGGGGGATAGATGCATCAGAGTATAAAATGTATAATATATATATATATATAGATGTCCGACTCAGGCAGGCACGTAGGCCAGGCACGCATCTCTAATGATGCATATCTGTAACTCATTTACAGCGGGGAACTTTCAGAGCACCAATCTTGAGTGTGAACGACTTGCATATACCCTACACCGAATCAGCTATACATACATACAGACATGCAGTGTCGATTATGTCTAGTATTATATATTTGTCTGCTTTCTTGACCAACCTACTTTCAAACAAATTATGTGATCAATGAATTAGGTCAAAGCTAAGCAAAACTGAAGACACTTGAGCCAAAATGAAGATGCAACTTATCACACGAGCACAGGGTATACAAGACTGTCATATATTAAACTAATTAAAAGCCTTCGAGTTGTTAAACGATTCACTTGAAATATTACTTACCTTTATTTAAAAGCCATGATACCCCTTAACACATTCAGGGTATTCAAAAGGAATCGAATGAAGTTTGAGAAGTTGGCGTCCTGAAAGACTTTAAAAGTAATTTACATGTAATGAAGTTCTGAAGGACAAGTCTTAAATACACTATTGGACTACCAAGAAGAAGGTTTTTTACAGACTTCGAGTCTTAAATAAATTCACTCTGCCATTGCTCATTAATAAAATATTCCTGACTGTGAGCCTATTGACACTTTAATTAGATGCAAATGTGTCGTGTAAATAATAAATAAAAATCACCGTTAACCCGATATTTCCACTGACTCAACTCAACTACGGAATAACACAAGAAGAATAGTAAAATATCAGTAACGAGCTAACAGGTGGAGCATATTAGAAAGGAAGGAACGGAAATTGAAATATTCAATTGCTTAAATTTTATATATAATGAATATAGATTTTAAATCTGTTATATATTTATATAGCGCTAAGAGAAGGAGATAGATAATCTGAGCAGAAGTATTTTTATTTACTTTTATTTAATTAAACATTTTTTTTATTTTTATTAAATTAAAAAATAGTAAAAAATTCAAAACAAATTTAAGAACTTTAGTTCCTTAGTATAAATAAATATATATTTTTAAAACAGAAAAATATCAAAAAATAATTAAAAATTAATAAAATTATATATAATAAAAATTTTTTAAATTGTTTAATTTTTAATTATTTTTACGCTGTTTTTTTTTTTTTTTTGATATTTTCCTGTCTTTCAAATATATATTTATTAATATTTTTACTATTTTCGTATTTCTCTTTAAATAAATAAAAATTGATTTTTGTCCGGGAAACAAAATGAAACTGGGTATATTCTGGAATATACCAATTTGCCTAGATAAATTTAGACAAAATATGGCTAATAATATTTGATATTTAAGACTATTAAAAAAGCAAAAACTTACGTTAATCAAGTCCAGACATAAAATCAGTTTCAATAGACTCAAAGTCCAAAATTTGTTTCAATTTCACTTTAAATTTTGAATAACTTTCAAAAATTTATTTAACCCAGTTACAATAAGAAATCGAATTGTATATATATTTTTTGTAAATTATTTATTTTATCGTTTTTTGTTCGATGTGGTTTTTGTGTTTGTATTTTTATTTAATCTGCAATCATTATTTTATAAAAATGGTTTGCTTAAATTATGACGTACCAATCTAGTATGCTAGAGAATACCTAAACCTACGCAAATGAATAAATGAGAGATATGTGGATATCGTTGAATATGGAATCTCTGATCGGGGCTAGGGAGCTCGTGTGTGTGCGTGTGTCTGCATTTATTGATCTGTTTTGTTGTGTGCACACGGCCCTCGCACCTGTTGCAGATAATGTGATACGAATATAAGAATAACAAAATAATTAAAATAAGAATATTAATTTAATAAAAGAAACGATAATCGACCATCACCCGCCCCACGCCCAAGACGCACAAGTTGCGGATGCCTAGATACATATATCGTCTGTATATATATACCTATTCAAGTATATATATGTTTATATGTAGAAACAGCCGGATGTGGCCTGCTTCTGGTATGACAAGACCTCGCATTATTATATGAGTTAAGTGTTAAGATTTTTAAGAACTTTTCATCGTAATGTTTTTGTTGTTGTTGCTTAATATTTGTTGTTGTTGTTGTTGTTTAAGAGCCCCACACTTAAGTAAACCGCTGAATCCTTGACAATTCACAATCTGTCCTTAGCAGCTGCAACTACTTGATTGTTGCTAAGCTGCCAACTTTTTTGTCGCCTTCTTCTGCCGCTCGCTCTCGTTCTCATTCTCATCGAGCTTGGCGCTCTCAGTACTGCTCGACTCGGCATCGTATTCCAGCTCTGGATCCGGCACCTCGGCATAGTGGACATGTCCAACCATTTGGGTCGCACCCATGGGCACGGCACCAAACTGCGCTGCTCCTTTGCCGCGCTGCGATTCGTGTGAGCCATCGCCATATTTCTCGAGAGTGCGGCGCACTAGCTCCTTGGACGGCTGCTTCATGTCGTAGGCCCAGCCGAGTCTTTGGAATGCATCCAGCACCATGGTGGTGAAGTTGACCTTGTAGTTGCCCAGCTCAGCTGCTTTGTAATCCCAGGGGAAGACATGGTGATAGTTGTGCCAGCCCTCGCCCATGGCCATGATGGATACGTAGATGTTCTCGCTCGGCATGATGCGCCTTGAGTGAAAGGAAATGCTATCACGGGATCAATTATCTATCTGTAAGCACACTTACTTGTCATATGGACGCGAGCCCCACAGATGGGCAGCACTGTTCACCGACCAGGTGAAGTTCAGGCTGAACACGTAGCGGAACAGACACTGATGCACAAAGGCATGGTACCAGGTTTCATTCCAGCAATAGACCGGCACCAGCGTGGGCAGCACAAAGCAGAGCATTACCTTCAGCACATAGAAGTATTTCTGATGGAACTGTATGACGGGATCCGAAACGATATCGGTCATGTCGATCTGACGGCCGCGACGCAACACTTCCGGATGCTTCAGCATCATTAGCCAGCCAACGTGCGAGAAGAAGAAGCCGCGATTCGCATTATGCGGATCGGCATCCGTTTCCGAGTACTTGTGATGCACTCGATGATCTCGCACCCAATCGTACATGGTGTTCTGCAACAGAGATTTCAAGTTATTAGTCTCAGTTAATAGTCTCCATAATCGTTTCAGTCATTAAATAAGACAAATACATTGTTTTTCCACTTGCATTACATTGTCAATTTCCAGTTTTTGGCACTAAGTTGTTGTACTTAATGATCGCAATTACTGTTAATTACATTACAGCAAATTTGTCTCTCGACAAAAAACGAAACCTTTGAAAGCTAACAAAGCGCAAATTAAATGAGTTGGCTAAAATGCCAAAAAAAAAAACATTGCAAAAAACTTGGCGGTAACACCATAAGGTCAGCGAAGCGAATAGTGGACAGACGGAGAAAGGGAGCGAGAGAAAGAGTTGGGGAAAGGTCAACAGATGCTTGATAAACCATGACAAAGACTTATGCAAAGAATTTCAATAGAATATGTATTTTAGATATACATATACGTATACATATACATATATATATATATATATATATATGCCTAGCATTGAGACTTAAGGTTTTCTCTGCATTTTAATTTCAAACCATTTTTTCAAAAAAGTATTAGTCTAATTTTCTGTTGTATTCTTTTATGATTACGAAAGAAAATATTAATACTTTTTTATTAAATATTTTATGCTCTATATTTAAAAATTACATTAAAATATTTTAAAAACATTTTAAGTCTTTAATAAATAAATATTAAAATATATTCTCATAAGCTTTTTCGAAATTCTCAACGAAAGTTTAAATATTTATATTTTATATTTTTATGTTAAGCATTTTTTTTAAATAGTTTCATATAAAACATTTTTTTTTAATATTTTTATATAAATAATTAAAAAAAGTCATTTCTAAATAGTAAATTTTATATTTTAGCTTTTAAATATATTTTTTAATATTCTTTTAAAAAAGTAAAAGTATTTGTTATTATACTCGTTAACAAAAATAGTTTTATTTTTGTATATATTTTCAAAATGCTTTTAGAAAAAATTTTGTATTTATATTTAAAGTATTTGGAAATATACTTTTTACCCAAAATATATATATCTCATTAAGTTTTTCAAAATAATAAAATAAAATATATGTATTCATTTAATTGTTGTTAAACTAGATTTAGTAATCGAAAATATCCAATAATGTAAACTTATTTTGGATTGAAAGACTCTGGTCAAGAAATATGTATTCATATCTAACTCATTTTTTGTTTATAACTTACCTGACCAGCAACCGAGTAGCTGATCATCAAAAGACTTCTCAGGACCGGATTCGCCTTATAGCTGCGATGTGTCCAGAAGCGATGAGCACCTGCCGTCACGCCAAAGCCAGCAACGCCGCCCATGAATAGAGCTGCAAGAAATTAGAAAATAACACTTTAGATATAGTCATAAGGTTAACAGACCCAATCAACTGCCCTCATAAACAATTCTGTCAATAAAATAAAAACAGGTAAGCGTGCTCCAAGTCGAAGTGCTCGAATAGCAGATACCCTAACAGCCGTGTGATGTGCTTCAGTCAATTGTTGAGGTAGGGAGCAGAAATCCAAAAAGTGGAGTATTTTCTATTTGTCTATACTTGAGGTTAATATGTATACCAAATATGGAGTCTCTGCTTCATAAAGTCCATGAGATAATGTCAAATGTGAAGCTTCTTCATCATAAAGTTGATATCCATTTCGTGAAAATGGTAAAGGTGATCAATAACTTTTGCTATATGTTTCTTAAAATTGATATTTCAGGACTCTTAGAGGCAGTCTTAAAGACACGCTTCAATCAACACGGCTGCTGCTGCTCTTCAATAATATATATACTTTATGAAGTCAGCCCTTCGGCTCACACTTTAACAAAGAGATTATACCCTCTGTCGCCCGTTTTCATGGGTACAAAAATTCAACAGAAATCATGCTAATTGAATATAAAAAATTGAATAGAAAAATTTAAAATAGCAAAATTACATTTGACGGAAATTGAGGCATTTGTGTTATGGTGTTAATTTGTTGGTCAAGACGGAAACTCAAAGTCGGACAGTCGAAGCGAAGTCCACAAGGCTAAGCATGGGAGCATTTATCAAAATTATTTAATCATTTCTGTTTGTAAGTACAGTAATTACCGGCTACAACGACAACAACGTGATATGCTAATAGCATAATGAGTAAACGTGACTCGGACTGTGACTGTGATACTGGCTGTGACTGTGTAGCTGTCACAGCAATTCGGTTTAATGACACCCACAACCCACGAACTGTGCTTCCCCTAGCACCAACTAATGATCGAGTAAATGCTCAATTATTGAATTGTCGCCAAACGTTGTCGAATGTATCTGAATAAGCTGCCAATTGTATCCATAAGATACGACAATTAACAGCGAGCGACTCGATTTGCAAGTGCTTTTCCGCAAACCCTCGAACAACTAATGACAATGGCAAAAAAATGATCAAACAATGACAATTGCAATAGACAAAGAGACAAAACAACTTTCCTGCCAATGCACAATGGCCGTAAGCAATATTGATAGATACAAAGTTACACAATTTCTACTGATGAACTATTAAGCATGCCGCTCAGCCTCCGCCACTGCCGCCCAGCCCAAACTGTGAATGAAAGATTAACCTTCAAAAGTTTATTGCTTGTTCGATTGCGACAGGGCGCCAAACCAAAAAACCAAAAATCAAGAAACCTGTTTTCCCACACCGAAAAAATAACCATCAAAAACTAACAGCTTTGAATTGTATTGGCCATCTATCTAGGCGCTATGCGCCCTAAAAATCACTCACTAAAAATCATTCCAATTGCATTAAATCAATACGATTTTAATGCTAGAATGCTATCCAGACCTTCGACCCTGTACGGGGTGGTCTAACAGGGCTAAGCCCCGTCTTTGCAAGTCAATTGCAAGTTTAGAAGGATTTCTGACAATAGAAAATTATAGATACAAGATTTGCAAGTCAAATCAAATGCATTCGCTACACGATCTAGAAGTCAAAGTTGTCGAGTCCAAGACTTTGTCGAATCATATGAAGCGCTTTTGCCTATAGTTTGCCCAGAGTTTAGCGATCAAAAGACACTCACAGAGGAGTAATATATGAAAAAGTCATTGAACTAAAAGCTTTTTGCAGTTTTGTGTCGCAGAAAGATTAAAACTATATTTTCCAAATAGATTTTGTGAAGTTTTTAGCTAAGTTTTTTGAGTTTCAGATTTTTTATCTATATATAAAAGTTTTACATATGATTTGATAGTAACAAATATACCGATATATTATATAAACATATATACATATATAGAGTTACATATGTCTATGGATTTCCCTCCCCGCTCAACATAATTTCGTCATCTTTAATTAACACTGCATTTAGTAAACATCAAAACGTGGCTATTGGTGCGAAACGACTTTTGTATAACATCATAACGCCCCAGAAACTAATTAATATTATTACTGCTGCGACGATCGTGTTAAACATGACAAAAAAAAAAAACAAAAATTGCTCTGAAATACAAGAAATTTTTAATAAAAATATAAAGTGAAATAAGTAAGCGCTATATAGGCTAAAATGTTCGACTAGTAGACACCCTAAGCGCACAAAATTACTTGAAGTTTTTCTATTGCTGTAAGATGTAATCAAAAAATTATGTAATTCTAATTTTTATTTATATTTATATATCAAATTGGATAACTCTAGCTAGTAGGACCTACGAGATATGCTCAAATAACAAAGGTTTGTAATCGATTTTAATCGATTTGAATCGATTTTGGGGAAATGAGAAAATATATATATACTTAAGAAGTATTTATATATCAAATTTATTGACTTCAGCTTATAGAACATACAAGTAACAAGGTTGACAGATTTACTTACACTCAGACGAACGGACAAATTATCGGCCCAACAGGTAGAGAAACAGAGCACGTTAGATCAACTCACCTGTCGATCTTTATCAAAAATATATATGTATATATAATATATATAGTCAACCACGCCTCCTCATGCCTGTTACATGTAGTTCAACAAAAACGTTATGCCCTTTATTCTTTGCTCACTCAATGGTCAAAATAATATGTAAAGGTAACGATCATTAAATAAACGCTGCACGTCGGCCTGTAATTTGCCAAAATATTTACGAGCGAAACACCGCCCATAAAGGGTCATAAAGTGCGCGTCCCATGCATGGACCAGGTTGCAGCTACCAGCTCAATAAATATTGAAATTTAGCGCAAGTATTTTGGCGAGGTAGTTTTTTACCTGTGCTCTCTTCTGCATTAAATTACAATGAGATGGAATTCCCAATGAAAACTGAAGTTCAGACGATGCTGTACAGCGAACGGTCTCAATGTCAAGTGGGGCTCTGTTTAATTTAGTTTGTTTTTGCTGTTGTTGCTTTTTCGCATGCCTAGAGTCATAAATCGTGTATATACATACATATGTGTATTGAACCATGGCCCTGGCTGGGACTTACATGGAAGTTTCTGAGCGTCAGCTCAAATATGGCTAAAATGGCGAAGAGGCGGCTCAACGGTATTGTGTTTAGCTTGGCTAGAAAACCTGAGAATGCGTGTGGCTTACACATAGCCTTGGTTCGCTATACATAAGCATTTGACTAATGTCCCACAAATAAGAATTATATATTCGTGCCAACTCAATATTCAGTTGACTTTTCGGTTTACTTTTCATACGTTTTTATTTTCATTTCCATACCTGAACTGTGTCACTTCGCTTTTATGCTGAATTTGCAAGCGCTGGCAAATTTGACAACAGAGTGCAATTCAAAAACAAAAACAAAACCAAAAGAAAAGCGAAAGAAAAAAAAACAAAAGCAATACCCTATAAACCCGATGCCAAATGAAATTTCAACATGGCGAAGGCGAAGACAACGCTGGCAGCGATGCCAACGGCGACAGCGACGACGGCGTTGCTGCCAATGCTGCTGGCGTTGCCAAGTAAGAAAACCATGTTAAGTAGCAATTAATTAAAGCCAATAAATATGAGTTCGAAGTGTAACAGTAAATGTAAGCCAAAAATTTTGTGAAATACTTCAGATGCCAAAACGCCGCCCTACTTCCTCTCGCTCTCGCCCACTTTTGCCCATGCTGTGTAAATTACTTTCTTTCTCGCTCATCAGCACATGCGACCAAATTGCAAATAACGGCAGAAGACCGTGTAAAAGACAGAGAGAGACTGAGAGAGAGGTGAAACGTAAAGCAGAAGTTGGAGATGAGCAAATGGGAAAGACATAAGGCAATACACAACATGAGATGACACCACACAAAAATGTTTTTATGCATATGTATGCAAACATATCTGTATGTGTGTATATGTGTTTATACATAATCGTTCGTAATTTCGGAATCGAAGCAACTGCAGTTGTATTTGTTGTTGATGTAACTAGCTGGGCAGGTGGGCGACAGACACCTTTCCACGTCTTATATAATGGGGTCAATACTTACACCAGATCAGAGAGTAAAAGCGCAGCTCGTTTAGCGGATAGGTGACCAGACAGAAGAAGGCGACCAGATGCAGCAAGGAGATCTGTATGACCTTGTCCCATTTGAGCGGCGCATTCAGCTGCCAGCCCAGGATATTGTCGCCCTTGAAATTGCGTGTATACTCCTCCATATTGATCTGGTCCTTGGGTATATGATCGATCAAATCCTTTGGAATATTCCTGGGCGCCGCCGAAGCCGACAGTGGCACCGGCTGCGGTTGTTGCTGCTTGCCGCGCGGCATTGACTCGGGCGATGAGTCCTCGCTGCGACGAGCCTGCGCCTCGCTGCTCAGTTTGGCGCGTCGCGCCAGCAGTGGCGGGCTGCCCTCACCTGTGCTGGCCATGGGCGTGGTGCTGCACACGCGCTCTGATGTGGACAGGTGACCCATTTGGTAGAGCTGTCTATGGCTAAGAGGGAGGGGTGGGGAGCTCGGGCAAGGTGCCTACGATTTTTCAAACTTTTCACTTGGGCTGGCGGAAACCCAGGTTTCGTAATTGCCGCTCCAAATCCAACAACTTTCTTCTTCACAGATTTACACACAAAACAAATTTTTAATTGCGGCTGGAAGTACGTTTTTGTTGGCTTTGTCGCCTGTTATTTATTTTTCGTTTTGGCTTTTTTTGTATTTTATTTATTTTTTTGGTTGTTTTTCGCTCTTGCTTTGCACTCGTAACACTTGTCGCGGCCCTTTTAATGGATCTCTGTGCGGTTGGGTCTTTGGGTGCAAGACCGCGTTTTCTCTTTGGCGGGGACTGGGACTCGAGTGGGATTTGGGTTTTTCCTTGCGCTCTGTGTATCTAACGAACTTAACCCGACGCCGTTCCGTAGACAAATGATCGCAGTCAAAACTTAAAATTTCTACCCTATGCCGGCGTTGGCTTTGACGTTGGCGTTAGCGTTGGCGTTGACGCTGACGCTGCCGTTGACGTCGCTGCTTCTGCTCTTGTTATTGTTGTGCTCGTTGTTGCTGTTTCTGCTGCTGCTAGTGCTGCTGCTGGGCTGACACGCCACCAAACTGACTGATTGACCGACAGACTGATTGTTGTAGTTGTTGCTGTTAATATTGGTGCGCACTGTGGACTCAGACAATTTAATACAAAGACAAAAACCGCAAAGCAAAGGCCAAGATTATGCCACCACACACACACAGGCACGCACACTCGCGTCTTGCAACTGCGTCAATGCTCGTTTGCAGCTTCGGCACAGGGTTCGAGCTTCGGCTGCCAGCTTCGGCGCAGCATCAGTCGCATTGCCGGGGAATTTTATTGTTGTTGCTTTTGTTATTGTATTTTTGGTCTTCTCCTCTGCGGACGCCGCTGCTGCTGCTGCTGCTGGCAAAGACAATCGACAAGAAGTCTGCTGACTGCGCAGCCGATTACTCAGTCAAGTTGTTTCCTGTTAGGCAACACGTATGACACGTAGGAGTTGCTTATGTTTCTTAAATCGATCTCCATACATTAAAATTTGTTGTTAACACAAAAAATTTTGTGTTTAAACAACATAAAACTAAGTCAACGTTATGCTTTCTTGTATATCTTAGCCCTAAGGGCATTTGCCTATTCATAAATTAAAAAAATTTATTAAATGATGTAAATTTAGTTGGATCATTCGCAAGCCGATTTCTATTTGGCATAGGTTAGTGCGTTGCGCACCTGTACCAGCGCGTCGCATTGCCTAATCAAGTAGAGTGCAAAATTATTTCACAAGGGCCAACGACTAATTCTGTTCATCGATTCATTTGCATATGACAAAGGCAAAAGCAAAAACAAAAACAATTTCCCAATCAATCTCTCCCATAAAATCTGTATGTGCGTGTGTGTTGTATTTAAAATTGGATCCGCAGCCGCAGTTCGCTGTTGTTGTTGTTGTTGTTGTTGTTGTTGTTGTTGTTGTTGTTGTTGTTGTTGTTGTTGTCTTGTGGCCTTCTCCACTTTGGCTTTTTTGTTGACCAAAGTCAAAAACCGTTCGATGATCATGAAGTTCAACAGCAGCAAAGGCAGCAGCAACAGCAACAGCAGCGGCGACTGCTTTGCTTTCTCTTTACGTAACGACGGCAAAGACAAAGCCAAAAAGCCAAAAATTTAATTAAAAGACAGCAAAAACAGCAAACTTAAATAAAAAGCGAGCACTAAAAGGAAGCGCAAGCGCGATCTTTAAAACCTAAACGAAACATCGAGATATAAAAATAAGAAATAAATTCAAAGCTGCAGCTCGCACGGTTTCAACTATTTCAACGATTCCCGTGCATTTACGAGACTTTGTTGTCGTCGCTGCTTTTTGTTTTTTTTTTTTTTTTGTGGTTTATGTTGTAAGCTTCACACATTAGCAAATTTAGCTGAACATCAAATTTCAATTGTCAAAAGAAAACAACCAAAAACCGAGAGCCAAAAAACGAAAACAAGTCAACACACATAACCCAACTTGACCACAATGCAAAAGGCAAAAGCGAGAATATCCATACGCACATACACTGCGAGAAAATTGAGTGTCATCTTCCATAAATTTGTGTGGCAACAATGGCATTATTTAGTTAACAATATTGTATAACAATAGAATTTAAGCACAGTTAAAATAGTTGGAAATTTCAAAAGTTTAGCTAGGTGTTGATTAGGTACACTAGGTACACTTGTTGTACTAATCAAACTTAGTACACTTGTTGCTCTTGCAAGCTGGTACACTAGGTACAATTAGCATTCTTGGCTTGCCTCGTAAGCTTGATACGATGGATATACTAGGTACACTAAGTACATATGTTACATTTATTATACTTAGCTTACTTAGGTACTTTTGGAACACTTTGCAAAGTTGGTACATTTGGTAAACCTGGTAATATTGGTACCCGAAGAACACTTGGAACAGTTGGAAGAGTTAAAGCATTTCATACACTTGGTACATTTTGGTACATATTGGTACTCTTGACAAACTTGGTGCACTAGCAACGCTTGATTAGCCTGGTACAATTAGTACACTTAATACACTTGCTTAACTTGATACACTTGGCATAATTAAAAATTAGGTACATTTGGTATATGTGTAGTATTTGGAAAACTAGATACATTAGTAACACTTGGCAAACTTGGTACACTTGGTACCTAAGGTACACTTAAAGTACTTGGTGCACGGAATACGTTTGCTACACTTGGTACACTTGTTACTGTACCATTTGAAACTCTTGGCCAACTTAGTATACTTATTAGACTTCTTACACTTGGTACATTTGGAACTCATAGCACAGTTTCTAACTTGCTACATTTGACACATTAGGTACACATGTCAAACTTGGTACACTTGACATACTTGAAACATTAGGTACACTTTAGACACATGGTACATGCGGTGCACAGCGTAAACCTTCAATGCATATAAATATATACAGAAAATTATAGTTTTCTGACACCTTTACGATCTGTTAAACACACCTTGCAAATTGTGAGAGAATTGTTTATAATAAATTTGACAAATTATCTCATTGAGCATTCACAATATCTTCAGCCAGCAGCTGTTGTTGTTTGTGTTTTGGTTTATTTACTTTATGGCGCAGCTTCAGTTAGTCAAGTTTGCATCGTCAGCGGTTTTTATGAGCCAAAACAATTGAAAGACAAGAAATAAATTCTGGGCTCAACAAATTGCACGAGTCTGAACAAAGCTCTTGACTATGTACCTACACACACACACATGGCTACCCAGTGCTACCTTATGCTTAAACAATGTGAATAGCCACAAATATCTGAAATTTAATCATTTCCTTCTCTTGCGCTATTTGGCCACAATCAAAAGCCATTCATTCCATTCCCGTGCGCGAGTCGTATGAAAACACAATTTGCCGTCGATTAGTTGTCTAAGGTTTATGTCTTTTTTCGTATACCCTGTACACAGTATATGTTGGGCATAATGTGCTTGAGGGCATGCGTGCAACGTGCAGAGTAAAGTATTTAGTCCTCAACTTTGAGCAGTGAAATCGATTGGCTAATGTTGCTCTATCCATTTATGAACTCAGAAAATATTAGAATTAGGAGCTTAATATTTCAGCTAAATATTCTTCTATATCATATCAAAAGTAAGCAATATTTTCCTCTATATGAATAATATCCTTTGATATTCGAAGTCTCTCAGGTCTAAGTCAACAAGTATTACAATGTATGTATTGATCGCAAATATATATATATATGTTTATGGAATAGTATTGTTGCACTTTCAAATAAGAGGGCAGAATTAAAGAAACGAAACGCTTTGTTTTCAAAAAAGGCTGAACTTTGGTACATATTTGCATGCATTGAGGATAATTAAACTTTGTGCAGTTTCTTGGGCATCGGACTATCAACGCGACAAGTTGTGAAGCATTCATTTGCATTTTTATAAAGAATATTTAATTGAATGCAATTCGAATAATTATTTTGGTTCAAGGTAACTCATAGTCGGGCATTCATCAGAGAAATACACTTAAGTGTTTTTTTCTCGCTTTTAGGTTTGGTTTTTCTTCTTCTTCTTCTCAAAAAGGCGTCATTTGTGTGTTTAAATGCTGTTCAGGGTTATAGACAAATGTATTAAGACTGGTATCTATTTTAATTTATGGTACAATGAGACAAAGGTACATTTTAATTGCATTTATATATTTATACATTTGCTTGATTTTTATAGAAAATTTTGTTTTATTTTCCAAGTGTAAATTTCCACTCAGCCAGCAAAGGTACACTTCATGTGTATAGGTACTTGCAGGCTGATCAATGTATACACTTTAATGTATTCATAGGTACTCTATAATTAAGTGCTGATACATTAATTTTTGTGTACATTAGGTATATTTCTATATTTATATTAGGTACATTTGATTGTCTATGGATACTTGCAAGCAGATCCATATATACACAGATTAGGTACATTTGAACCTTTCTGTAGGTACTTTATGAGTAATTGCAGGCATGTAAATATTTAGGTACATTCGTTTCCTTTATTGGTTACTTCAAGAAAGCGAATGTACCTAAACATAAATTGATTGCTGCAAATAGATATATGCATAGGTACATTTGTAACATTTGAACGATTTATTGGTACATCGTGGCAAGATAAACATAAAGGTACATTAGGTACATTTTCGTGTATACGCCACTATTTTAAAGGTACCCAAAGAAAGTGTACCAAATAGGTACATTGGGTATTGTTCGTGCCTAACAGGCCCTTGATATAGTCTTCGCTCTGCATTACGCACAGGGCATCGAACAACGAAATAAATATTAAACATTACACAAGTTAAAGCCTTCAACAATAAATTGCGTATCTGTGCAACCTTCAACTGTCGCTCGGTTGACTATTTCCATGAAAAAAAAAAACAAAAACAAAAAACATCCAACAAAAACAAATTAACATAACAAAACGCAAAAGTAGGCACAGCGCAAGTGCAATTTGCAACAAACTTAATGCCCAAGCGAAGTGTGAACAAAAAACGAACTATCTACAAACACACATGCACATTATGAGTGTGTGTGTGTGTGTGCGCGCTTTGTACCTGCCACTGCCACAAGCAAAAAGCAAATCAATCAAGAACAACTGCCTCAAACATTATGAAGCTTGTATACCCTTTCCGCTCAAGCCAAATTTTAGGGAAAACAAAAACGAAATGTAATATAAAAAAATTGTTTTAAAATAAATAAAAAAATAAATAATGAAAATAAAAAATAATAAAGTTACCAACTGGGCTTTCAACATGTCGCATAAAGTTTTAGAATAAATGAATAATAAATTAAAATAAATAATAATCTCAGCTTAACTTGAGTCCAACTTTCTAAATTTACGAGGATTGTTCAAACAGTTTACGACCCAGCGATATATACATGTATATATGTATTGATATCGTCGCATATATATTTTAATGGATGCCTATTACAATAACATCTAAGCTGGGGTTAAAAAGCCAAAAGTAATTGTTAAAGTAAAGGGCAGCTTAACTAGAGGCCATAAATAGTTTCAGTTTCAGTTAACAAATTATTCAAATTAGCATAACGTAGCATTATTTATATTATTTATATTATATATATCTAGTCAAAAATTGAATGAAAACTCATATACCCCTTTGGTAAGGATAGCTGAATTAACTGCAAGCTTTACGCCGGCGCAGCTTTTAGCCAGCAAATTCATTAGTAATCACTTCATAGCCATTAGGAATTAGTACAAGTGCCTCACTCACACAGACAATAGACGTAAATCTCGACTATATCAAGCTTGATTTTGCATATATACCTATGTCTGATATATATGTATGTAAATTCGAAATTTTGCTAAGCATTGTTTTACTATCTAAGCAAAGGCAATAGCTAAGCAGAATATGTTGAAAAAAATATCTCTCCGCTCCTCTTAAAAGTATAATTGCTTGAACAACATTTACAGACATTTGCTCGTAGTGTCTTTAGCTTTTTATGGAACTCTCCGATTATATCTGAGACTTTAAATGCTCGTTGTTAGACGATCTTAGAACTTATGTGCTAAATCGTGAATAAATCAGCAAAATGTGTGCAAATATAGCGGCAATGCTCGACTGCAAGGTACTCTGAGCAGCAAAAGCTGAAAAGAACTTGGAAGAGTTGCTAAGCGATCGTAGGCCATATGAGCCTTCAGAAGCGGTCAAGCTTTGGTCACTCAATCAATATACAACTAAAGACACAAACCTACAATTTATTCATTCTTCATTCGTAATCACCAAATTCAAACGCAAACCAATATACCCTCTTCCCGCTGCGTGCTCTGTATTTAAATTCCTTTTAATTTGCATTTGCAGAACTTAGATTGAAACGCGCCCAGCTTGATTGAGCGCAACTCAAGCACAAAACCTAGTCCCAAATGTTGTTGATTCAGTCAATATTTGCGCTGGCCATCGGACAGGAGCTGTACGCAACGTAGAATACCAGGCGATCTATGTATATGCTACTTGCTTGGGCTTTTAGACTTGTCAAAGGTTTTTAGTTTTTTTTCTTTCTTTTGTCCGGCTTCTGTGCGAGGTGAAGTGCTTAAATATTGACGCATCAATCAAGCGCTGGGCACACATTGCGTATTAGTGATAATTTATTGAGTGCGACTCATTTAATTTGCTCGCAGTGCCACGTAAAGCCCTTTTGGGCTTGGGCATAGGAGTGTGGGGTGTCCATGCTTGGGAAAATCTCAAGTGAATCGATTGCCAAATGGAAAGGCATTTGAAAAGAGCTATTCGGAGTGTCGTCGGCAATCGTAAAACTAATTTGGAAAGCCTAATTATAAAGATTTGTTAAGTTGCTTAGAGCTCGGCCTTATCGGCATGGTAATCACAGATGCGAGCAGCATTGGGCAAGCACATCCAACTCACAGCTATTGTCGGCATACTTTAGATGAGCCTGACCTATGAAGCGGCTTGCAACAAATAGAATTAGTATAAACAAATGGAGTAGCAAGAGTAAGCGCATGGCAAAGCAAAAGTTCAAAGAATTTGGAAAGGTTTGTAACTTTGATATTGAGAGATGAAAGATGAGAAATGACTAATGAGAGATGAGTGATGAGTAATGAGCAATGAGCAATGAGCAATGAGTAATGAGTAATGAGTAATGAGTGATGAGAGATGAGTGATGAATGATGAGTGATGAATGATGAGTGATGAGTGATGAGTGATGATTGATGATTGATGAGTGATGAGCGATGAGTGATGAGAGATGAGTCATGAGTGATGAGTGATGAGCAATGAGTAATGAGTAATGAGTGATGAGTAATGAGTGATGAGTAATGAGTAATGAGTAATGAGTAATGAGTAATGAATAATGAGTAATGAGTAATGAGTGGTGAGACATGAGCGATGAGTGATGAATGATGAATGATGAGTGATGAGTGATAAATGATGAGTGATGAGTGTGATGAGAGTGATGAGATTACTGATAAGTGATGAGTGGCAAATGATGAATGCTGTTTGATGAGTGATAAATAATGTCTTATTTCTGTAGACTTCTATTGGTAAACTTAGAAGGAGTTTTGCTTGCACGCCTAGAATAATTACCCCTAGAGTTATGCTCCATCTAAAAAGTATATTCAGTTTAATCAATACACTATTGTTGCTAATAAACAAATAGTAACAATAATAGCTTTACCAATCGGTAATTGCTTATTATAGAATGCCATCACTTTAATTCCACTGTTTGCGCCTCACATGAACTTGTCGCGATTGAGAAAATGATTGGTGGGGCGTGTACTCTCCTCGCGCTGTACGTGCTCCTTGATGCATTCGACTATGGGACGATTGTGCTCGACGGCCTCCGTTAAGCCTCTGCGCACCGCCTCCGAGGAGATGGTGTGCAGATCCCTGACCCAATCGAGGGCAGCAAAAAGACGGATCATGGTGGAGCCGGTGCCGCTGGCATAGTCGCCAAACTCGCCACTCAGATAGTCGTTGGGCAGCAGATAGTGGTACTGGGGCCAGAACGATTTCGTAATGATGAATATGCTATTGGAGTCAGTGGGCTTGAAGCCCTTGTGTATGCTCCAAATGAAATGCGCCGAGTTCACGAGGTTTCCGACATTCAACACAATCAAACTGCGCAGCCAGAAGCCCATGAACAAGGAGTTGCTCAGTGCCTCGCCAAAGTACTGGAACGGCGTGTTCACGGGCATCAGCACATTGATCAGAATGTAGAGCAGCACATAGTAACTGTAAAGGGATCCGTTAGCTACCAATTGTTGAGCATAGTCAGTGACAGGGCACCCACCGCTTCTGGAACATGACAATTTCGTCCTTTTCCACATCGGACATGTCCACGGCCTTCAAGAGCTGCTCCTGTTGCTGCGAGTACTTGAACAGATTTCCATGTAACTGAGCATACAGAAAGCTATGTTTGCTATAATAGGGATCTTCGTCCTGCTGGAAATGCGCGTGATGCAGCCGATGCGCCTGCACGCGACTGTAAATGGTGCCCTATGAATGAGTTTGGAAATATTTCAATCAAGTTTAGCTTAAGTCTTAAGTCTATATGAAAGTTTAACGCAATATCTTACAGATTTCAACATATATATATATATGATATAGTTAGCTTATCTTATCGCTACTTTTCACTTTTATTTAAGGCAACTCATTTTAGCTCTAGCTGTAAAGTCAAGACAATTTCGAAAGAGATTTCGAATTCGATCTTCCATCAGAGATAACCGCTTGAGGTTTGGTTAATGGCTAAGGTTTGTGTCTGCGCTAAAAGCATAGACTGCAAGCTTTGGCACAAGCTTTTTGCCAGTGGCGTAGCTGTTCAGAGGGTAGACTTACCTGGCCGGACAGCGTCTGGCAGAGCATGAGGAACACGCGTAACGGAGTATTTGCTGTGAAGGTGCGATGTGCCCACAATCGATGCACGCCCACCGTTACGCCCAGTATGCCCAGCGAGGTGAGCAGAGCAGCTGGAAAAAGAGCAGTGCACCAGGTGTCAAATAGCCAAATTGAAAATGCAGAAACCTCGCACTGATTTATTCAACTCACTGAATAATATCGTTGACCATAAGGCGGTCGTAAATGTTACATAAATGCCATAGCCGCCCAGTATATAGACATGGATGTACCAGAGCACGAGCGGCCAGCTGGCTTCGCGCTTCTTGTACTCCGCATCGCCTAGGGTATCCTTGCTGTCTGTGTTCACCTGTCCTGCCATCGTATGACTAGCCATTTTTTCTGTCCAGGTGGAGCCAACTGTTGCAGACACTCGCTGGCACGCTACTAGATTGGACTGTCGCACGACGGCGCTGTCTATGCTTCCCAAGGTTCAAGTAGGAGTACCCCTATGCATATGCATGAGAGCCGTATAAATATGCGTACGTCGGCGTAAATGGCCAAATGTTCTTCATAGCGAGTTCACATTGTATGTGAAACATTTACATTAAAATTGTTTTACTTTGCGGTTTAATGGCTCTATTTATATATAAATAAATTTTCGGAATACCCCTTTGCTTATGCATGAAAACTTATTTAAATTCCTATTGTCTATCAAATATTCAAGACTTACCTATACTATAGTCGAAGCTGATTTTAGAAGTAAATAAGAGGAATATCTCTAATGCATACGCCTAATTATATATAAGTAAATTTTCGGAATACCCCTTTGCTTATGCATGAAAACTTATTTAAACTTCTATTGTCTATCAAATATTCAAGAATTTCGTATACTATAGTCGAAGCTTATTTTGGAAGTAAATAAGAGGAATATCCCTAATGCATTAGACACTGGTTTCTTGTTGTTTTAACATTTCAGACTTGTGTAATAGCTAAATGCTAATTTAGTTTGTATGTGAGCAGCTGGAATACCCCTATTTATAGGCGAGAGATATCTAGATATTACACTGCTCAAAAGTTCATTAGAATAAATTGATATTCTATATACGACACTCTAGCCTGACTTGAGCAATTACTTAATTGCTTCCTTAGTATATATGCAGCGGGAGTACCCCTAATCATGTGCATGAGTAGACACTGAGCGAACATCCTTCATAAAAAATTCATATTGTATTTGAAGCAACTCAATTTAACTAAAGCAAATTAAGCAATAATTCATGATGATTACACATAAAAGGAAGTACCCCTAATCAAAATTAAAAGCAGTCAAGATGCATTAGAATATGTATAGCTTGCCTCTTGCAATGAATTAGCTTGAGTCAATAGTAAATAAGGGACTACCCCTAATTATATATAAGAGATTCCATAGTATAAACTAGGCAAAAGGTCCAGCTGAATTCTCTTTTTCGTCAGCAAGACTACCCCTAATATATATATATATAGAATATCTCACAAGATACGCCGGTCAAACGTTGCGTCGAACGTGTTTTTATTTCATGTAAAAACTCAATGCTTAGACTAAATTAATTCATATTTTGATGATCTTCCATTAGCAGTACACAAATCAGGAATACCCCTATGCCGAAACACACCAAGCTTAGACTTGAAATATTTTTATGTCATTTTCTCGAGTGTAAGCAAGCAACGACAAAGGCTAGCAGTATAGTGTACATATGTGGTATTGATGACAATTAAGGCGCTTAGCTAATAACTTAGTACTAACAACAAAACCGAGGCGGATGGGGGCTAATACTACAACAGCACTTGGTGCGGCCGCCCTCAATTCTGCATCTTGGCCAGCTCGGCGAGATCCTCGCGTGGCAGATCGCGATCACCAAAGCCCCAAACTTGATTCTTGTGGGCGTACTCGTCGCTGAGAAAGCGCGTGCCGTCGCCACACTTTGCCGCACGTCGCATCACCATGTCCGGAGAAACCGATTTGCCTGTGGCGAAACAAAATTTGAGATCATTTGGATAGGGAACTGAGCTCACGCGATCCACTTACGACCACTGGCTATGCCGATGCGAGCACAGAAATCAATAAAAGCCGTGGTCACGTTCAAGGTGTAGTTGCCGAACTCGCCCGTCTTATAGTCCCAGGGGAACACATGATGATAGTTGTGCCAGCCCTCGCCCATGGCCAGGAACGAGACAATGGGCGCCTCCACGGGAGTAATGTTTCTATAGAAGTCAAAAGGAAAACCTCAATAATAGTCCACTTCATCTAGAGTTTGCACTCACTTGTCGTAGGGCTTGTTGCCATACATGTGAGCCACGCTGTTCACAAAGAAGGCCACGTTCAGGGTCCAGGTGAAGCGCATGTTAAAATTGATCCAGAAGGACATCCAGAGATCCTCCTGCCAGAAGTACCAGGGCACCAGCACGGGCAGCACAATCGAGCAGAGCGCAAACAAGGGTATATAATATTTGCGCTGGAACATGACCACTGCATCCGCCTCCAGATCGGACATATCAATCACCTTGCGCTTCTCAATCACCTTCGGATGTGGAGTCAGGAATAGCCAGCCAACGTGCGCAAAGAAGAAACCTCGCTTAGCATTATGCGGATCCGCATCCGTCTCCGAAAACTTGTGATGTATTCTATGATCCAAGGCCCAGGTGTAAGCATCGCGCTGCAAAGGCAAACAGAGATGAAGTTAGAGTTGTGATCTTGCTTATTATTTTGTCTTGAAACTAGAACTTTACTTTGAGCAGGCTTAACTTAGGTAAGATCTAACTATATATATAGGGAAGGCTTTGCTGAAAGCTGAAAAAACTTTCTAATCGATTTTAGCTTTTTGTATGAGTTTTTCAAGAAGTATACATCGAATCGTTTGAAAAAAACCTCAGATGAACTTGAGTATAAGCTTGTTGCATATAGAAAACCTCGAGTTAATTCGAGTCTGAGCATGTTACAAACCTCAGATGAACTTGAGTTGTAACTTGTTACATGGAGAAAACCTGAGATGCAACTGAGTTGAAATTGGTTACATTGAAAGAACCTCAGATGAGCTTGAGCTGGAACTAGTTACATATCTTATCTAGCCTATTTAACCAGTAACTCATAACATAAGCGCTCAACAAACTGGTTAAATGTTTTTATTGAACCAGTTCAAACATTATTCTCGAAGCTTTTATATACTTGAGTCTAATCAGCACTTGAAAAACAAAAGAAAACTAAAAGTTGAATTATTCATAGACAAAAATGAGTTTGATTAAAAACTATTCTCAAAGTGCTTTACAAATATTGTTCAGAGAAGCTCAAATTGCCAATGTGTTCTATAAAAAATAGTTAGATTCAACTGTTACTCACCTGTCCCGCAATGGAGAACATGAACGCCAACAACACTCGCAGGAATAACGATGCTGTGTAGGATTTGTGTGACCAGAGACGATGCGCACCCGCCGTAATGCCAATGCCCGATACCCAGATGCAGCCAACAACTGCAAAGAGAGAACAAGTTAAAGAGTGGCTGGGGAAGCTGTCTCGGTTGATTTGCTCTCCATGTGATGACATAATGGCACCGTGCTATGATTCTATCTATACGCACGGCCATAGAAATAAACGGAGAGCTGTGTGGGCAGGGCTGCAAGTACTATACCCCTCTCCCCAGCCCCCTCCTCTCTCTGTCTATTTCTATTGCCATGCGTCAGAGCAGCTGTCACCTATTCGCCCGGCTCTATGGAAATCATTTTGATCACCGTTCAAAGCCCAATGAATGCCAATTGAAGCGATCGTTAACTTTAATTACTCTGGTCAAAGAGCACATCAGTTGCTCTTCCAGTTTTTCTAAGTATCTAGGGTAAATCTAGTAACGAAATCGCCTGATTTTGAAAAGAATCTCATAAACTGGCCCATAGAGAACTGTAAGAATATTAATGATAGCTCTCAGACTCAGCTGTTGTGCAGAAAAAAACTAAAAGATATTTGTGTAGATCAGATGAAAATGTGGCAGATTCTTTGGCATTAGCATTAGCATTAGCATTAGCATTAGCATTAGCATTAGCATTAGCATTAGCATTAACATTAACATTAACATTAACATTAACATTAACATTAACATTAACATTAACATTAACATTAACATTAACATTAACATTAACATTAACATTAACATTAACATTAACATTAACATTAACATTAACATTAGCATTAGCATTAGCATTAGCATTAGCATTAGCATTAGCATTAGCATTAGCATTAGCATTAGCATTAGCATTAGCATTAGCATTAGCATTAGCATTAGCATTAGCATTAGCATTAGCATTAGCATTAGCATTAGCATTAGCATTAGCATTAGCATTAGCATTAGCATTAGCATTAGCATTAGCATTAGCATTAACATTAACATTAACATTAACATTAACATTAACATTAACATTAACATTAACATTAACATTAACATTAACATTAACATTAACATTAGCATTAGCATTAGCATTAGCATTAGCATTAGCATTAGCATTAGCATTAGCATTAGCATTAGCATTAGCATTAGCATTAGCATTAGCATTAGCATTAGCATTAGCATTAGCATTAGCATAAGCATAAGCATTAGCATTAGCATTAGCATTAGCATAGCATCATTATCATCATTATCATCATTATCATCATTATCATCATTATCATCATTATCATCATTATCATCATTATCATCATTATCATCATTATCATCATCACTACTATCATTACTATCATTACTATCATTACTATTATTATAACCATAATTATCTATTTCATTAGCAGTCCTTGTTAGCAACATTATAAGCCAACTGATCATCACCGTGATAGGTATATTCCCTCTAGTCTCTTGCCTCTTCTGATCTAATCTGTATTGTCGGAAACATATAGCTATATCTTCAGTAATGCCAGATAAACTAGTTTCTTATCAACTGCCAATTTATGACCTTCATAAATAAACCTTAACACTTTGATAGTTATTTTTCAGATACGATTGTCAGTTACTGCAGGGCCTAAATGGCGCTTTTTACTTTATTTAAATATGTGTGATGTGGCTTCAGCTTTTGCTCCGAGATTCAAAGCTCGCATAACATAACGCGCCTGTTGCCTAGCTAATGAGTAAATAAAATATTGCTCAGAAACCTAAGTAATTTATAATTAACATATTGTTGAAGACAATTAGAGTGTCTCTAGGAAAGAAGTCGCTTGCTCACATATGTTAATTGCAGGTCACCACCCAGTCGAAAATATATTCGGGGTATATACTATATAGACATATATACTATATACATACGATTATCTGGTACGTACCCCATAGGAATGTGTAGAGCTTGGCGCTAAAGAGCAGGTAGAGGCCATAGAGGGCGCCGGCGTGTAAAAACGTCTGGGCTCCTAGATCGGGCCATCGGATCTGGGGATTGTAGACAACTTCGTCTGTATCCGACTTCTGCTCCCGTTGCTGCTCCTCGATCAGCTTGGCCGCATTCTCCTTGTATACAGCATTCTCCTCGTTGTATCCTAAATCGTCCACGGGCTCTTTGGTCTGTTTAGCATCTGTGGCTGGGGCTTTCCTATTTTTTAATTGATTATCGCGGCACATCTCGCCCAGATGGCAGGCGCCACCGTTGCTTTGTCCAGCAACGGCGTCGGCCTCGACGTTGGGCTTACTAGGCGTGGGCGTCGATAGGCACATTATGTTCACGATATTGGTATGTTGTGTGGAACTCGTTGGTCTATCTGAAATTGAAGTAAGCGCCATAGGCGATGAGTAATCTACTCGCCATAGACTTGCTAATTGCACTTTCCAGCGTCCATCATTTAACAGCCTATTGATTGATAATTGGAATTGATATTGGAATAGTAATTCGAAAATATGTGGATGAAGTGTGAAATATTGTAAATTTTTCTCACATGCTCGCCGCCTACTGAACTGTTTTCAGAAAATCAACTACAAAGCAACTCGGCTCGCACACAGTTTACACTAACTATTAACATTTGCCATTCCCAAGTTAAGTTCGTCGATTCTCTGTCTACTTGATCTTATCTAAAACGGCTTAGGTAAGACCGTGGAGTGTGGACTCATAAAGTAGTAGTAGTTCGTTAAGTTAAATTATCTTTTAGTCAGTTTCTGCTCGTTTCTGCTCGTTTCTTGCAATAAAACAATTTCTTGAGTACTGACATCATGACCATAAGCCACACAGATACTACAATTTATTGCGTAGCTGGACACGAAGTGATTAGATGCTTCACATACTATTTATATTATAAGCGATATACTATATTTGTGTGTATATATATATTTTTTACAAATATTTATCATATTAATATTAAATATATATATTAAGAAAATAATTTAATAATTTTATTTATTTATTTAATTTATAAACGCAAAAAATCTATAAAATATTTTTAAACATAAAATATTTACTTTTATATATTGTACTAGCTTATGGATTTGTATTTTCTGGTATTTCAATTACTTTAAATGCCCAAAAAAAATTTTACAAATATTTTTGAACATAAAATATTTATTTATATTTGTTCAACTTGACAGATTTTTAGTTTGATTAATTCACAAACCCAAACATAATTTTTAAAAAATGTAAAAAAATATTTTTTGCTTAAAAATCCATATACCCAACTTTAATAATTTACAAATAGGGTATTTGCTTAGTCGCGCCACAAACTCGACCAAAATATTTCTGGTTATTTTTGTTGTTTTAGACTCTTCATGTTGCCTCAGAGTGAACATATAATACTATGGCTTAACGCCCAATGCAAATAAATAAGACTTGAGTAGAGCATATACGACTAGGTCTTACCCTGTACTAGACATAGACACTAAAGGAAAGACACATGCGCTCTAGAAACTGCGTACCAGACGGCGATTGTTTTACATCTTTTCGCACTTTGGCTTCATATAATAGAAACAAATTTATTCAAAAATTATTTTGTTATACGTGAAAATGTTGAGTGCTATAAAAGGGAAGGCGAAAAGCAAATGGTTTTTGAGTTTAATATTCGATTTTCGAATATGAGCTGGAAATAGCTTGAAAATGAGAAAAATCTTGTTCTCTTGAGTTTTGACAGCCATAAAGTTATACGGGAATAAATTTGTTTTTTTTTGTTGTATATTTTGCACGGCAATAATATATATATTTTAATCAACCTGTTCCAAGTATAATAAATCTACCAAATATGAGAAGGAAGCATGAGAAAAATGTTGCCATAAAGTTATGCGGAATTAAATTTGTTTAATTTCTGTGTATTTTGCACAAGTCTATAATATATATTTTAATCAACCTATTCCCAGTAAGTAATATATCTACTGATTGCAATAACTCTAGATATTTATACGTAGCATTATAAATAGCTCAGCGCTATCATATCCCTGTAGTAAAGAACAACATATGAAAACCCCCTGTTGATAGCGATAAGAAGTAAATCGCTTTGTCACTGGGATTCATGAATTTTGTTTGCTCTTATCAATTACCGAGAAGCAAAACAAATTGCCAGACAATTTCTAATCAGGGCCCGACCAAGTGCCACTGATAAGCAGTGGAACACCTGGCGCTTTCGCATAAATATCTCAGTGTCTGCGCACGATGTTGGCAGCTAAAGTTCATTCAGCATTTTGGCCATTGATAAGCGCTAAGCAATCATATTTAACTGCAATTGAACAACACCTGACGTGACTCACCCTAACCTCATTAACAGGTGTACAATGACTCAATTTTTGTGGAAATATTTTCGATCTTAAGTTATAACACACAAAAATGTGCAGAATGCCTTGTGAGCGACTGATGTGCTTGAAAGATTGTTGCGTAACTTTGTATGGGAACACGAGTCGTGTCACGAAGGCAAGCACGACAGGCTGATAAGCGATAAGGCACGACTAGAAACGTCTCGTAAGATTGAAATTGAAGAAATGAAGATGAAAAAGAAGAATTGAAGAAGCTTTTACTAGTCATCTATAGCATAATTATTGATGGAAATAAATCATTCAATCACGACTAAAATCACGCAGCACGAATAGACTCGATTCTTAACGATTCTGACTTAAAGAAAAAAGTTTCATCTGTGCTAGGAGTATAAATATAAAACAAATTGAAATCTTGAAATACAGTCAACTTGAACTATAGACTCGTGTCACGAAGCTAAGTACGAGGCACGAATAAACTGAATTGAATTTGTTGAATGTCAAGCTAACTTATTATATAAAGCAATAGAATATTGAACTATAATCGAAACAGCTTAAGCTTATCGACATAAATAGTAGAAGATATATCAGAAATCAATCAAAGGGTCGTGTCACGAAAGCAATTACGAGAGACGAGTGCACACTACTTTTGACCATTCCCATAAAGTCGAGCTAACTTATATTACCAGCTCAGTTTTATCGTCAGATAGAAGTCAAAGTTCTTCCAGAAATACATTCGAAACTCGTGTCACGATAGCAAGCACGAGACAGGCATCCAAAGAGAATCTTCATACTGAAGTAGAAATCGCTTTGAACTAGAAATTAATTGTAAAGGCGTATCACGCGCTCATCTCTACTGCGAGCCCAGTTCTTCGGCCATGGTCAAAGGAGTTTTATTGTCACAACTTACGTCGAGCCACAAATGCTGCCATTGGCAATCTTCTATTGGTTCCGCACTGGCAGCCGATAAGATAAGTTATCTCTTTAGCACACATCTGTCAATTGAAGGCGTGTATATATAAAATAAATAAAAATATATACGCATTTCTCTGTGAATACATGATTTTGCCGGCATTGCTCATACGCAGTGTTTGCCGCATTGGCGTCCCCATGGCGAGCGAGCACGCCCCGTTTCGCATTTGCCTTTTAATTAGAAAAATGTAGCGCATTAGGAGCCAACTGAGAGCATATGCCTGGCACGCTAATTTGATAAGAGAAGAAACACAATTAATGTAAAAAAGTCGTGGAACTGGAACGGAAACGAGAACGGGAACTGGACCTGAAAGCTTAAGCTGTCAATGGCAATCAAATAGAGTGAAAGCTGTCTATGTGTGTGTGCGTGCGTGTGTGTGTGGCATAAAAAGGGTATTGGCCCAAGCCCAGCCCAAGCCACGCTACAGGAGCGTGTCACAGAAATCAGCAAAGCATTTTCATTGGACCAACGCACGCGACGCGAGTGCTAAAAGAGCAGCGACAGCTTGGGCTCAAAGTCCAGTCGAGAGAGCATGCATAAATTACGCTCGATATACAAAATTCATTTGTTTTTTCGGCTCGGTCGCAAGTTGGCAACGGTCGAAATTCTATTACGCTTAATAATAAATAATAATAAACAATAAAAAGAGGCCAAAGCCAAACCATTAGCTCTATTGACATTCGTTAGGAACTCTCTGAGCGACCGTTGGCTGAGTTCCCAATGCTTGCCAATTGCCTGACGATTCGCACGTCCCTATCAATAAACTATAAACATTAGAACAACTAAAACTTATACCACAAAGAAAAAGTAATAAATAAAATCGTTGCGGTCGGGCGTAACCAACTGCAGCACACTCGTTCAAGATTGTAAAGCAGCTTAATCGATATTTAGCAAGACTCAATCATTTATCGATCGCTTCGTCATAGAAGCTAACTAATTATGTAACTGTAAGAGTTGGCCATATTAGCACTATAACATTATTTTTAGCCCAGTGCCCATAGGACGTATACAAAAAGCTAATTTAATTGAATGAAAGAATTGAAATTTGTAGTCTCTCTCTATATACTCTTTTACCAACGTGAGCGAGTATACGAATTTCGAAACACAAACAAATATAATCTGCATTCGTATACAATTCAACGGGCTGACACTTGCAGCCAATTTCGTTTGACTTTTCTGACGGGAACTTTCCGTGGTGCTTATCGAAAGATAAAAATGCTTGAAAAATGTGATTACCTAATCACTGATTTTATATACCCTGTGAAATCAGTTTATTGATGAGATTATAAAAAAGGAAGCATTTTCTTTATAAAAATGTTTGTTACGTTTCCTAAGAACTGATTAAGTGTTATGCAAAGATTGGGTTGACTGCGAAAATATTATTCATGTGAAATCCATTTAAAAATAAATTTCACATTTTTTTATCGTTGCAAAATTAATTTAAAATTTAGTTTTGTTTTGTGCATCTTTATTTCTAGTTTATTTTTGAAAATTTTATCAAGGCAATTTGCTTTAATAGATATAGATATAAATATTAAAATAATTTTTTTTAAATGTCTTCAAAGCTTAATATACTCAAGTATACCCTGGCTTATTTTTTTAATTAAAAACCTATACTTTCTTAAGTTTTATTAGTGTATATATATTTTTTGTGTTATTTTTATTGTTTGTTTTTCATTTTTTTTTATTTCCTTTTATTTATTATTATTTTAATTTGATAGGCTAATATAAGATTTCAGTATATGGTTGTTCTAAAAAAAACTGGCGTATGCCCTGAGATAATTTATGAATCGCACACTCATATATCACATATACATACGCAAATCTGTTATATATATATATAAATATATATATATATATATATATATTTATATATATATATGAATAGCCGGTAGTTAGAGTAGAAGCTCATGTGCTGGTACCCCTACGAACCAAATGGAATCGAAACAAAGTAATTTTGATATAAATAATCAGCAACTACAACTCGTGTCGTGGCTAAAAATATTTAATATAACAAAATGAAATGAAAAAAAAATATTTAATTACTCTAATGATCCCGTTCTGTTCCTTTGTAATTGAAACAGAATCAAGCTCATGTAAGATAGAAATGATACTAAACTAATTAAAATTCTCGCACGATATTAACAACTGATTTGGCTAAGTGTATTCATACCTATATGAGCACAAACATTTTTATTATACCATATCAATTTGAAATTCATTTTAGAAAAACTTGTCAGCATAGCATTAAAGATATTTCCAAAACACACGCGTCGCATCACATAACTTTGTACACATATTTACTTATTTAAACTTACAAGAACATATAATTACAGAAGGAAAAAACTAATAAATTCCTTCGGATTCTTATTAATTTGTAAATTAAATGAATAGTTAAACTGAGGACAGTGTAATGCCATTTTCATATACATTTTTTACAGCACCTTCACCTGGACTACTTTGTTTTCACAAATTATATGATGTGACCTAGAGGAAACTCTATTATTGCACTATTCTAGACGATAAACCTTTGGTAATATTGCGTGAAGGAGCGAACCTTCTGAGGTTCTTTCTGAGCATAACAATAACATTTTCTCTCAGTGTTTCTTATACTAGTTAACAGAGAACATAAATGAGCTGAGCTACAATACAAATATAAATGAATTAATTATGAATACTACACATAAAGAATTTGTCCAGGTCGACTAATTGGCACTTATTACAGATCATACAAAATTAGGCTAAAAGCCATTCCTTTGGGCCTCGTTAAAAATGTAATTGAAGTGGAATCTCGTTCCTGGTGATGTGCAAATAACGGAAATTGTTATGACTGCAATAGTTTGAGTAGAACAGTGTAACAGCTCCGATTTAACTAAAATACTAGTCTAATCAGATATAACAAGTCTAAAAGTGGAACGTATAATAGTTTAAAAATATAACAGTAGACTAGTATAACAGTTTAGCAGTTTATTTCCACAGTTATATATTATATTGTTACAATAATATAACAGTATATTTTTGAAACTATTTTGTATTATAACACTATAGCTGTATGACAGTAAAGCAGTCCACCTATATAAGTCTATTAATATGACAGTATAACAGTCTATTAGTCTCGCAGTATAACATCCAATAATATCCGTATAAAACTATAACAGGCTAACAAAATAACCATTTGACAGCTAAAATATATTTACCCTTTCTGCTATCAAAACAGTATAACAGAACAACTATAAGTTGGTCAGGAAAATATGAAACAAAAAGATGGCACAGTCCGTCAAATTCTGCAAGTGTCACAAAAGCCGCACAAATGGTCGAATTTTGAATAATTCGCTTACGTCAGTGAAACGGACGTTTCGCATGTCTCTTAATATTAACATGAACAAATTTCGTTGCTTGTGTATAATTTATATTTGTTTATTGGGTATATGGTTTATTAGTTTTTAAATTACTTTGTTAATATGCAAACATAGGCTATGGTGATTGGACGCACTTAGCTTTCGATGGCGATGCGAGCAGTTTTCGTATTTGGGAATATTTCTGTATTATTGTTGTTGTTTTTTGGTTTTTTGAAACTAATGCCAATATTGTTGTAGTTTTTCTCGCTGCGCGCTCTGCTGTTCACCAACCGAACGAACTTAAATGACTAACAGTCAGTGCTCAACTGGCCGACATTTACTACATCCACATCAAAGAGCTGACGGCGCCGGCGACGCTGACGTCGCTGTGGAGCAGCGAGCAGGCAGCGAGCGGGTAGCCAACTGCTCGGAGTGAAGGAGGGGCAGTGGAGCACCCTTTGCCGCGATTCGTATTCATTATTTTTCGTTTTATTATTATTTCACTTTTATTTTGTAGCTTGTTGAGTAGTTGTCCCGAACGCCTTTATCTACCCATTTCTCTCTTCTACTGCTGTTTACTATTCTCTGTTGTGCTCACACATTCCGTAAACATTACAAAAACAATGAAGAAAAAAACCTGCTTGCTGCCGACTGCCTGCCTGGCTGCCTGCCTGCCTGTTGGCGCGCTAAGCAAATTGTAGTTCAAAGTCAATGCCTCGCCCGCTCTCCCTCTTTATCTAACGCCCTCTCTCTCTCGCTCTCTCTCAGCGTGGGCGCTGAGCATTCGGACGCTAGGGGTGAGCAACAGCGTTACTCTAGAGCCGGCATTTCGTCATCGGGCGCCGTTGAAGCTCGTAAATATCGTCGCAGCTCGCTTCGTTGCCAGTGTGATGAACGCTAACCCAGTTTTTTGCTTGACGCCCAAGCACGCTTGTTGCTTTCCCATGCCAACCAAACTAACGTTACCGCTCTCCCATTCTCCCATTCTCCCGCTCTCCCACTCTCTTGCATTTGTTTGTTGCCTGTTCTGGCTGATTATCGGCTTCATATTGCGTGCGCTTCGGCTGCGTCTGGACAGTCTGCGGAGTGTGTCTGGCCCGCTGAATATTTAGGCTGGCCCGCTGGAGGGAGAGCCTAAATATCGGTGGGTGGAGAGACTAGCAACACATGCGTAGCGCGTGGCTGTCGTCTGGGGCTTTTAAAATTTCGTTTTTTATATCACACACAAATAAAAATACAAAAGCAGACGCTAATGAAACGGAAGCAAAGCCTTGGTGTTTATCTAAATCGAGTGTTAAATAAAAAATTATTAAATACTGATAAGACTCTGGGCAAATATTTAATAAATGTCTGCACATAGCTAAGTGCGCGCAGAAAATGTCTGAAAGCTCTAAAAAAGCAAAGCATAGTTCAAGTTCGAAAGGTTAGTAGCTCATCATTTCCGTATTTTCTCAGCCTTCAAATTCAAAAACCAATTTATGAATAGAAGATGTAAAATTAACAAAAAAAAAAACAAAACATAAAATGCTGCGGACCGGTTTGCGCTGGGCTAGAGGCTGGGGGCGTAGGCCAACGCAGCGAATGATGATGCAATGACAACGCGCTGATAAATATAGAATACGCTGAGCGAGCAACTCTACACTAATGTATGTAGAGTCTACACACTTTCAAAGCTAGCGACTGTATATGTGTGTGTGTGCTTGTGTGTATACATGATCAATGATTGTATCTTTACGCTTATCGAGCAAAACACAACAGCATTAAAAAGTGTTTAGTTTCAGCCTTTGGTTAACAGGAATGTAGCTTACAGATATCAAACTGTTCTCCGCACGCTGTGCAAACAAGCATATTAGTTTATGTGTTTGATTTGAGAGCAGAGGGTATTAAGTAGTCCGCTATAGTCGCCTATGAGAATTTTTACTTATTCGATTTGATTATGTAATCAAATACTTTTGCGGCTCAAAAGGCACGTCGTTGCGCTGCAGTTCTCATGGGTCTGGCCATGGGCGTACACTAAACGCCTACGGCTCCGCCCCACTCCTGTCTCACCCTAAGACCCCTAAGCACAGTGGGCACTGTTGACACAGCTGTGCGATGGCATAAACATGCGATAGGAGCACACTAATTGGGTCTTCCATTGATAAGACGATAAGATTTGTCACTATACGGGCTATATAACTACATGGGTGTGTGTGTGTGTGTGTGTGTGCAGTCTGGAGTAGTCCACTTGCAATCCAGAGATGAGTCATGGCTCGCGCATTGCCAATAACGGCAACATGTGATGACATAATTTTCGCTCAATAATTCATCGAGCCCCCACCAGCAGCTCCACTCCCTCCCAACCACCAAGCCAGACAGGATAACAGCTGAAGGACAACTTGAACTGGATGAGTGCCATAAACATTTTTTCGCCCAACAAAATTAACATACAAAATGGCTCTAAATTTACATAAATATGTGTGATGTGTGTGTGTGTGTGTGCGTCGACTTCTAATTGTTGTTTGGCTAATAAGTCGAGGCGCATGCGTCACCAATACCGCCTCCTTTTTGGCAAAGATTGGCTGCCAAATTAGTCCAGCTGATAAAGCTCACGATAAAGTGCACGTTAAATCACATGGCTGCCGGACAATTGGGCAAACATGAATAATTGATTTGACCCAATGTCCAATGGCCATTTGCCTGCCCTGCATTCGATAACAATCAGTCCAATTGTAATGGCGTACAGCACTAATCGAATGCCAGAGAGTAAGCACGCCTATCTGTCAGCCAGACTATCAATCAAAACACCTACAACAACTACAACAGTCACAAGCAACAACAAAGACAACTGTTGTGGCCGGGATACCTTTTTAATTGCGTGGGCAAAACCGTGTTCTATGTCCCTAGACATTGGTTTTGTGTTAACACGGTTTCTACAGTGAAACCTCTGCAAGAGCCTCAAGTTTGAGATCAAATATATTTATGTCATGTCATAAATGAAGCTTTAAATAGCAAAACTATATATATTTTTTGAAAATTTCTTTTCAAAATAAAAATTCTAAAACATAATAAAAAACATATAAAAAAAAAACAAAAATTCTAAATAAATTCTAAATATAAGTTCTATAAAAAATTCAACAAAAGTATCAATAAATTTCAATACATAATTTTTGCTAGCACCACAAACTCAAATTACATTTATTCCTTCAAGCGAGGCCTTACTGTCCATTTCGCTTTACGTGGAACATTAATGCGCGGCATTTGCTGTAATTCATTTCAAAATTGTTGTATTGCGTGATTTCATTGTTGACTTAAATCGAATATCAAAATGGCAATCAATTCGGTTTGTTGTGGTCTACATTTATTTGGTCTGTAACCCAGAGACACAAAATTCCTGAATTTCAAGCTAAAGGTAAACACAAATATTGCACGTTGAAATATTAATGGCACTTCATTTATAAATGTTGCGATATATTCCTTAGTTAATCAGTTGCATTTATTCCTTGGTTAATCAGTTACATTTATTATTATTTATTTATGCATAAATCATATTACATTAAAAATAATTTACAATATGTATATATTCGTCACCTACAACAGAGTATGTCGCAGTCGAGTCGTCTAAGAAATTCACAGATAGTGGCTAGTGTGGTTGTTGTCTTAGCTACACGAATAAGTAAACACAAACACCAAAATGTTGAATTCAGATAGGTTAGTAAAGACACACACTCATAAAGGCGAATTAATAATGTGGTGAATATAATTAGCCAAGCTGCAAACCCATGTGTTTTACTATTTACTGTATACTATAAAATAATAAATTTCAAATATTTTAAATATTTTCATAAAAACATGTAATTCATTAAATTTAAAAAAAAACAATATAGTTACAAAATCAATCCAAATATTCAATTTTCCTAAACTTTAAACTCAATGAGAATTGAAACATTAAAAATATTTTTTCTTAATTTAATACATACTTCAAAAGCTCGTATATTTAGATAAGTATTAAAATTTATTATCTGAGATCTTAGTGCTGATCTGTTCAAATTTAATACTTGAGTGAAATTATGTTTCATTTAATTTTGAACAGAACTGAAGATGTAGCTTTATTTATTTGTTACTAGATAATTATATTATTTAATAATAATTATATTATTTAAGCACAATCAAAGTCAGTTATAGATGTTACCTAACCTTTTATGACACAGCCCTATATAGGATATTGTGTACATATAAATTTAATTAGGATACAACTTCCAACTGCGCTTAATCATAAATTGAAAAACTTTGTGCATTTGTTTGGATTCATTCCGTCAGCATAAATCATTAATCTTTTCACTTGTAACAGGCGAGCAACTGCCATCTCTCCCTTCTACCAGCCACCCTCATCTCCTCTGTGTCACACACGTGATTATTCTAAATATTTATTACCGATTCCCACATGTCCTGTAATTACAAGCGACGCATGTAAATGAGCTGAGTCGAGTGGAAAAGTAGACCGAGTCAGCCGCAGGATTAACCCCTTTTCGCACATGTGTGGCAAAAGGATCTCACGCATCGCCGCCACAAATGCGCTTGTGTGTGGGGTATATATCAAACGAAAACCGTTACAAAGTGAATCCAATAAATACACTTTTTAATTAAAGACCTCCCCAGGCACACACACATAGCTCGGGGAGCGAACGACGTTCACACAAGGCGTTGGGCTTCTAATCTATCGAACGTCCTTTAATCACATATGTAAGCCACGCCCACTTTGGTGTGTGGAAATTAAAAAAGGAATGACAAATTATCTTTATGACTTGTTGCTCTCGCTCCTCTCCTTCGCTACAAGATTAAATTAAAATTCATATTTCAGCAGGTAATCTAATACATGTTCAACTGTATCCAGTACAAAATAAATAATTCATTTAATTAAATTTTTAAAAATGTTTACTGATTTATTTAGTTGACGTCGCGAATTCTTTCAGCTCATTTGCATGTTAAAATAACTTCTGTACGACAGAATTCCTTTTGTTGAAACTAAAAGACAGCGCAACGACGACGACGACATTGCCAGTGGAAAACACTCTTAGACATTCAGGTAGTTGTCTGGGAATTCGAAGGTAACATCGCGGCCGGTAAGCTTCTTGTAGACCGATGTGAAGGTATCAACCTGGGAGAGAGAGAATAGTTCAAATAAATTAGCACTGTTTTATGGATATAAAATATTTAAATTTTAAAATATTAAACTGGTGTCAAACTATACAGCACTTTGCTGCAACTTGTTTAATTGCAACAATGGCAAGCTGAACGGGTTTGTTTGATTTGCCGCCGATATAGGAAGTCCCGAGGCACCAGGAACAAACACGGCGCTCGGGAGGCAAATAGGCGGGGGATTACAAGAACGGATATATAGATTTGAAACTGTATATAAATGTGCTGTAACCAGTGATTAGTAATGTAGAAGCCTTTGAGTAGATAGGCTCAACAACGTGGATAAGCCGGTTTGAAAGTTCGTTGTGCGTTCTGTTTGACAATCACTGAACGACGATTTAAATTCAGCAAATAACACAAGAACGGGAGATTTATAGCAACAAACAGCTTTGTACGTACATATGTAAACAATATAATAAATATGTGGCCAGTGATTAGTTATGTAGAAGCCTTGGTATATATAGGCTCAACAATGTGGATTCAGCTGACTTGAAGTTCACTTTGCGTTCTGTTTGACAATCGCTGAACGGGAGTACAAATTCAGCGAATAACACAAGAACGGTAATATAAACAATAAAAAAAATGTGGCCAATATATGGAGATGTGCGCCCGCAAGAATGCGTGAATGGAGCACAATAACGAGTTATTGGCTAATTTGATATTCGTCCCCTTAGACAATCACGGCACTTGGTAAACGTGCCGCAAATAACACGGGGACAACATCAAATCACAATAAATTAAACTGCTTTATCAGTAATCCTTACTTTGTGTTCGATGGTGGTCTGCTGGTTCTTGTCCAGGTGCACCTTGACCAGCTGAGAGCCGTCCAGCTTGACGCGAACGCGCTTGCCAACGATCTCGGCGGGGAATACCAGATCCTCCAGAATGGCATCGTACACAGCGGTCAGAGTACGCGAGCGTGGACGCTTCTGTTTCAGTGGATTGCGCGCCTTGCGCGTTGGCTTGGGCAGAATCTTGCGCTCGCCAATGACAACAACGTGCTTGCCAGAGAACTTCTTCTCCAGTTCGCGCACCAAAATGATCTGGATCTTTTGGAACACCTTCTGCTGTGGAATGGGCACGTAGATGATGACGGCCTACAAACACACACACATGCATAGACAAATAATTATTTTTATATAGATACACATAGCTACAACAATTAAAACTCACCTTCTTGCTGCCAAACTCAATCTCGCGGGCACGAGTGATGTGCAAATCACGCAGGTAGGGCTTCAGGTCGCTGTTGGCTTCCAGCTCAACGAGCGCCTGGGCAATCGACTTCTCGAAATCATCGGGGTCCGCGCCGCCGGGCTTAATAATTTTAGAGCCGATAGCCATCTGCAATTGAATGAAGGCACACGTTTAGCATGTTTGACATTGCTGCGAAAAACGACAAGAGCACAACAAGATCGCTGCCAAGCCAATATTTGTTCATTTAACTCAGTCGTCTTTAACCTTTTTGCAAATCGCTGAGCATCGACTTTGTTTCAATGTTTTTCACTTGGCAATTTAAGCCAATTTTATTGGCAGCATTTGATTGACTCTTTTTGCCATTCATTTTTGGCTTTGCATCGCATGTTATGCCGGTTTTTTGGCTTTTTCAAAGCATTCACAGAAAATGTACACCAACCTTTGTCGACTATTTTGACAGGAAAGGAAGTCGACGATGTGACACTGAACTGTTCAAAACGTCATCGATACGCAGGGTTGCTTTCTACGTGAAGTTGGCGTCGTTCGATTATGTTGTGCGCATGCACAATAGATGGCGCTTGTGTGCAATTAAAATAAATTTTACAAATGTTGACTTAAATTAATCATTTTCAAGTGTATAAAAGCAATTGTAGGTCTTATAATGAAAAACATTATTTATTAAATTAAGTTTAATACAAATTATTAATTTATGTTTCATTCAAAATAGTTGAGCGGAACTCAAATTTATTAGTCTTTTTAATATTTTGTTTTAAACAGCTGTAAATAACATATAAACTAATAATGAATTAATGAACTACGTGACGATTGTCAGCTTCATCTTATTACTCACCTGTACGGATACAAAAAATATTTAAAAAGAATATATAAAACAAATATAGAAAATTTATAAAAAACAAAATATATACAAAAAATATATAAATATAAAAACATAAAAAAATCAAATAATCAAAACAAAAAAAAACATTTAAAAAAATAGTAATATTATTATTATACATTTTTTTCAGAGTATTTACTTATCGGCTTTCAAAAATTTCAAAGAAAATTTTAGTTCTTACAAATTTTTTGGCCATCTTCATCACCCAATAAGTCTAGGTTTTACCCATGGTGACAGCCATCAGCATTAAATATTAAAAATTATGATTTTTTTTTCCATTTTTATCAATGTTTTTTTTTATTAATAAATAAATAAATATATATTTAAAGTATATAATAATAAATTCGGCGCATGCTTAGCCTCTGGCTGTGGCTGCAACGTTTGCTGCCTGCTGAGCAATGCCCAAGCCCTGGATGGTGGCATCTCGAGTGTGCTGGCCAATGCGTTCCTATAGGAATATAAATATTATAAGTAATTTATTTTAGTTGATTTTAGTTTTTAAAGACTTACGATTTTCTTGCCAATCTTCTTCAGCCAACCCGCCTCTGATTGACCCATGCTGATGGCCAGAATGAGGGCGACAAAGATGAAGATCTTGTAGAAGTTCATGTTGAGTTTGGGTATATAGAAATATTCCTTGGAAATGGAGGGTAAAGACTTGAGTTGTAGCTGTAGCTGCTGATGCTGAGCGACTGATGAATTGTGCATCCAGCCCCAGTCGCTTTTATAGCTCACGTAATCTGAGCAGGCGCTGATAAGTTCGTTGGTAAAAAACTGAACAGTGGCTGAACTCATGAGGGGATTTTGTTTGGCGAAAAAGTACACTGGTTAAATCCACTTCTGTATGGGGAAGGTTCGTATGGTAAGCTATACTGCATGTAAAAAATATATGAATGAATCATTTAGGCAGTAAATTATTTTTATATTGTAAAAATATTTATATTCCATTAAAACTGTTCATTTAGATGGATTATTGATAGGTAAAAAAATTTCAAACATTTCAAATCGAAGCTTTGCCAAATAATTCTGGTATTTCCGCACAATCTCGCTGCCTCTTACGCTCTAGTATTTTCTCTCTTTCTCGCTCTCTCTTCACAAACCACTCTAATACATCTGTCATTAAAGTTGTTTTTTTTTGTCGGGTATCAAGCAAACATATTTGGCCACATGCCTTAAAAACAACAAATAATTGAGTGAAATACACTTTTTTACATCAAATTAAATTTATTAATGGTATTTCCAAAATTTGTATGAGTTAATCTAACTATTGCGCCTTTATGGTGCGTTACAGACTGAGCTGAGCAGTTCTAATTCTTGCGGATTTACATTACAGATTCTTCTAAAAAAAAAAGAAAAGCTAACACGCATAAGATAAATATTGCTAATCAGCCTATTAGACCTTGCGCAGTTGCCGCTGTATCCTGTCAACCACAGGCCGCGGTGTCCTGATCGATGGACTGATCGACACGAGCCAAGTTAGCAAAGTTAGCGTTTCATTGCTGCTGTTACCATTAGCTTCGTGCTCCGCCGCGAACCATAGGCAATGCTGTTCTTTATAAGATAATCAACTGCTCGAGTTGAGCAAATAAATAATTATTAAATAAAACACAAAAAGAGTTTGTTGACTTTTGTGCTGGAAATTTGCTGAGAAAAAGAGAGAGAGAGAGAGTTTAATGTTTTTTTTTTTTTTTTTTTTTTTTTTTTTTTTTTTTTTTTTTTTTTTTATTTCTTTATTTTGTTGCAGCTTATTGTCTTAGACTCTATAGCGCATTTAGCTCTAAACCTTAACTAATGGGAGGGCAGATATGCCAATTATTCTGCACTTGTAGCTACTATCTTAATTAGTTCTAATATTGTCTAGAGGATGCAATCTCTTCAGTCTTCGCCTATTGTTGTTTATAGCCAGGTTGCTTGCGAGATGGTTAGGATGCGCTGCAAGTCTGTCCGCGTATCTTGAACTGTGTCGCCCAATGAGTTCAGCAACTGTGGGAATTGCTAAATCCCTATGTAAGACTGAGATTCTTACAAACCAGCTGGCTCCAGTCCATCTGCGTAGTGCTTTATTCTGCAGGGTCTGAATTTTGTTCCTTGTAGTCTTCGCCGAGGAGCCCCATAGAGAGATACCATATACGAAGGTTGGGACAACTATTGCCTTGTAGATGGCGGCCTTGCTGCTGTAAGACAACTTGCTTGAAGCTCTCAGCATCCAGTCGAGGGTTTTTAGCTTGCTTTTGCATTTTGAGGTTACTTGACTTATGTGCGCTTTAAAAGTCAGCCTTCTGTCAAGAGTGATACCAAGGTACTTTACTTTTGAGGCTTTGGGAATAGTGGGCCCCAATGCAACGCTTGGGCAATCTCCTCTTCTAGTGGCGAAGGTAGTATGTACAGACTTTTGTGCATTAATGGTGATACACCACCGTTTTGCCCAGCGTCCGAAAGAGTCCAGATATTTTTGTAGTGAGTCTGAAGCTTCTTGCGCAGATACGTGACGTGATAAGATGGCGGTGTCATCTGCATAGGTCGCTATGAGTACTGCATCTGTACTTCCTATATTTGGCTCGGGAGTTGGCATATCTCCTGTGAATAAAGTATAAAGTGTTGGGCCTAGAACACTACCCTGTGGTACTCCAGCCATAATTGGTCTAGTCAAGGATACTGCTTGCCCCCTTGACACTTGGAAGGTTCTTCCAATAAGGTATGAGGATAGCAACGCGAAAAATGGGGCTGGAAGGGTGGTCCTCACTTTCTGCAGCAGTCCCAGGTGCCAAACTCGATCAAACGCCTGTTTGATGTCTAAAAAGACGGCAGAGCAGTACATCTTTTCTTCAAAGGCTCCAAGGATATGGTGCACAACTCTGTGAACCTGTTCCGGTGTTCCATGCTGTCTCCTGAAGCCAAACTGATGGTTTGGAATGGCCTCCTGGCGTCCCAGATGTGTCAGTACTCGTTCCAGAAATATTCTTTCGAATATTTTGGAGAGTACTGGCAACAGGCTAATTGGTCTGTACGACTCAATTTCTCCCACGGGTTTGCCAGGCTTAGGAATCATCACAATCACGGCGCGCTTCCAGCAGGCTGGAAAGTGCCGGATGCGGAGCATGGCGTTGTACACCATAGTTATGTAGTCTATGGTGGAGTCAGGCAGTGCTCTAAGGACTCTGCCGTTTATTAGATCATATCCAGGGGATTTTTTTGCCTTCACTCTTCTGATGTGTTCAAGAACCTCTTCTTTTGTACATCCAGTTATCTGGTCTTCAGCTGGGAGGGGCGAGAGAACGATGTCTTCTGTTGCTTCGATTTCTGAGGCCTCTGCGGTAATCACCGGCGTGAATTGGTCTTGAAGGTGGTTTGCAAAAGCCTCAGCTTGAGCTTCGTCTCCAATGTGCCAGGAACCAGAAATGCTCCGAATGGGATGACGACGTATTGGCTGCCGTTTGAGCTTTCTTGTAAATTTCCATAATTGAAACTCTGCGTCAGTGGGCGATTCAGCTCGTACCAGCGCATCGCTGATACACCTCTTTTGAAGCAGGGCGAGAGCAGCTTTAAGATGCCTCGTGGCTTCGTTGTACATGGATTTGGCATCAGGCGTGCGTAATCTTAACCAGCGTCTCCTGGCCCATCTTTTGTGTATTAGTAGGTGTTGGGCCTCCAAGGTGAGGGGGATGTTGTACGGAGACTGTTGTCTTGTTTGGCAAGATGGTGGGGCGGCTTGGTGCGCAGCTTTGACTATTTCTTCCTGCAGTTTGTTTGCTGCGTAGTCCACGTCTTCAGGAGTGTTAAGTTCCATTTCTATGTGCAAAGAGTAATGGAGCTCGCGCCTAAAGACTCCTAAATCTGATCCTGCTGGCAGTAGTTGTTTCCTAATGGGCAAGGGCTGTGGCTGCGCGTGGATTGTGACTATTAGTGGCAGGTGGTCAGAGGATAGGTCCAAGGATTCTTCAATGGTCAATTGCCGGTCACAGATGCCTTTGTAGACAGCGAAGTCGATTGCCGAGGGCCTGTGTCCATTAATTGGGTAACGGGTGGGGGCTCCAGTCGCCAATATGCTGAATTGTAAGTTTTGAATCGCCTCAAATATGACTTCTCCGCGACGATTCGCACTATTGCTTCCCCAAAATGGGTGCCATCCATTCCAGTCGCCGCCGATGAGGGTCTTATTCAACCTTTGGCCTAGAACCTGTTCCATGTGATGATCACACAGACCAGTGTTTGGCGGAAGATAAATTGACGCAACTTCGATCGCTCCAATAGACGTAGGCAGGGTGATGGCTGAGACCTGCATTGTTGCGTTGCAAATTGGCAGTAAAGGTGTATGCGGTATTGTTGCTCGTATGAGGATTGAGGATCCACCAAAGCAGTTTGCTCCTTCACCATGAGCCTGATAGTGTTCGTATCCGAAAATTTGTGTAGTGGGGCACTCATGAGTTTCTGTTATTAACATTATATCTATGTTTTCTTGTGAGAGAAACGCAGCCAGTTCCTGAGTCTTGTTTCTCAGGCCATTGGCGTTCCAGATACCCACACGTAAAGCCATTATTTGTAGGCAAGCTTGGTTATGATGGCCATTAAACTGTTTAGCATGGTTGCTTGTTGGGATTGTACTTCTCGCATCGCTTTGAGCTCGGCATTAATTGCGTCAAACTGACGTTGTTGTTGCTGAAGCATTTCAGTGAACAAAGTGTCACTTGTGGTATTCTTATTTGACGGTCCACCTCTAGCGGCCTGTGCGTAAGAAACACCACTAATAGGCGTTGCAAAGCTCGTGGCTTGGGTAATGCTCCGGGGCCTTGTAATTTCGGAAGCAGTACTCGGACCCGTAGACGGTGTTTGTGTGGGACTCCTTTTTTGTGCTGGGGATTGCAATTTGCGCAACCGCTTGTATACTTGGCAGCCCTTATAGTTGGCTGGGTGCTGTAACTCACAGTGCACACAAGTTGGTGCCTGGTCCTTTTCGCGGGTGCAGTCTTTGGATGCGTGTTTCCCGGCGCAACGCACACATCTGGGAGCTTTGTGGCAGTAGCGTTGTGTGTGTCCAAATTCTTGACAGCGATGGCATTGTGTCAGGTCGTTGTATCTTCTTGGCAGTTCCACTGTGCAGCGTTGCCTGCAGACAACTCGAATGTCCAAAATTTCTTTGTTGTTGGGGGCCTGAGCCACGTCAACAAAAAATATATTTAGCGGTGTTTTGTCCATACGGCTCAGTGGGTTGTGCACATTTGTAATTGTGTGGCCTTTGGTTTCCAATTCCTTTTTAATTAGTGTTGTATCAGTGCTGGAGTGAAGCCCTTTGAACACGACTCTATATGGTTTGTCCTCCTTAAGCTGGTAGCAGTGGAACTCCAATTCCAGCTTAGTAAAGTGGTCTATAACTCTGCGATAGTCCTCACTGCATTGGGTTAATACACCTATGTTATTCTTCTTTGGCTTAATTATGTATGATTTAGCATCAATTACTTTATCTATTATCTGTTGAAGTAGGGCCACAGACTTGATGTTTGGACACCATATGGGGGGCGGACGAGGTTTCGGTGTAGTTTGCTGGTCGGTCAATACTGGGGCTTCTGGAGCTACAGGTGATTCGCTGTAGTCTTCATCTTCTTCTACGAGCAGTGAAAATCGATTTTCTGATATTAATGCTGCATTGCTGGTGCTTGGTTCGTCGAAGATGAGCCTTTTCTTGATGGTTTTTGGTGAATTTGGCTGTTTACGTTTCGTGTTTTTGTTGTTAGTGATGCCTTGCACGGAGGCGATATCTATTTTTGAGTTTATTGGCATGATGGAGGCTTGCCTATTTGCCATCACAACGTTAAGCTGGGCTTGCATTTCTGCATTTACCTTTACGGGTGTAGCGAGGTCATTGACATTAGATGTCATCGCGGATTGTGCTTTTGAGTGCAGGCGCACTCGCGCCAAGCGACGAAATTTCGTAAATTGCAATTAAAGCAATTGAGTTACGCGGAAGCAAGCGATAAGAAAACGCTGCGTGTGCGGTTTTTGTTGCTGTTGCGTTGAAGAATGCACCGCAAAGTTCTATTTTTAGAACTCTGCAGCAGTAGAGCTTAAGCGAAGGCTGTTCGAATTCACGTCTTTACAGGTCGAACGACTGATCGCGATTGAGTTTAATGTAGTCAACAAAACGTGTTAGCATTCAAACGTAACTTCTACTTTAATTATTTCAACTATTTGATCTGATTGAGTATTTGTCACCTCATGCAATGGGCTTCAAACACTCTTTCAAATATAAGAATCCAGTCAGAAGTCAGCACAGCTCATGGAGTCATACAGAATCTACAGTGAATAATAAGATATGTTTTGCTTATGTTCTTTTTGATCTATATATTTGTAGTATTTGTGGGTATGTAAGCCTTAGGATAATGACAGAAATTGTAACGTTTTTCAGCCTCTGGCTGTGGCGGCCACATTTGCTGCCTGCTGAGCAATGCCCAAGCCCTGGATGGTGGCATCGCGAGTGTTTTGGCCAATGCGTTCCTATAGAGGTAGATATATTATACATAATGTTTCAGTTGACATTAGTCGTTAAGGACTTACAATTCTCTTGCCAATCTTCTTCAGCCAGCCAGCCTCGGATTGACCCGTGCTGATGGCCAGGATGAGGGCAACAAATATGAAGACCTTGTAGAAGTTCATGTTGAGCAGTGATATTCAGGTGTTCCTTGTTATTGGAGAGTTAAGAGTTGAGTTGTAGCTGCTTAGCGACTGATGGATTCTAGAGCCAGCCAGCGTCGCTTTTATAGCCCAATTGCTCCCGAAAAGTCTTGCAAAAGCAAGCAAATTGTTTTGTTAGAGTAATCATATTTATATTCAATTAAAGAATTTTGCTATTGATTAACTTCCAACAAGAATTATTTTGTTTGCTAAGCGTGGCTGTGGCTGTGGCTGTTTGTCTCCCGTAGGTTCTTTTATTTGCCCAGTTGGATTTTTGGTACTTCTTGAGCTGCAACTGTACTTGTTTACCATTGGTACTATTGGCCAAGTGTGCGTGGAAGCTGTTGTTGTGCCATATCAACCACCGAGTCAAAGACAACGAACGAATTAAGTCAACAGTGGGCAACGTGGGATATCAGGCAGCAGGATGCGCCCATAGTCAGGATATGCCACTAATTTCCTTAACAAGTAAAAACGCTTCGGTCTTGACTTTGGCCAACGTCAAATTCAAAGCATTGCCTAGGCAACGCCAACCCCCCGCCCATCAACTGTATCTTTACTTTCCTGTTTTCTGCTGTTTCTGTTGCGGCCTTTTGCTAAATTGTAAATAAAATCGCTCGAATTAACCGCTGAGTGACAGGCACAAGCCATATCCAGAGCTCTGCCTCTGTCATAACAGCCCCAAAGCCCAGACAAAACTGGGAAACATAACAGCGACACCAACTCCGACTCCGACTCCGACTCGATTTCGATTCCAGCTGCACAGCTTGGCATAATCTTGTTCGTGTTCCTGCTAAAGACTTTGAGCACCCAGAGAAGCGTAAATAAGACAATAAATGCAACTGGTTTTCATTTGTTCTCGGCTATTTGCATAGAGAGCGAGAGGGTGATACGAAAGCTACAAATGCCTTGTTGTAACCAGCTCAAAGTGATGGGTGTCAGGTATGATAAAGAGATCGAAAATCATATGTGGTAAGGTAATCAGGTACAGAGCATAATTGGTAACCGTGGAGTGTAAGGGAGTCGAGTTCGCTTTTAGATCTCTATATGAATAGATAGATATGCATATACAGACAAATTATCAAAGATACTCAGAATTCACACTGTACTCTACACTCGCCTGAGAAAGGAACACGAGGCACAAAGTATGGATTGGTTACTCAATAACAAACCTTAACTTTGATAGCACTCCAAACCTTATGCTTTAAAGGACAATAATTCAGACTAAATGGATATACATTTTAGAGGAATCGTTGGATTCCCACTAGCTAAGAATGAAGACATAATTAACACTGTCCAAGACACCTCATGCATCAAAACCCACTCACTCCCTTCCACTTAGCTTCTCACAAGCATAGACTAAGGAGAGCACAGCTCGAAGAATTGGCAAACAAAACAGTTACTCCTAGATCATCATAACTATCATAACTAATATTTTAAAGACTTCAATCAAGCTAAACACTAAACCACACCAAAGCTTTCATTGCCACACTTTTTGCAACATTTTTATTAAGCAAATACACTCAGTCAATGAACTTTATATATATTGTACAGAAATACATACATAAACTCTGACATACATGCATCAATACATACAGACAATCATACAAAAATCCATATGATATTCTCTATGCGCAACTTATCAGAACTCAGCTCACCTGTATGTAAGATGAGACAGTCTAGAGAGAAGGTCAGCTAGAGTAAATCAATTTATAAGATTTCTTTTGTTTATGTACTTTTTGATCAATGTATTTACAGTATTTATTATAAAAGTCTTATGGTAATTAAATAAATATATTTTTAAAATAAATAATAGTAAATTCGGAGCATGTTTAGCCTCTGGCTGTGGCTGCAACGTTTGCTGCCTGCTGAGCAATGCCCAAGCCCTGGATGGTGGCATCTCGAGTGTGCTGGCCAATGCGTTCCTATAGGAATATAAATATTATAAGTAATTTGTTTTAGTTGATATTAGTTGTTAGAGACTTACGATTTTCTTGCCAATCTTCTTCAGCCAACCCGCCTCTGATTGACCCATGCTGATGGCCAGGATGAGGGCGACAAAGATGAAGATCTTGTAGAAGTTCATGTTGAGTTTGGGTATATAGAAATATTCCTTGGAATGGGAGAGTTAAGAGTTGACTTGTAGCTGTAGCTGCTGATGCTGAGCGACTGATGAATTGTGTAGCCAGCCCCAGTCGCTTTTATAACTCAACGTCGCTGATAAGTCTCGGAGAGCAGAGATACAGCTGACCGGGGACTTACTTTGTCTGGCAAAAAAAGGCAATGTGAGGTGCGCTAGGTATATGTGATTCCCGCTGGCGAAGCTTGAAGAATTCTGAAGAAATGATATACAAATGTTCCAGCAGAAGACTATTTGAGAGGAATCTTTAATTAGGCTGTGCTAATCCACTGAGTTATTGGTCGCACAATTTGGAAAGCCTTACTTGTTACATATGTTAATAAATGTATTTAATAACTTGGCAAGGCTTACAATTTACTTGCACTGCTGGGTACATAATGCATCCAAAATGAGTGCCAATAAAATGGAAACTGAGAAACCCAATGGAAAGTTGTTGCCATGGATTTTAAGAAGGGTAAAAAAACATATCTGTAACACTCTGAATTAAATATTATCTATTTAGATTCGAAAAGTATCATCACCAGAACACTCTGCTCGAGCTGCATTTTGTCCAACTGTGTCATTTGGAAAACATAAAAGCAATATAATAAAATTAATATTGTATATACTTATGTGAGATTTAAAAATATATTAATTTAGCCTTGTATAAGTTCGTCTTTCAAAACTCGCAAAACATAGTTTATATTCTATTTGCTATAAAAATCAAGTACAAATTTTGCAGACGGTCGCTACTGACTGCAGTATACTCGCTCACAACAAAATTTAAATCATTTTGGTAAATCTCAAGAGGGAATCTATTGGAGATCTACGTACAAGATTTTGGAAAATATAATTTGTTGGCTGATATGCCATGCCTTGAGTGAGTGGAAAACTATGAATATTTATATATACGTATATTCAAATTTCAGTTCAGTTTCAGTTTCAAATCTCTAGCATCTTTATATGTATAACAGAATTTGTGAAAAAACACAGAGCTGATTAACCATGCCCCTAGCAGGCGTGTAAAAGATCTTTGCAGTAATTCCAGTATCAATTTTTGGGACTCTAGATGGACGGACAAACTAATATACCCTTTTCAGCAAGTGCATGAGCATAAAAACTTGCTAACTGATAACAACGTTTAGTAATGGAACTTATAGGAAGTATAACCCAGCCAGAAGGCAAGTTCGTAAAAAATATATAACGAACTGATTATAAAAGATGACAAAAGGACTTATCAAAAGATCATAAAATAGCGGCAATTGGCATAGTAAAATCTGTAGTATGCTTAGGGGTAGATAAGATCCATTCTTATGAACTATATCATTAATTAGATCTAATAAACACTAAATTTAAGTGTCTAAATTTAGGTTTCATTATTTTACGTAGAAGTCATACTGCACTGTTCATAAAAATAGTAGTGTGACTGAGTACTAAATGCTGCTCAGCACAATTTAGTGATAAACACAAAATTTTGATAACAATATGAAACGAATATTAATATTAATATATTTTTTATTAATTTAGATTTTTTGTGTGTCAAACTTGAGCGCTTCAAGGCTGAAGAAAGAAAAATAAACAATATTTAGTTGTACATTAAAATAGTAGTGTCAACTCTTATGACTACTATTATCGGAGAAAGTAATTTTCTTTTGGTCTAGGCTTCGTGTTGTGCAGCACTACTATTTTCATGACCTTCCTGTGTGAGTGTTTACTATAGCTGCAATTGAGAGGTGCTAAACATGTGTGTAAACATGGATGTACTCCATATAGCTGTTTCAGTATTTACACTTCCTCAGCTCTTTATTCTGCTATAATCAGGTAGTCTTTTGTATAGAGCTCGGTTTACTTAGGTGCTATCTGTAGATTGATGGGGGAATTTTTCTGTCAATCGAACCACTTGGGATTCACAGTATGCACTTCTTCCAGGGCGCACAGAAGAGCAGAGCAATCATGTCAATTAGCTGATAACAGCGCGGAGGAGCTGATAAAGCCCGATGGCAACACAGCTGACACAGAGAGCAGCATCGACAATCAGCAAAAATAAAACAAAAGCAATTGGCAAGCTCAAACAAAAAACCTGCTTTCTGCGATTCTTTATTACGTGTGTGTTTGCTCGCTCAAGTGATCCGTCAATGTCATTATCAGCGGCCCGATCGGGGCAGCGACATATTCATATATTCATATATTCCCCAGCTACAGTCAGCATTCGAAGCGCAGAAAAACCCGCGAAAACTTTCATTCACAAATTCAATGTGTAGTAGAAATTTGTATTTCACCCAATTTTTAGTTGCCTTTATGGCATGACAAACATGTTTGGTGGTTACCCGATCAAAGCCAATTCATACGACAGTTCGAGCAGAGTGAATAATTAAGCGAAGAAGAGATCGAAAGAGAGAGGAAGAAATACCGAGAATTGTTTGTTTGTTGGCAAGCTACTGGGATAAGCTCTGTTCTGTTTGCCTAAAAGTTAGATTCGATTTTTTTTGGGTAAGTAGTCACATTTCATGAATATTTAACTGCATACTCATATATAATTTCTTTAACAACTCACACACAAGTTCTTATAAGCAGCATAGCCTGCCCTGCAAATCTGTAATCTGTGGCGTTTTTCGCCAAGTAAATCCCCTCCATCCATCCATCCACAGTGCACTTTTTTAACTGCGAACTTATCAGCATCTCATATGACGCGAGCTATAAAAGCGACTGAGGCGAGCTACTCAATGCATCAGTCGCTTAGCATCAGCAGCTACAGCTACAAGTCAACTCTTAACGCTTCAATTCCAAGGAATATTTCTAAATACCCTCACACAACATGAACTTTTACAAGATCTTCATCTTTGTCGCCCTCATCCTGGCCATCAGCATGGGTCAATCCGAGGCGGGTTGGCTGAAGAAGATTGGCAAGAAGATTGTAAGTCTCTAACAACTAAAATCAACTAAAACAAATTACTTATAATATTTATATTCCTATAGGAACGCATTGGCCAGCACACTCGAGATGCCACCATCCAGGGCTTGGGCATTGCTCAGCAGGCAGCAAACGTTGCTGCCACAGCCAGAGGCTAAACATGCGCCGAATTTATTATTATTTATTTTAAAAATATATTTATTTAATTACCATAAGACTTTTATAATAAATATTGTAAATACATTGATCAAAAAGAACACCAAGCTATATTTCTTATTATCAACTGTATTACCTGCCTGACCTTCTCTCCATACAGCCTGCAACACTCAAGTTCCATACAGATGGGCTGAGTTCTGATAAGTCGTATATAGAATCTCATATGAATATTTGAAAGAGTTTTTGATGATCATCGATTGGCAAATCAAAGTGTTACATATGCATTGAATATTCCGTTCTATAGTTGCTCTTACAGATTACAGAATAGCAACAGAAAAATTATGTTTTCACCATTCAGCAATTCATTCATTTTTATAGAAGAAACCTAGATTTGAATCAGAAAATATCAAGGCTACTAAACTTAATCAGTAATACAAAAAAACACCAGCAACAATAAATTATTTTATTAGAATTTTTGAAAAAGTACTAATAAATTAAAATTATTGTAAAAATTATTATTTGTTGTCTTTAAAACTTGTTGTTAAACATGTTTTTTGGATATGCAGCAACAAATCAATTAAGTGACAGTTAGATTAGAGTGGCTTTTTAAAGCTTTTTAAGAGAGAGGCAAGTAAACCGAGTTAGAAAGAGAGCGAAAGAGAGAGAGAGATAGAGTGCGGAAACACCAGAATTTTTGCCAAAGCGCTGATTTGAAATGTTTGAAACGCAAAATTTGTTACTTAGCTATAATCCCTCTAAATGCACAGTTTTAATGGAATATACAAATTTTACCAACATGCAAAAAATTTGACGCTTGAATGATTCATATATTTAATACCTTACCATATAGAACATAACTTCCTATTTGAACTTCAATGTAACAGTCTTGGATTTAACCAGTGTACTTTTTCGCCAAACAAAATCCCCTCATGAGTTCAGCCACTGTTCAGTTTTTTACCAACGAACTTATCAGCGCCTGCTCAGATTACGTGAGCTATAAAAGCGACTGGGGCTGGCTGCACAATTCATCAGTCGCTCAGCATCAGCAACTACAGCTACAACTCAAGTCTTCATTCTCCAATTCCAAGGAATATTTCTATATACCCAAACTCAACATGAACTTCTACAAGATCTTCATCTTTGTCGCCCTCATCCTGGCCATCAGCATGGGTCAATCCGAGGCTGGTTGGCTGAAGAAGATTGGCAAGAAAATCGTAAGTCTTTAAAAACTAAAATCAACTAAAACAAATTACTTATAATATTTATATTCCTATAGGAACGCATTGGCCAGCACACTCGAGATGCCACCATCCAGGCCTTGGGCATTGCTCAGCAGGCAGCAAACGTTGCAGCCACAGCCAGAGGCTAAACATGCACCGAATTTATTATTATTTATTTTAAATTTTTATTTATTTGATTACTATAAGACTTTTATAATAAATTCTGTAAATACATTGATCAAAAGGAAGCAACATATTTTTTTTATTAACTCTTGTACCTTTAGCAGAATCTTATATGATGTATGTATTTATGTTAGGCCAAAAAGTTACATACAACCATTTTCTAGGAAGCATGCTTCAATATACACCAGATTGGGACTTAGCCCTAAAATACGTTTTAATATAACGACAATCGTCTCATGTCAGACGTATGTAGAATTATATGATTTTTGATTATTTAGCAAATAATGCGTCTCGAGCTACAACACAAAGTATCAAAGCTGATAACCCAAGTTGTTGATTCGAATATATAATATTTAATAATTGTAAAATACATAAATTCCTCTCAAAGCTTATTAAAAACAAGAAAGCACGCTCTAGTCGAGACGACTGGACTAGGAGATGCACTGAAGCCAGTGAGGCGGTGATATTCCAAGCATTCCACGATTACCTTATACATAGATGCACATATATACGCACACACACATAAGCACGTATGCGCTCTGCTTAATGCACTGTTAGCGCAGCTGCTGCGCTTGGGCTGTATATGAGCTGTACTATGGGATTTAATTCTTGCATAATTTCTCATCTAGATAGACTTTCCTAATAACATGTTCAGAGCATAATTTTGGCATCTATGCGCCTGTGATACTTAAAATATATTTGATCGATTTTTATTGATAATAGGGGATAAGGGGATGAGTATAGAAATTCATTTAAAGTCTCTAGCTTTTGTGCTTTACGAGATCGCTGTATTCATACATATGGACTGACACTCTGACGCACAGACGGACATGGCTAAATCGACTCATGTCCTTATTAAAAATATATATTCTCTTACTAACATTTTCATAAAACCATTATACACAAAATTTCAATTGTCTAAACTAAATTAAACTAAGCGAAACAAATCGAAACTAAACTAAACTAAACCGAAATTGGAGTTATGAAACATGAAATGAATAAATAAATTACTTAACTATAATTTTGCAGCCGGAAACTGTGTAAATTGTCTATTCCGAAACAATCAATAAAAGTGGAACAACTAGAGAGATAGCAGTCGTGACTCTAAAATTTGCAAAATTATTGACAAACAAAAAAAAAAAAACAAACAAAAATCCAGAATTAAGTTTAACGAAAAAATCACAAGCAGAAGCACAAGTCAGTGACTTTGGAATTTTAGATTTAATTTTAATGAAATGAGAAAAGTCCTAAAACTTTGCTATTTCCGATTCAAAATATTTTCAAGGGACTTTTTAACTTGATTTTAATATTTAATTAATTTTTATTGATTTCATATTAGTCAAGTTAGTTGAGCTCTTGGTCTGTTTGTGATGGAACCTGTTTGGCAATGATTATTCATTACACTTAACTATTTGCTAAACTAAAAGTGAATAGTATAAAGAATTTACTCCAGAGTGAATCATGCATAGTTAAAAGTATGCAATTTACACTCAATTTTAGCACAAATTAATTTTGAAATGAAATTCCGTTATCAAAATTGATCTTATTGCTCAAACACAGACTTTTCCCATGAGTCATCGAATTTGAGCAAACAAAATCCCCATTGAAACAGAAGCCCGCTTTGATTCTTTTTGGGTATAAAAGCGGCTAATGCTGGTCCAGTCGGTCATCAGTTTATCAATCTCGATTGCTACAGCAACATCTTGCAGCTTTGACATGAACTTTCACAAGATCTTCATCTTCGCTCTGCTTATTTTTGCCATTTGCATGGGCCAAGCAAAGGCAGATTTCTGGAAGCGACTGGGCAAGAGAATTGTAAGTTAACTAACTATATATATATGTTTGTGTGTATATTTATATATTTAATAATATTGAATACCTTTACAGGAGCGCATTGGCCAACATGTTCGAGATGCTACGATTCAAGTTGTTGACATTGCTCAAAGTGCTGCCAATGTGGCAGCCACCGCTAGAGGCTAAAGAGAAACTAAATACCCCAAATTATATATATATATTTATTTACTTATTTAAAGCAGCATTTAGAAGAAAATTGTAATTTTGTATTTAAAAATAAAATAAATTGAAAAAAATTATATATTTATTTTGTATTTAAAATGAATTGCAAAATCAAACCTTAGCAAAAATTCAAATTAAATATAGTCAAGTAGACCCACTTGGCTATATTTATAAGAAATATACATATGTATTTTCTGAGTCATTGAAATCTATATTATAGCAGAACTGCATTATATTCGGTCTAAAAACTGTTAAATAATTTTTGGTAATTCTGAAGAGGAGGTCAGCAATAATTTATCTATCAAATTTTGAAACTCTTGCTTCAAAGCTTTGCAGGATATATAGACAAATATATAATTTTTGCTAAAAAAAATAGAGGATCGAAGCAGTAACTTAGTCATTAAAGCTTGAGGTGGGCTAAGGCTTCAAGACTGTGGAAACACAACTATATACTGTTATTAACTATTTAATAAAGGAGTATTAAGCTTAGTGAATGTTTTGCGTGTTTTGAGTGCTTTATCAGGAGCTGGAACTAGCGTGAAGATAATCTCAACCAAAAGTGCTCTTAGAAATACTTGAAGTCTAGTAGCATGAAGAGAATTTAAATATTCTGTACAATTCTATTAATTGAAAGTGTTAATATTGCACTTTAAAAGTATATTTCGAAGAGTAAAGCTGGTTACAAAAATTACAAATTGAACTGTATTATGCATATGAAAGGTATGGGAATACAATTCAGTTGTTTATATAAATTTGCAATTAAACAAATTTGTGGAATATAATATTTATCATAATTTACTAGTCTAGCCGTTTAAGTGCGATTCATTTACATACACGATACGTCGGAGTAGGTACAGTTGTTCATGTTTGTGTTGTTTTCACAGGGTTGATTCGGGTTCGGTTCCCACAGTTAGGGTAAAATACCACCAATTGCACAAGTGTAAGAGCTCCCTGGGCAATAGACCCGGGATCCGTACGAGTGCCGAGCAGCCGCAGCCTTTGTTGCTGGTCATTTTGAGCACAAAACGCGTTTAGATGTCAAAACACTTGTAAACCACACACGCACACACACACACACATGTGTGTATAGTTTGCTTTGATTTTAGTTACATTTGGGCGCAGGTCGACACGTGACCACAAAGTTTACATTAAATTAACAGCGTGCGCTATGAAAATATCATTTGCTCGACTACAGAGTTGCCAAATTAAAGGAAGTCAGGAAGGATTGCTCACGAAGGATTACCTGCCTGCACACAGCACTTTGACTGGCAAAGTGAGCAAATGAATTGAATTTGAATACGAATTCAGTCTAATTACAGCTGCACAACTTCAGCGGCTTAGCGCAACTCGCCTGGGAAATCGACAGGCCGCATCATCGCGGCTCCTTTTTTTATTAGCTGCCATTGGCGGTTGTAAAGTACCAAGAACGACGTTATACGACTGCTTCATACTCGTTCAGATTCAGGTACAAAAGTTAAGTTTGTTAAGGTTTGATATGATTTAGCTGCCAAGAGCAGTTTAACAGTCATGAGTCTTCTCTGATTGTAAGCGGGGATATACACTTTGACTTGATAGTCTTTAGGAATATTTGACTTTCAGCTGTGCAACTGTAGCAACTTGCAACAGAAGGAATTACTCTAGATTTTGACAACTGTGAGGTCTGCATGAATATAATTATATACTCATATATATCAGATTCCAAATCATCTACTACAAAATAATAGCCTCCCAGTCCCAAGACCTTAGCTACCGCAGCAGACACAGTAAAAACTCTTCACAGCACATAAAACCAATATACTCCTTTTGCACTTCATGAAAGAGTAGCTGGCAGCACATGCTTTGAATTATTGACAGCTTAGGCGTCGCAAGTGCCAGTCAATCATTATCATTTGAGCCGTCATTTGAATAACAATAAAGATCAGGCGAAATTCTAATTTATGCATTGATTTCGGTCGCTTCTCCCGCCGCCCGGAGCTTATGTAATAATCATTTTTAAATTACATATAAAAAGAGAGAAGCAACGCCACATCTTCTAAGTAATTTAACAACTTCCTGACGCCCGCCCGCAGCGCAGATTGTAAAATTTCTCTCAATTTTTATTTCATTTTTTTTTTTTTTGTATTTAGCTGAAAGCTGGCGTCGTAAATCCCAGAAAATCATCTGTAAGCCGCGCATGGGGCCGCATCAAACAACACTTGAAAGTATGTTGAAATATTGTAATTTGCGTCGCAGATAGCCTATAGACAGGATACATACACATAGAGGACACCCCGTGTCGCTGGCTCTTCAGAAAGCGTTTACAATCCATTGAGAAGCTGGCGATGTATCAATAATATTGTTCGCAGAGTTCAAAAAGGTGGTGAAAGTTGTTCGACCCGAGGCACATGTAGCACAGTGTAGAGCTAGAGCTAAGGGGCTTGCTTACAGCTAAAAATAATGTTTGACTTAATTTCTTTTATGGCTCAATATAACCATTATTCGCACTACTTGAGCACCCGGCCAAGTGGCGCTTGGGCCGCATAATCAGCAAATTTAAATTCAATTCGCTCGTCGGTCGTCGCTTGCCGATTTTAAACTGCTCGCCCTTAAGGCCAACAGTGGAACAAGGCAACAGGGCAACTGGGGGCGTGGCGGGTGTCAGCCGCACACGCCAAAATCGTGCCGCAAATTTACGAACCTTCACCAAAATTCTGCGGCTCTGATTGCGGCTGAAACTTGCTCTCGTCCTGTGCAAATCTTTGCCAACAATTTGGCAACTGTGAAGCAGTTTCCCTCAGTTTATCTGTCGTCCCACAATTTATCATATTTAAAAAACCATAAGCCGTTATATATAGTAATGTTGTCATTATATATCATATTTTAAACTTTTGTTGAGCTTTAATTTCTTAAAAAATGTAAGTTCCATTAAAGAACTTTTTAATAAGTTTGATTGTTGCTTAGAATTGAAAGAAATTATATATAAATTCTCATCATTCAGTTATCAATTGCCTATATATGTATATGAAAGATGTTTAGAGAAATTCGACGTGATGAATTGAGTCGATAGCTTATATAGACTATAGCTAGAAGGCTTAAAACAAGCTCAACAACTTCTGTTGGCTTTATGACTTACATAAACAAATGCAACTCCCTAAATATAAGCGCTTTGCTGACTATCGATAACTATTAACTATCCCACACGTCGATAAATATCGATTTGAGTTAATATAAAATCTGTTGACTGACTTAACTCATGATTTAGAGCAGGTTCAAATGCTTTTGCAGTATTACATAAACTAAGCCAACTGCTTCAATCGATATGTTGCGCTGTATATCGATAACCACATATATCTAAATATTTTTTTTAGTATATGTACAGCTGTTCATGATGCCAAACTAAGTCAATATACTATATAGTCTGTAGGTAGAAGAACCTTCTGGTGACTCTAACATTAACTTAGATAAATATCGAATTAATTCTAGCTCGACTTTGTTCAACTTAGTTAAAAAAACACAATCATTCGCTAACACATATCGATAAATATCGATTTGAGTATAAAATATATAAGCGTAGTTAGTTTATGATTAAAAACTAAACTCAGCTTAAGGTTTCACATGTAAAATTTTTTTTTAAGCTAAACTATATTTCAAAGTATATATATTACCGTCGCTCTCTCTCTCTCTTTCAGTCACTCTTCTCTAGTTTTTTTAGTGACTATATTCTAAATGTGTTATAAATCATGTATGAAAAACCCATTTTGTTCAGCAGTTCAACTAAATTGTTGTTATTTTTTGTTGACTTTTTGGATAGAAAGGCAAAATACGTTCGTCTCTGACAAGGAAAACAATGCAAAAAACAATTCAATTTATGAAATATTTTTGGCTTGCTGTTTTACTATTTTCTGTATGTATTTTCTCTCGATATTTTCGGTTTGTGGAATGGTTGACTGAATGCACAGCACGAGCACCAGCACATGAAAAATGTGATGATATTTTTTGTGTTTTTCTTATTTTTGTCTGATTCAGGCATTTTATTTCATACGCATTTCAATGGCTTTTGTTGAAAGACTCACATGTCGCCCGGCTCGTTTGCCCAGATTTATGGCCAGCTTGACGATGGCGCATTACATTGTCCAAATTAATAAAGGTGTCCCCCTCCCCTTTCAAGGCCCACCACGGCGCTGTCAGCCTTTGGCCTGAGGCTCTCTGCTCTTCGAACCCTGAACTCTCACCCCTTTTCAGGCCATGGCGCAACAATTTAATAAACACCGAGCGCTTCGTTTGCGAGTCGTTTTTTGGGTGCATTTCGAGCATAAATTGAAATTGTTTTGTATCTCTGTGAGATACAGCAACAACAACTATGCTGCCTATGCATTGTGTTTAGGCATTCAACTGCGCGTGTTTGTGCATAGCTCGTGTGCAATAAAAAGAATTATTGAAATGCTGTCGATTTCCACACGAATGACCCACAATGACAATGACAAGCCTTTTTCGCCAGATCAACACGACTCGCGCGAGGGTTATAAGGCAGCCGAGCATACTTATATGAATAATATTGCTTATGAATAGTTGAGCAGTCTGAATCTCTGTATCATCGGTGCCCTCATAAGTGGCTGCATGACAAATATTTACCATATGCCGTTTAATAGATTTAACGAGACTCTTAACATCCCATGGAAAGGCTATTCAAGTGGCAATTTATAGAATTCTCTTGTGTAATCTTGAGCTATTCTGAAAATCTATTCCAAACTGAAATATATAAGATTGAATTTTCAAATTAATTCAACAATGTTTCGCTGCCTAATGAAATCTTAGCCTAACTCAGGAAATAACTAATAAAGATATCATTATATATAAGTAATTTGTATGCAAAAAGTGAATCTTTGAATGAAGAATGATCCTATTAGTTAAAAATTAAAAAAAAGGCATAGCGACGACTTCAGTTGTTCGAGAGAAATATTGAAAAATAATAAAATTAAGTGTGAAT